AGGGGTCTTTAACAGTGGGAGGAAACCGGAGGACCCGGAGTAAACCCACGTGGTTGGACAGGCGACCCTACTTCTTGTTACGTAAACCGCGGAATCGAAACCACGCAAGTTGTCTCAATGGCAGACTTTTTTATACAGAGCGCACGCGCTAACCATTCGGCCATCCACCTCACCTCCGTGACAGTCTACAAATAAGCACAATACACCACTGAAATATGACATACCATAGCGAATCCAAACATACTGAACTCCATGATACCAATTATGGACCAATGCATCTGTGGCCATTTACTCTGATTATCACCCATCCATTTAGTGGCATATTTACCAGTACCAACAAATGATGATCTAGTCATCGTCCATGGTCTCAGTCCTGGCTTTTGTCGTATCAAGGCACTGTAAGCAATTAACCAATGACATAATAAACTCTCTAAGAGCACCTTATTAAGATCGAAATACTAAATAAAAATAAAAGTGGCTACCTTTACAATACAAGGGGAGGGTCCATCTTTTCAACCTACTCGTCTTCCAACTCAAATTGTTAAGGCATCTTTTACGTGCGCTATTAATTTTACTTGGGACCTCTGTTTTACGTAGCACCCAAACGTCAGATTCGTCGGAGTAGGTCTTGAAAAATGAAGAAGAATCTGTTTGGATGGACATGATTTGTCCGTATAACAACTAGGCTCCTCAGTATCTCACCGACCTCTCCGGTCATCTGAGAGCCGTCTCCTGTATATGCCATCATCCGGATCCCTTACCTTTGGAGACCGCTTTTTCATGGTTGCTGGTCCTTACTTGGGGAACCGGGTCCCAATGGAGCTTAGAGCTTTGGACAAAATTGATATCTTCAAATCGAGACTGAAGACACACATTTTCCGCGAAGCCTATCGTGAAAGACTCCTGTGTGACCAGTGTTTCACCTTAGTTTCATTGATGATATCTTTGAAAGTGAAAGCGATATATAATAACAGACAGCTTTATGGATGACATTCACTAGGTTTATTAACTGCAACGTTTCAACGAGGATACTCTCATCGTTATCAAGCAATGATACAATCAAACATGTTACAGAAGTTTATATACAAGTGGATAACAATAAACATGCTCATTGAAACGTTGCAGTTAATAAACCTGGTGAATGTTATCCATAAAACTGTCTGTTTATTGTGTCATTGACGAATTTTCCCATGCGTATGTATAAGCTGTCAACATATATGTTAGTCTACGTGGGCATGCAATGTCCGTATAAGCTGTGAATATGCCATACTTACTTGTAAGTTTGGATGGACATGCTATGTCCGTATAAGCTGTGAACATCATAATGGCGACCCCAGTGCTGTTGACTAGTCATACACAACGTTTTATCAAACATTCTACCTTGATAATCAGATCCAGCTATCTCTATAATGAGAAAATATATTTAGATAAAAACAACGAAAGGCGCAAACAATCTATGTGGGAGAGAGGTGAAAACAAACAAGGGTAGAGTTCGGGAAAGCCAGTACGATCCACATATTTTCTGGGAAAAAGTTGTTTTATCGACTACTCAATACGAATTCTTTAGAATCACTACCACCACTTAGGGGATTTTTAAGCATTAAAGCATTGAGATGCCACTGATCGAAACACACAAAAACCCGGAAAGATCAGTATGATAGAAATACTTAATGCTAGGTTCCCATTGCCGTGCGATGCGTTACGATAGGATTTTCTCTATTGAGTTCACGATCTAGTACGAGCAGATCCGGTACGTGCAGTTACGTTCGGATACGTTCAATACGATCGCTACGACTGACCTCAATATATGATAAGACCCGATAGGATCACCACGATTACTCCACGATTAAAACCACGATTTGAATCGTAGCACGAAACGTGATAGTGGGAACCTAGCATTAAGGAAATTTTTTATCGGCATACTACAAATTTCTCAAACTGATCAGATTACTAATACCTTGGAGATTTTCAAGAAACAAAGATATCGCTTATCGCTGTGTGTCAAGAAAACGTTAAAAAGATAAATAAACATCAACCATGATATATTTAAAGACGAAAGAAATATCATAAAACTGATTTTATCTGTGATGAAATTGGGAGATTATGCAAGAGCTAAATCTGCCTATTTGAAAAATAATTAAACGTAAAAATGGATAATACCGACTTTAGTAATGATGATCGAGGCTAGCCCAGAATTCAAAATATTCTATTTACGTTATCTATTTCTTAACTATTATAGCGCGATCTGTCAGCTCTTTATCTAATCTCCCATAATGCCCCTTTAAGACATCCGGAAGTATATAATCAAGGGTTTCAACATACTTGGAACATAAGGTGGATAATCTAGTGACGTGTTTTCACAGCCATATATAGAACCAGGAATAAAACTCGACGGTTCATTCATATCCTTAAAAATAAAAATAAAACCTATCACACAAATATACTTCTTTTTCAGCAGATTAGTAACTGTCCCAAAAATAAAACCTATGACACAAATGTACTTCCTTCTCCCAATGGGCAAAATACTGACACCCTTGAACTGAATAATTGAATACTTTACGAACCACGGTCGCTCGAGTAAAACTCAGTTTACATTCCATAATTTTATATACCTGCTGTTATCCTTGTAATTTGTGTTGTTATCAGGTGTCAGCAGAGGCGGATCCGAGAATTTTTGCAGGAGGGTGTTTACCAGGTTCCCGTTAAGGCATTTTGATAGTTGACAATGCAGGATGCCTTCACCGTCTTCAAGTTACGTAGGCAAAAGGCATACATACATACTGAGCTTTTTAAAGAGAGAAATCCCACACCCCCATTGACCTCATTTTGTTTTATTATGAATTAATAGGATCACATAAGCCCACAGTGGGTAGAGTACACAAAGGCTGTCGAAAAATCTTTTGTAGGTAAAGAAGGGCAACAACTCATGATGTGATAACTAGGAAAATCCTTGAAAATCAACAGGAGTCTGCGTCTAATGAAGATAAATTATGCATACTTTAAACATACATTATGCAAGTGCTTAATCTGCTCACTTCAGATCTTCCTTAGGGGCTTAAAAGTTATCTAAATTATTAATTAGACATTAATTAACTTATCCAGACCATAATCAACTCTAGATGCCATCTTATGTGTTCGATGTTCATTAGATTTGAATCCGATCTGCTGCTCAACGCTCATTGATAATTAAATGCAAAAATGGATAATAAAGACTATGGTTGTTTTTATCCTCTCGCCTTGAGTAAAGATAATCAAGGCTAGGCCTAAAATTCAATCGCTAATATCTTGGTTCAGAGTGGAGCAATTTGACTGAAATTTTCAGCATATTATTCCCTTTACATTATCTAGTTTTGAACTATTACAGTGAGAACTGTCAACTCTTTATCTAATCTCCCATAATGTATCTTTAATGTTTTACTACAGGATGGGCTTCTTATTATACACATATAGCGTCCAAAAGCAATTGTGGACTATGGACTATCGGACTGCCGGACGGATTGATGGGGGTGGTGGCTACAATGTACGACCACATTCAGTGTAGGTGTATAAAACTTACTATCCACAGAGCATCATATTGAACTGACTCGTTCTCATAGAAAAATCTCATCCACTTTAACCAGTACTCTTCTGTGGCTGGTTTGGTAAAATCAGGATATGCTGTAAGTCCTGGCCAGACCTGTCATGAAAAGATATTTATTGTTGATTCGAATTAGTCCACCGTTTATCAGTAAATAAACAAACATATTTCTTTTACAAAGTGTTGTTTTGGCCTGACTTAATTTGAGATAGGAAAATCTCATATTTTTACGAAGTTAACCATACCCCCGTATATACCGCGAACCTTGTTTTTTAAGGTTTTTTTTTTTTCATTTTACATAAATCAAGAGAGCGAGAGAGAGAAATGGGGTTTAACGTCCACTCGACACAAACTATGTCATTTCGGGACTAACATATGGTTTAATTTTATTTCTATAATTTGCTTGCGCGTAGGGGTCTTTAGCAGTGGAACCCTACTCCTTGTCACGTACAACCGGGGAATCGAAACCACGCCAGTTGGCTCAATGACAGACCTTATGGTACGGCGCGCACGGTACTAACCATTCGGCCATCTAATCCCCCATATATCATGAGAGAACGATGTATAAAAACAACATTTATCTACATTGACCAGAAAACATTTGAACTGTGAACGATGTCTTGCATGTGTTGCTATTAGGTACATTAACTAAAGACTATACAGCATTGGGAAAATCAGATCAAAGGAAGATATTAAATGCGTATGAGAGAACTTCTAAAATAAGCATAAAATGAAATGAAATGAAATGAAATGGAGTTTAACGTCTTACTGTTCTGCTCCTAACCTGGGCTAATGAAGACGGGCATACGCCATACAGTGTGCTATGAGGGAAATTTTGCCCGGACAGCGGCACTACGGCCTACTCTTATATCGAATTCCAACTGCCAAGGGATCTTTTACGTGCACGCCAATGTGTACACGGGACCTCGGTTTTTCGTCCCATCCGAACGACTAGACAGCTTTCCTTGTCAGCCCCTCCGTCCTGCATCACTGACAAGGGAGAACCACGCCGGAAAATCTGGATGAACTTTCTCGGCCAATGCAGGGATCGAACATCCGACCTCCAGGCTAGCGAGCTAGCGTCTTACCCACTTAGCCACGTGATCCCCCATAAGCATAAAAAAATCACTGCATAAACGTTATACCTCTGCTATAAGAACGTTTCCTGAAGCGTTCTTAATAAATATATCTTGTTGTATACCATCATCAAACATATTATATCCTGGACTATTTACTGCAGCTTCTTCTTTTATAGTTCTATCGGCACCAATTCCTGGATCCTTATAAAAAACATAAACATTATAGTATGTTAAAACCAAACATAACTCATATTTATTATAGTACATTGAATACAAACAATATTTATAGTTCTATCGGCACCAATTCCTGGATCCTTATAAAAAAACATAAACATTATAGTATGTTAAAACCAAACATAACTCATATTTATTATAGTACATTGAATACAAACAATATTTATAGTTCTATCGGCACCAATTCCTGGATCCTTCGAAAATCACAAACAATAAAGTATATTAAAAAAAACACGCAAAAATCAAAACTAACAATCAAAACCACCAACAAAGTAAAAGTATTTCTGTAACATTAAAATAAACACAACAGTTTTATGGATAACAATTACTGTATTTCTATTAAATCTATGTTTCAACAATGATACTGTGCTTAATAACGACAAGAGTATCATTGTTGAAACATAGCTTTAATAGAAATACAAAAATTGTTATCCATAGAACTGTTGTGTTTATTTTAATTTGTTCATTTACTACATGCCATTCAAACATTATATTTCTGTAATATTCCCAACTAATGGCATTTAGAAAAATCACAATTATTAAAGTGTATTTAATTGGACAAACTAACAACAATGTATAAATAATCCCAAATAAATATCCTCTCACATACTTACTACAATAACTACAAATTTCATGTTGTTTGTATGTAAATCTTGAACAACTTCAGGAAGACCAGACCAGTCTTTTCTGTCATAGGTAAAGGCATATTTCTTATACATATATTCTATATCACCCCATTGAACATCCTGAAAAAAAATACAGAGTAGAATGTAATATGGAATTACAGAACTATAATCATTAAAGGTATCTCTGGATTATACAGTGTAAAAGTTGCACATGCCCCATCACCATAACACAATTATAAAACTCTGGTAGGTCAAAAACACCCATCACCACAGCACAATCATAAAACTCTGGTCAGTCAACAACACCCATCACCATAGCACAATCATAAAACTCTGGTCGGTCAACAACACCCATCACCACAGTACAATTATAAAACTCTGGTCGGTCAACAACACCCGTCACCACAGCACAATCATAAAACTCTGGTCAGTAAGCAACGCCCATCACAACATCACAATTATAAAATTCTGGTCGGTCAACAACACCCATCACCACAGTACAATTATAAAAATCTGATCGTTCAACCATTTCCATCACCACAGGACAATCATAAAACTCTTGTCGGTCAACAACATCCATCACTACAGCACAATCATAAAACTATGGTCGATTAACAACACCCATCACCATAGCACAATCATAAAACTCTGGTCGTTCAACCATCTCCATCACAATATGGCGGTGACTATCCCAGCTGAACCTTTAGATGAAAAAAAATGGAATGAAATGGGGTTTAACGTCCTACTGTTCTGCTCCGAACTGTACTAATGAAGACGGTCTAACGCCATACAGTGTGCTATAAGGGAAATTTTGCCCGGACGACGGCACTTCGGCTTGCTCTTATATCGAATTTCAACTTTCAATGGATCTTTTACTTGCAGGCCAATGTGTACACGGGACCTCGGTTTTTCTTCCCATCCGAACTACTAGACAGCTGTCGTTGTCATGTCCTCCGTCCTGCATTACTGACAAGGGGGAACCACGTCAGTACAGGGATCTAACACCCGACCTCCAGGCTGGCGAGCCAACGTACCCACTTAGCCACCGTGACCCCCCCCACCCCCCAGATAATAAAGATAAAACATACGTAACTTACATAAGGTATACCAGCAGCTCTGGTTCTGTTGATCACCATCTTCATATCTTCTAAATCTTTATATCCCCATCTACATAGATGATATCCTAAAGACCAATATGGTGGCATTACAGGTCGTCCTATAGCCTATAGTAATATGTAAATGGAAAATACAAGTTATATGGAAATAGACAGGGAATCATTAATAACAAAATACAGAATGGCACAGAATGTCAAAGGTGTTTAAAACATAATACTGTTTTACCGAATGTCAAAATATAAAATACGGGTTATATGCAAATAGGCAGAGAATCATTTATACTGAAAGGCATAGGATGTTAAACGTGTTTACAAAATAATGCTGTTACCGAAATGCAAAGTCTGAAGTTAAAATATGAGCATACCTGTATATATTGTTGTACAGCCTGTTCAGGACTTGGTCCCATAAATATATAGAAATCCAGAATACCACCAATCACACGATATGTTATAGCAGGATTAGGACTTGGTTGTAACACTACCTCTGAAATAAAATACGAATCATAAGCCAAAAAACAAAAAAACACAACACAATTACAAAAGTCCTATATAAATAAAAAAAACAAAAAAAACCTTTTGTCTTATGGCTTCTTTTTGTTTATAGGACTATACATATTACCTTTTAGTTTGCTAATTTATCATTTGTACTTGATAACGATAAGAGAATATTTTGTCGAAACGTTGTGCTATATGTGTATACAACCAGTGATTGTTTTCCATTTAAATTGTGTTGTGTTTTTTAATACGCTCAATCACTAAATGCCACTCAAGGATTAGAATCATAAGACATTAGATTAAAAACTACAGTTATGTTACGAGAATTATATCATTAACATACTTACCCATGGCATTGCTATTTTTCAGTAAGACGACGGAGGCTTTGCCATCATTTTCTAAATTCATATAAACTGGATGAGCGCCATACAGATTCTCTGGTCCCTGAATAAAAATAAAGGTACTAAAACACACAGACACAAGTTATCTAAATCTACTTAAAGATACATTATGAGAGATTAGATAAAGAGCTGGCAGTTCTTACTATAATAGTTAAAAAACCCAAGATAATGTGAAATGTATTTGCTGAAAATTTCAGTCAAATTGATCCACTTTGAACCGGGAATTTGTCAATTTAATTTTCGGCCTAGAGTCGATCAGCATTACTTAAGTCGGCACGATAAAAACATAGTCTTGATTATCCACTTCATGATTTAATCGGATCCTAATCCAGAAAATATCGCAGACTAGCGATGACATCGAGATTTGATTATGGTCTGGATAAGTTAATTAATGTCTAATTAATAATTTATATAACATTTCAGGCCTAAAGAAAGACCTGCAATTGGTAGATTTAGCTCTTGCATAATGTATGTTTAATATGTTTAATATGATTAATACAATGACGTCATTATTATTGTGACGTCATAATGTATGTTTAATTTATGTTTAAGAAGACAGAAAGGACTGTAAACATACAGTTAATTTGTTTCTGTTGTCACGTGTGCAATGCCCGAGAGGTGAATTGACCTAGGACAGCAATCTGATTAAAACACAGATCCTATTTCGTATCGTTTCGTTCAAAATTTCGTTTTACTTGTCTTCACTACACTAGGATCTGGAAGAGTTGTTATATAACCCGCGTTCTGGATGATGTGATGAATTAGCCAATGAAACGGAGCGCTTTTGGCTTGAGATGCACGGAACTGTAGGTAACTCACTAGAAACATCAACGCTGATTAGTTAATCAAGTGCCTGACTTCATAGAGTCAAAAGCCGCTCGTATGACCCCTGACGCGACCTTCCACTACAACTGGTCAGCTCTTCATGTAGTAGAGGCATCCCGATTTCGCAAACGATGTAAACGTGTTGCAAAATGATCTAGTCTAATTTAACTAATAGCATTAGTTTAATTTCAACACCAGGTCTAACAACAGTTGCACTAAAAATCAAACCCATGACGCAAACACATAAATAAAAACACTTACCACTGCACCAATATCCCTTGTAAATATACTCCACCTTTTCCAATTCATGTCATGACGAAATCTACGATGAATATGTTCACCAAACCCATAGAGATTATCAGACGGTAGTCGAGTTGTTATTTGTAAAAACTGATCAGAGTAGGTCATTCCAGGTAGATCTGTAGAAAATCTGTTAAATTTAAAAGTCATGTTAATATAATGGTTGTAGTTGTGATGTAAAATAATCATTTTGATTTTTGCGCATCGATTCTCTTGAAAAGTAGAAACTCGAAATGTATAGTTTTGAAATGGCCATTTAATTAAGACGAGCCTACACGGTAATAATTAATATATACTAAAATATATACTACAATGGTCTGCTCTGAACAAGTACTACTTTGTTTTACAGTCAAATAATTTATTTAACTAACAACAATAACAACTAAGGATACTGAAGTAAAAAAAAAATCTATTTAATTTGTATAACAGCCAAACAATTTACTTAACATAAAACAAATGGCAATTAATGATAATGAAGTAATGAATTCTACTATTTAATTTATATCACAAGAATAAAATTAACTAAACTTACAAAATTTACAATTAAGGATAACGTATTCCCATCACTTAACTCACAACAAATAACAGTTAAGGAAAATGTATTCCAATCACTCATAACAAATAACAATTAGGGATACTGCATTCCAGTCACTTAACTCACAACCAATAACAATTAAAGACAATGTATTCCAATCACTTAACTCGCAACAAATAACAATTAATAATAATGGATTCCAATCACTTAATTCACAACACATAACAATTAGGGATATTGTATTCCAATCACGTAACTCACAACAAATAACAATTAGAACAATGTATTCCAATCACTTAACTCACAACAAATAACATTTTAGGACAATGTATTCCAATAACTTAACTCACAATAAATACAAACCAAGGATAATCTATTCCAATCACTGAACTCGCAACACATAACAATTAAGGATACTGTATTCCAATTACCTAACTCAAAACAAATAACAATTCAGGATAATGTATTCCAATTACTTAACTCACAATAAATTACAATTAAGGATAATCTATTCCAATCACTTTTAAGTACTCACAACACATAACAATTAAGGATAATGTATTCCAATCACTGAACTAAAAAAAATAACAATTAAAGATACTGTATTCCAATCACTTAACTCACAACAAATAACAATTAAGAATAATGTATTCTAATCACTTAACTCACAATAAATAACACTTAAGGATAACGTATTCCAATCACTTAACTCGCAATAAATAACAATTAAGAATAATCTATTCCAATCACTGAACTCGCCACACATAACAATTAAGGATAGTGTATTCCAATCACTTAACTCACAATAAATAAAAATTAAGGATAATCTATTCCAATCACTGAACTCGCAACACATAACAATTAAGGATACTGTATTCCAATTACCTAACTCACAACAAATATAATAATTCAGGATAATGTATTCCAATAACTTAACTCACAATAAATAACAATTAAGGATAGTCTATTCCAATCACTGAACTCGCAACATGTAACAATTAAGGATAATGTATTTCAATCACTTAACTCGCAATAAATAACAATTAAGGATAATCTATTCCAATCACTGAACTCCCAACAAATAACAATTAAGATAATGTATTCCAATCACTTAACTCACAACACGTAACAATTATGGATAATGTATTCAATCACTCAATTCACAACATCTATTCTAATCACTAAACTCGCAACACATAACAATAAGGATAATGTATTCCAAATCACTTAACTCGCAAAAAATAACAATTAAGGATAATGTATTCCAATCACGTAACTCGCACCAACTAACAATTAATGATAATGTATTCCAATCACTTAACTCACAACAAATTAAGGATAATGAACAAATTTGTCTAACAAATGAACATATCCCTCATAACCCTGATAAGAGGGAGAGAGAGAGAGAGAGAGAGAGAGGGAGAGGGAGAGAGAGAGAGAGTGGGAGAGAGGGAGAGAGAGAGAGAGAGAGGGAGAGAGAGAGAGGGGGGAAGAGAGGGGGGAAGAGGGAGAGAGAGAGAGAGAGAGGGAGAGGGAGAGAGAGAGAGAGGGGGAGAGAGGGAGAGAGAGAGAGAGAGGGAGAGAGAGAGAGAGAGGGGAGAGAGGGGGGGAGAGGGAGAGAGAGAGAGAGAGAGAGAGAGAGGGGGGTTTAACGTCCACTCGACACAAACCAGGTCATTTCGGGACTAACATATGGTTTCAATAATTCGCTTACGCGTACGGGTCTTTAGCAGTGGGAGGAAACCGGAGGGCCCGGGGAAAACCCACGAGGTTGGACAGGCGACCCTACTCCTTGTCACGTACAACCGGAGATTCGAAACCACGCCAGTTGACTCAATGACAGGCCGTATGATACAGCACGCACGTGCTAACCATTCGGCCATCCAACCCCCCTATCCTGATAAGACATATAGAAATAGATGTCACAAAATAAAACCTTTGTATGGATTTACTACTTCTGAATTTTAATAACATGCTATGTTTCAATACACATACATGTATCGTTATATTATGTTTCAATACACATACAATATTTGCTTGATAACGATATCTGTATTTGTATAGTTTGTGATTAAAATACAGAAGTAGTAAATCCATACAAGTGTTTTATTTTACATATTTCTCATATTATAAAACAGGATATGTTTATTTAAGGATATATAATCCTTATAAAACATGATATGTTTATATAACGATATATAATCCTTATAAAACATGATATGTTTATATAACGATATATAATCCTTATAAAATAGGATATCATGTTTATATAAGGATATATAATCTTGACCAGTAAATTTTTTATAAACTTACACGGTTGTGTTTGTCCCCTTTCTTTTGACAACTATTCCAAACTGTGGTGGCCCTTTTATTAATGTGACGTCATAGAGTGGAACATCAGGTAGTGTGCTGGACGCTGTAATATTTAGAGCCTCTAGGGGAACTTCATACCTTGTCACATTATTAGGTACAATCTGTGTAAAAATAAATAAACAATTCAGGTCAAAACATCTCCGAATCTCTTTTAAACTAGAAACACAAATTATTTCCACCACGCATATCACTTGTAATCCATATGCAACAAACAAGGGTCTTGGAAAGAGTTAAATCAAGTTGTAAGAAATGGATTCCTCGTGGGCACATCAAGATAGTTTTGTGTTCTTTGAAGAGGGGTACTACATCTCCGAATCTCATTTAAATTAGAAACAAAATTATTCCCACCACCCGCACCACTTGTAATCCGTGTGCAACATACAAGAGTTGGGGAAAGAGTTAAAATAAGTTGTAAGAAATGATAGGATATATACGTTTTATGGATTCCTCGTGGGCAAAACAACATAGTTTTGTGTTCTTTGAAAAGAGGTACCACAAACGATGATGATTACCGTTATCTCTTTTAGAATGAAAGAACTCCCTATTGTAAACGATTAATTGCCCAATACTGCTATAAACATTGATGACAACGAATATCGAAAATCTTTTTGCAACAGACACGATATTAAACTATCATTTGAAATGAAATGAAATGGAGTTAAACGTCCTACTGTTCTGCTCCGAACTGGGCTAATGAAGACGGGCATACGCCATACATACAGTGTGCCATGAGGGAAATTTTGCCCGAACAGCGGCACTACGGCCTACGCTTATATCGAATTCCAACTGTCAATGTGTACACGGGACCTCGATTTTTCGTCCCATCCAAACGACTAGACAGCTGTCCTTGTCAGGCCCTCCGTCATGCATCACTGACAAGGGGGAACCACGACTATCATTTGAAATTGTTTTGATTATTAATAAAAATGTCCACTTCGTCCTTACGATAATGTTCTTCTGTTAATTATTCAAAAAAAGAATATCCACCTTAACCCTTAAACTGTTCTCTGTTTGGTATTCGACGGTAACAGAAAGTTTTTCGTATATATCTCCCCCATATATGGTATCTGTCTGTATCCTATGCAGTCTGGCCGATTGGCCTCGGGTTGTCATCATAACATCACCATCTATCAAATAACCATGACTCTCTGGGTATATGCACCAAGGTGCTCCCTTCATCTTTTGTTCCGCCCAAATGCATCTATAAAATAAAAGAATAATAGGACAAAATTCTCTTACGTTTTTTTAATTTAGCACGCACGTTTAAACGAAGATTTCCCCAAAGTATTGTCTATACTACTTAAATTGAAACATAGATATACGTGATATTTACTGATGACCTTCACTACCTAGTTCCTTCCGGCGTCTTGTATTATATTAAAGCACAATGTATTAAGACGATGATATTCTGGCAATGTTGGGACAGGTAACGTTTATTTCTTCCACGCCGTCTAACAACAGATGTCAAGCGATAATAATTGATCTTTGGACAATGCTTCCATTTACTTTCTAGAACGTAAATTAGCAACCTCGTAATATTGTATGTTGGCTCGGCTCTGTTTAGTTTATAAAAGGGAGGGAGAGAGAGAGAGAGGGAGGGGGACAGAGAGAGAGAGAGAGAGAGAGAGAGAGAGGAGAGAGAGAGGGGGGTGTTTAACGTCTACTCGACACAAATTAGGTCATTTCGGGACTAACGCATGGTTCAATTTTATTTCAATAATTCGCTTGCGCAAAGGGGTCTTAAGCAGTGGGAGGAAACCAGAGGACCCGGAGAAAACTCACGAGGTTGGACAGGCGATCCTACTCCTTGCCACGTACAACCGGAGAATCGAAACCACACCAGCTGACTCCATGACAGACCTTATTATACGTACTAAAGCTTCAGTCATCCGAACCCCCAGTTTATAAAAGAAACTACTTACCCTCTCTTTGAACAAGAATCCTGGCTAGCACCTTTATCTGGATGACAGTCTATCAATTCGTTGTGTACCTGGGCTTGATTGTTAGAATTCTTGTCTTTAGCTTGTTTCGTGTCACTGGTCAACGGCAACGATATTAAAATTATTATAATAATATTTATAATTATATACACAAGTAACATAGAAAATTACATAATTGGGTCCACACTCATCCCTGATAGTCTCAGTGGTGGAAAAAAGGACTAATTCCTTAACGCCAAGTATTACTCTGTTCTTTCTTATTGTCAATTATAGCCTAACTCTTCCTTAATGCCAAGTATTACCTTGCTCTTCCTTATCGTCAAGTACAGCCCTGTTCTTCTTTAATGCCAAGTATCACCCTACCCGTCCTTAAAGGAACAATAACACTTTCGCTGACTTGACGGCTCCAGAATATAAAAAAATAGCCTTATTCTAAGTACTAGATGTGTTCGTGTCCTACCTGTTTTGTCAATTATCCATTAAATCCTATTTTACTTGTCCAGAGGGTTCAAAAATATTTTTAAATCCAAGTAACATTTGAAAAGCTTTACGTCAGGCTTTTCAAATCATTTAGTTGAATTTTTTAAATTAGGTGTGTTAAGATGAAATTTGTATCATCAATTAATTGGAATATTGTAAAATAGTACAATTTGTTGACCAGAATAAAGATTGGGGCATATTATTCAGTTACAACAAGAGTGGTATTGAGCCTTTAATCTCAAGTATCACCCTGCTCTTCCTTACAGTCAAGTGTAACCCTGTGCTTCTATAATGTCAAGTATAACCCTGCACTTCGTTAATGTCAAGTATAACCCTGCTCGTCCCTAATTACAAGTGTAAACCTGCTTTTCCGTAATGTCTAGTATAACCCTGCTTTTCCTTAGTTGCAAGTGTACCCCGTTCTTCCTTAATGTCTCGTCGTTAATGACAAGTATCACCCTGTGTTTCCTTAAAGTAAAACTTAAAAGTAAGAGACCAAGGACACATTTACATAATCAATTGCAATCAAACATTTGGATCGAACCTCGGGGATCAATTTACAGATGAACACGAGCTTTGTTTTTCTGTGTTAAATCCTGTATTAGGATCTGTGTTCTCAAGGAATGGAAACAAACTCTCAGAAAGAAAATGTATTGTATATCTCCCCGAGCCTAGGTATACCTAAATTAATTTCCGGTAAGACCCTTTTTCAAGATTTTATGTCTGAATTATGTTAAAGATACATTACGGGAGATTAGATAACGAGTTGGCAGTTCATACTATAATTGTTAAAAACTTGATAATGTAAAGGCAATTTGCTGAAAATTTCAGTCAAATTGATCCACTCCACTATGAACCGAGAAATAAGCGACCGAAAGTTCCACATAGCCTCGGTTATCATTACGAAAGTCGGTACGACAAAAATCATAGTCTCAATTATCCATTTAATCGTTAAATCAAGAATGAAAGTTATGCAGCAAATCGGATCATAATCCAACAAATATCGCAGGCTAGCGTTGACATCGAGAGTCGATTATGGTCTGGATAGGTTAATTAATGTCTAATTAATAATTTAGATAAAATTCAGGTCTAACTAAAGAACTGCAATAGACAGATTTAGCTCTTGCATAATGTATGTTTAACCGAACATATCGTGTCGTGTTGTTTGCTCTTTAAACGTGTTATAGTTTGTTGAAGTAGAAAGGCCAAAGAAAGAGATTTGGCTGATGACATAATTACATAATAAAAATCTTCATTCAGTACAAATATTTGCATTCAACTTACCTCGCTTCGTTACCTGTATTAAAATACACAACTAGTCCCACAATAACTGCTACTGCTAAAACTATTATAACGATCAGGCCAACAACTAATTTGGGACGTCTCGTATGTTTGGTGAATGTAACTTTCGAAGAATTTTCATGTTGAAATTGTTCCATCTTCAAATGTATCTCCGTGTTCGTTAAACTTCCTTTCATAAACTACATACTGTATCAGAAATAAAGCTGTTGTCAAGCATTATTCATATGTGGTTTAATGTGGTTTTGCATGAACTTATAACACTAGCAAAATGCGCATATTGTAATTGACAGAATAGCTAATAGGTATTTAATATGCGATCTAAGAAGGATTAGATTGGGCACGCTATGTTAAAGATACATTATGTAAGATTTAGATAAGGATCTGATCGTTCGTCTATTATAGTTCAAAACTAGATAATGAAAATTGAATATATGGAAAATTTCAGTCAAATTGTTTTCTGTAGCTGATCGTTCTTGCTATAATAGTTCAAAACTAGATAATGAAAATTGAATATATGGAAAATTTCAGTCAAATTATTTTCTGTAGCTGATCGTTCTTGCTATAATAGTTCAAAAATAAATAATGAAAAACGAATATATGGAAAATTTCAGTCAAATTATTTTGTGTAGCAGATTGATTATAATCGTAACACCGGTACTTTGTTATCGAGACTAAGTTATAGTGTTTAATCTATTTAAAATAAGAACCTTCCGATGGCCAAGAGAGTTCATTAGGAGCTTCTTATCTTAAAACATCTTATAAAAAGATTTATTTATCACTGAAGCCAAAAGAAAGAACTGCTTATGCTAGGTTATCATCGTCCAGATTCGTGCTGCTCTAGAAATCGTGGTTTTAATCGTAGAGTAATAGTGGTGATCCTAACAAGTCTTATTATATGTTGAGGTTAGTCGTAGCCGTCGTTTTGATCGTATCGAGCCGTATCCGAACGTATCTGCACGTACCAGATCGTGGACTCAATAGAGACAATCTTATGATAACACATCGCACGACAGTGTTAACCTAGCAGGGGATCACGGTGGCTAAGTGGGTAAGACGCTGGCTCGCTAGCCTGGAGGTCGGGTGTTCGATCCCTGCATTGGCCGAGAAAGTTCATCCAGATTTTCCGGCGTGGTTCTCCCTTGTCAGTGATGCAGGACGGAGGGCCTGACAAGGACAGCTGTCTAGTCGTTCGGATGGGACGAAAAACCGAGGTCCCGTGTACACATTGGCGTGCACGTAAAAGATCCCTTGACAGTTGGAATTCGATATAAGAGTAGGCCGTAGTGCCGCTGTCCGGGCAAAATTTCCCTCATAGCACATTGTATGGCGTATGCCCGTCTTCATTAGCCCAGTTCGGAGCAAAACAGTAGGACGTTAAACCCCATTTCATTTCATTTCATTTCATTTCGTTAACCTAGCATAACATAACGCATCTTTAAGCGCGTGCAAACATACTGTATAGGCTAAACAATGGGTATAATCTTCTCGTTTGGATTTGTGTCGCTCATAAATCTATCAAATAGTCATTTTATTTGCATTGCAAAAATATCGCGACGAGTCAACAGTGGTGGAGGCTATTGTCATGTTAATAAAAAAAGAATGCTTAAACAGTTGGAATTCTAAAAAAGTTATGCGCGAACATTTCCCTTCTTAATTGTGGGGGTAGATGGCCGAATAGTTAGCGATGTATCATGAGCTATTTCATTGAGTCAACTGGCGTGGTTTCGATTCTCCGGTTGTACGTGACAAGGAGTAGGGTCGCCTGTCCAACCTCGTGGGCTTTCTCCGGGTCCTCCGGTTTCTTCGCACTGCTAAAGACCCCTTCGAGCAAGTGAATTATTGAAATAAGATTGAACCATGTTAGTCTCGAAATGACCTAATTTGTGTCGAGTGGGTGTTAATCTCTCTCTCTCTCTCTCTCTCTCTCTCACGCCCTCTCTCTCTCTCTCTCTCTCTCTCTCTCTCTCTTTTCCCACCCCACTCCCCTTCTTGATATTACATAACCATCTACGTCGATGTTAAACCGTATATTAAACTAATACCGATACAGGGAAGTTAATCACTCGCCCAATAACGCAACGAAGTCGACATAAACAACACAGGGAAATGATTCCTCGCTCGATAACAACGTGCGACCATTTTGTCGACGAAATGAAATGAAATGAAATGGGGTTTAACGTCTTACTGTTCTGCTCCTAACCTGGGCTAATGAAGACTGGTTCTGTTCACGAAGTTGACACATAAAATCGCTAGATGGGATCCGTAAATTAACTAAACCCTATAATTAATGAGTTTTTGAATCAAGCGGAACGCTAAATGTTAAAGGAGCTAAAATGGTATTCTCTGGCACCAAGAAATGGACACAAATGGGTCGCATGGCTATTTTAATTCATAATAAAAATTTACGTGGAAGGGTGAGGGGGGGGGGTGTATGTATGCCTACGTAATTTGAAGACGATGATGGCGTCATGCATTGTCAACTGTCAGATTTCCTTAAAAGGAACACGATAAAACCCCATCCTGCAACAATTTCTGGATCCGCCCCTGAATAATGCATATGAATGTATATAAACTGTTTTACTGTAATTTCTAATCAGCTATGTTCGGCGAAATAGACGATGAGTACAAATTGAATGTCAGTATTTGGTGTCTGGTTATTTCAGTCTACACCGGTATTATCCCCTTGTTAGGTATGTTTAGCCTCGTTCATTGAGTCGCTTTATTGCAAATGGCACTAGAAAGCATTCTGGCACACGATTCGTGTACCAATTTTAAAATTTTCATTTTGTCTTAAATATTGGATATCAGAAGCCCATCCTTTCCCGGTAAGATAACAATATCAATGTTAATTTAAATTGACCAATAAGTGGATGATATTGAGTTAGCCATTAGCTTTCTTTAAGTATTATTCGTAGCCATTAAACACCTACTTGAAAGGTGAATGACTACAAAACAGGATCACGTATCTAAAGGTTTAAATCAGAATGCAAATAAACTTGAATGAAACGAAATGAAATAGGGTTTCGCTTTTCTACACCAACTTTAGTCAGACGCGGAGCCACGGTGGCTAAGTGGGAAAGGCGCTGACTCGCTAGTCTGGAGGTCGAGTGTTCGATCCCTGCATTGGCCGAGAAAGTTCATCCAGATTTTTTGGCGTGGTTCCCCCTTGTCAGTGATGCAGGATATAAGAGTGGGCCGCTGTCCGGGCAAAATTTCCATCATGGCACACTGTATGGCGTATGTTCGTCTTCATTAGTCCACTCGGAGCAGAACAGTAGGACGTTGACCCCCATTTCATTCCATTTAGTCAGACGCTTTTCATAGCCATGCTTCTCGCCCTGCACCACTGACAAAGACAAAATAATCTGGAAATTCCGAGAAACTTCCTCTTCTCGACCAACATCAGGACCTCCTGGCTGGTGAGACAACCAATACGCATCGAGTCACCGTTGCGAAACAGCTGTAACCATTACTATTTCATTCTGATACACTGTCGAATAGCAATCAAATTCAAGGCTGACATAGTTATAACAAAATATAACTAAAATTCAAATAATACTCACTGTGTTACGTAATCTTCAGAATGTTATTAATTTATATAACGCCTACTAGTAATTTTTTTAGCATCAGAATTCACATCCTTTTGAGGTGTATATTTGAGGAATCGCTGATACTCCCACTTCGCTACAAAATCATTACGGTTGTGCTTTAATAACAGGGGAATTGTTGAATGTGTTTATATTTATTTAGGACAAGTGTACCCAAAAGATTAGTATAATAAACGATAGACATGTTTTGTAACATTTGGTTTAGACACGTACGTAGTAAATTAGTACTTGGCGCACTTTAAGGGCCCACCTACACTTTTTTATATAATCGAATATACAGATGTGTTAAAGGAGCTAAATTGCTATTACTTGGTACCTAGAAATTGACACAAATTGGTAGCAACGCATATAATAATGTAATATGAATGTATATAAACTGATTTACATTAAATCGTTTCTGTTTTTACTGTAATTTCTAATCAGTTATGTTCGGCGAAATACGCCAAAAGTCTCAATTGAATGACAATCTTTAGCGTCTGGTTATTCCAGTCTACACCGATGCGCATGCTCCCCAGATAAGAATATAGCGTCACAATTTGACATGACTTGGAATATGTCTAGCGTCGTTCTTTGATTCCCTTGTTCCAAACGCATTATGGTACACGATTCGTGTACCAATGGTAATTGTTTATTTTGTCTTGCCCATCTTTTCCCTGTAAGATTACAAGACCAGTGTTGATTTGAATTGACAAGCAATTCGTGTCCCTTGTTACAAATGGCGCTGAAACGTATTATGGAACACGATTCGTGTACCAATGGTAAAATGTTTATTTTATCTTGAATATTGGATATCAGGCGCCCATCGTTTCCCTGTAAGATCACAAGACCAATGTTGATTTGAATTGACAAGCAATTCGTGTCCCTTGTTACAAATGGCGCTGAAACGTATACCAATGGTACCAATGGTAAAATGTTTATTTTGTCTTGAATATTGGATATCAGGCGCCCATCTTTTCCCTGTAAGATCACAAGACCAATGTTGATTTGAATTGACAAGCTATTCGTGTTTTCAATGTCGAAGATTTTTAGTGCTATTGAGTTAGAGACTTAGCTACTTTAAAACAATACTCGAGTAAGTAGCGTGTAGATATGTCAATGGATGATTGTTTGCACGTGTAGTGAGGTTATATTAGCTATTGTCAGACATAGGTCTGTGATTTTATAGCTAGATAAGAAATATTCTAATGTCGAAGACGCAGGCACTACTATACGTTTAAGTATGATTCCTTTTGGCTTGTTCTAGATTTTCATTTAAAGAAACAGGGTTTAACGTCCTACTTTTCTGAACCGACTGGGCTAATAAAGACAAAATGAAATGAAATGGGGTTTAACGTCCTGCTGTTCTGCACCAACTGGGTATATGCCATACAATGTGCTGTGAGGTAAATTTTGCCCGGACAGCGGCACTATGGCCTACTCTTATATCGAATTCCAACTGCCAAGGTATATTTTTCACGTGCATGCCAATGTGTACGCGGGTCTCTCGGTTGTCGTCCCATCCGAACGACTAGACAGTTGTCCTTGTCAGGCAATCCGTCCTGCACCACTGATAAGGAAAAAACGCACCGGAAAATCACAAGGAGCGAACCGGAAACCTCCAGGCTAGCTAGCCAGCGTCCTACTGACTGAGTCACCACAACTCCTGCATTAAAAAAAAAACCTAGGCATCTACATGTAACCCAAGACCGCCAGGCTAACGAGCCAGCTTCCTACTCATTTAGCCACCGCAGCTCCTTCATTCAAATAAAGTTGGATATCCAAGTCGATATGAATTGATCTGATATTTTAAGACTACTCTTTGTGACAAAATTAAAAATTCAAAATTAAAAATGAATTTACAAAATTAATAATTATTTTACAAAATTAATAATTATTTTACAAAATTAATAATTATTTTACAAAATTAATAATTATTTTACAAAATTAATAATTATTTTACAAATAATTATTTTACAAATAATTGTTTTACAAATAATTATTTTACAAATAATTATTTAAGAAAATTAAAAATTATTTTACAAAATTAAAAATTATTTTACAAAATTAAAAATTATTTTACAAAATTAAAAATTATTTTACAAAATTAAAAATTATTTTACAACATTAAAAATTATCTTACAAAATTAAAAATTATTTTACAAAATTAAAAATTATATTTCAAAGTCAAAAATTAAAACTAGGAAATAAAAAGTTATAAAACAAAAATTAAAAATAGAAATTAGGAATTGATCTGATATTTTAAGACTACTCTTTGTGACAAAATTAAAAATGAATTTACAAAATTCAAAATTAAAAATGAATTTACAAAATTCAAAATTAAAAATGAATTTACAAAATTAATAATTATTTTACAAAATTAATAATTATTTTACAAAATTAATAATTATTTTACAAATAATTATTTTCACAAATAATTATTTTACAAATAATTATTTTACAAATAATTATTTTACAAATAATTATTTTACAAATAATTATTTTACAAATAATTATTTAAGAAAATTAAAAATTATCTAAGAAAATTAAAAATTATTTTACAAAATTAAAAATTATTTTACAAAATTAAAAATTATTTTACAACATTAAAAATTATCTTACAAAATTAAAAATTATTTTACAAAATTAAAAATTATATTTCAAAGTCAAAAATTAAAACTAGGAAATAAAAAGTTATAAAACAAAAATTAAAAATAGAAATTAGGAATTATTTTTCAAAAATAAAAATAGAAAATAAAAAAAAAAGTTCGTATTTGAGATTGCTTAGATCTGTATCTGAATAGGGATTGGGGAACAGGCATAGTCTATATTAAACCCCTCTCCCTGTCAGATATCGATAGAAGTAGATACATTTTATATATAACCAAGCAATGTACAAGTGAAAATATAAATACAGTGAGTGTAAAAGTTGCCCCTTGAAATTCTAGTGATTTCGAAAAACGAGTTGACAGTTTTAAGAGAGAGAAAGAGAAATGGGGTTTAACGTCCACTCGACACAAACTAGGTCATTTCAGGACTAACATATGGTTTAATTTTATTTACATAATTCGCTTGCGCGTAGGGGTCTTTAGCAGTGGGAGGAAACCGGAGGACCCGGAGAAAACCCACGAGGTTGGACAGGCGACCCTACTCCTTGCCACGTACAATCGGGGATTCGAAACCACGCCAGTCGACTCAATGACAGACTTTATGATACAGCACGCGCACGCTAACCATTCAGCCCCCCCCCCCCCCTGACAGTTTTAAAAATATTAAGTGTCGTCAGTTCCTTGCAGTAATATATGGTATTATTTCAGGCATCTGAATGTAAGGAGCAATTCAAGAGAAAGATTTCAGTATCTTCAGTCCAAATCAAATTGTTTATCCCTGTTTCGCATTCACCTACTAAACACCAACATCAACGTTTGGACATTCTACTTCAGTAAGAACGGGGGGTATTGTGTTCCAAAGTCTCGACCAGTCAAATTGACGAGTCTACTTGGCCTCCACAGAAAAAGCAAATCATCCAACTTAGTCAAGGTATTAATAGCATAAAAGTTTACACCAAATGTCACCACCCCTATTCAATTAGAATCAATGCTACCGTGCTTAAATCTCTCGCCCAACCAAATTAAATATCGCTGCTTAACATGTGCATGCTGCTCATTATCGAACTTAGTCTAGGTATCGATTTAATGAAACTATATACACCACGTTTTACCACTCTCCAAAGCATCGATCAATGCAATTGCTTATATAGTCTTAGCAGAAACTGATCATATTCAATTTCAGTCACAACATTCACCTGATAAACATCAAGTGTGGCGGACGGACAGACAGACAGACAAGACAGACCAGACAGACGAACCATTTTGAACAGTAAATCTTTTAATAATACCCTGGTTTCTTCAAAAGGTGGGGGACAATAACATGTCATATCGACCGAATTCATAATTTTTTTTTGACAAAGTTCAAAGTGGTAAAGCTATCTATAATGGCTAATAACAAACGCATTTGCATGATTTTTTGTTATTTCTTCATCATGTATGAAAGGCGTGGACTTCATTCGGGTAAATCTACCCGGGTGTTAAAATATAATCGTTTATTTAAACTAAGTTAATTGTCAAGGAAGGAGGAAATTGATAATAACATGTAGAGATGTCAAAGACATAAAAATTACAGGCTTCCGCGCGATAACCAGCAAATCGTGACAGGCGTGACAGAGTGTTATACCAGTTCGCATGTGAGATGGTTACGTACAATCTATTTTTGATAATCACAGCCCCTCTCTCTCTCTCTCTCTACTCGGTGGTGTCCCAGATGTTGTAAGATTAAATCAGGTGGAAATTCCTATGTAAATAGAAATATTCTGTGACGTACATTTCATTACCCAATGTCCAGGCATTGTATTGTTGTTTAACTCAATTCGACATCAAGGTCGCTGAGATGTAAATAAGGTTAGGGCACGTGATTGTTGACAAGATTGTGGGTTAGGGTTTTGGTAAGGGATAGGATTAGGGATAGGTCCAGAGTTGGGGTTAGCGCTAGGTCTGTTTACATCTCATCACCTTTGACCAAATTTGGAGGTGGCCTTGCTAGCCTGGAGGTCGGGTGTTCGATCCCTGCATTGGCCGAGAAAGTTCATCTGGATTTTCCGACCTGGTTCCCCTTGTCAGTGGTGCAGAACGGAGGGCCTGACAAGGACAGCTGTCTAGTCCTTCGGATGAGACGAAAAACCGAGGTCCCGTGTATACATTGGAATGCACGTAAAAGATCCCTTGGCAGTTGGAATTCGATATAAGAGTAGGCGATAGTGCCGCTGCCCGGGCAAAATTTCCCTCATAGCACACTGTATGGCGTATGCCCGTCTTCATTAGCCCAGTATAGGAGCAGAACAGTAGGACGTTAAACCCCATTTCATTTCATTTACTTTGAGGACACAAGGTTTCGACGCTAAACTCGACCGAGGATTAAACCCACAACCGTGTGGTAAGAGACCTAGTTCGCTAATTGTCGGGTTTTTTTTTAAACCTATGCCATAGTAATCATCAGGGCCCTGTTTCTTGAAATATTAACTAAAGATAAAATCCAAATTGTAGTAGATACTTCAATTTTGATTGGTTAAGCACTAAAACCAATCTAATATTATACAATCAAATTGATAAAATTTGGATTTTATCTTAAGTTAAAATATCGTGAAACAGGCCCCGGAATAAATCGAAATGATACAACATGAAATGGGATTTAACGTTCTACTGTTCTGCTCCTATACTGGGATGATGAAGACGCTCGGAATAAATCGCCCAACCACTAGATAAAAAAAACTGGGATGGACACCATAACATATCTGTTAATATTTTTATTATAGCAATCATTTCAGAGGGACACAAATCCTTTGTTCATTAATATTCCACATGACGTAGCAAACGTAAGATGACGTCATTGTCCGTGCTAACTGAATCATGAATGGTTATGGCAACACGTTTCACAAGGCCGGGCGTACATTTGTAAATTGAAAGTTCTTAGAATTCCATGGCCCCTCGCAGGTCAATTTTATTTTTCGCATAATTAAGCATTTATAACGGCTATTAAGCCACGTTTTCTTTAGATTTGATGTTCTTAGCTAATTTTTCCCAGAATTCATCAGTTAATCCATTCTGCAGATTAACATAGAGAATGTTATCTTCAGAAACAGCTTCCAGTAAGAAATCGATATTGGTGGGTATATTCATCTGATGATCGATTATTATGATTAATCGATGTGGTGTCGTTAGGGTAATCGATGATAAGCAATTACACATGGTGAAATAAGCCAGGTTACTCCTTAAGAAATCTTCTGTTAGAATCAAAACGATCTTCCAACTGTGTCTCATCGCTTCCAGCAGATCATCGGCCATAGAACCACCAGGTATGTGATCTCTATCCCGTAGGTTCAGTTCGATTCCACGATTCGTTTCCAGTTCAGTTCGTAGTTGATTGCAAACCCAACATGAGATAGAATCCGTGTAAATTATAAATGCGTCGTACACAAAGTCTCCCCTTTTCCTGGGATAAATATGCTGTCCGACCATCCTTAGAAGAATCAACATTAGCTTCATCTTGTTTTTGAAGAAAACGAAAGCTGTGATGAGACTAATGATTGTGATGCTTAATCCGCCAATAGTATAATTGAGCAATAATGATGAAATGCACTGCCTATGAAATGACGGCCATCTTTTATAAACAGCGTTGGTAAAGGTCATCTGTCCTGTGGATTCCAAACACGAATAATTCCTTCCGTCTAGTTTCACTTTCGTTTCGTCTAACCACAGCAAAAATGAAATCGAATCACAGGTACAAATGAATGTGTTTCCCATCATATATAAATGAAGTTTGGTGTTTACCGCGGTTGTTTTATCCAACATATGTCTGTTTTGCCTGGGTATCGTAGTTAAGGAATTGTGATTAAGATACACGGATTCGAGCTTTACCAGGAGAAGCAGATCTGGAATGGCCACCAGCTTATTACCCGATAAATTAATGGTTTTTAACGTAACCCGGGATTTAAATATATCTTTTGGTAAAATCACAAGGCCATTATTAGATATGTCTAAGAGTTCCAATTTTTCCAAAGGTCTTAGAAATCGGGTACCGTTTTGGATAATAAAATCATTGGTTATAAAAGAGTTACTTATGTAAAGTTGGGTCAAATTAGGGAACGTATCCATAATCGTGTCATTAATAATACTTAAATCATTGCCACTTACATCCAAAACTTCCAGATTTTCCAGTCCAGTTATTTTATGTTGTAAATTGCTCAGTCCGCAGTACGATATATTAAAGTACTTTAAATTTTCAGTCTCCAAAACATGAACATTAACTGTCAATGGTCCAAGCTCATGTGGTAATCCGCCCATATTAAAATATCTCAATTTTTGGGAACCAACAATATTTATGTCGCGATCGAAATTGCCATGCCTATGAGATCTGTGTCGGGATCTGGTGACGTATTTATCAAAGGAGAATATTCTTTGATCTGATAAGTCAACTTTTTCTATGTTGGGCACGTTCAACATAAAGAAAGGAAACGCCTTCTTACTTACTGTACCTGAAATACGATTTTTCGCAATGTTAAGCCGTTTTAAACAATTTGATAGCGGTGGACGGGGTTTTGGATACGTAAATATTACATCAAAATCCACAGAATTTACAGAATTATCACTAACGTCCAAATCATTAACACATATCTTGGACAGGACATGGAGATCGATCCTTCGATTAAAACCAATGTATGGTAAAAGAGTTTTGATACTTCGAAGGCCGATTTCAGTAATATTTTTATATTCAAACACCCGAAGAACATTAATCACCTGTGACAAGTTACTACTCCCCACATCAACATTATTGAACAGAAATATCTTCAAACTGGGAAAAGGGCGAAGAAAATTTTCATCAAAACTTTCGAATCTGCAGCTGTTTAATTGTACTAATTGAACAGGGATGCTGGCAAATATTTCAAATGTGTTATTTCTTATCACAGATAATCCACAATCAATCCGTTTGCCATGTTTCCAGGTCTCGCCAATGACAAGTTCCTGAAGTTCTGTTAAATTGGCAAATCCCGATTTAAATATTGCTCCCGAGCTTGTGTCCATGTTTAAATGTTTTAATCTTTTTAGGGGTCCAAAAACGCCATCTCGTAAATCAAAATCGCGATTTGGAAATCGTGATACATTTGATCTGAAGCTTAGAGTAATCAGTGATTGAAGAGGTGAAAAAACATCTGAAGGTATGGAGGAGTAATTGGTATAATTCAACTCGTGGCCATTGACTTCTAATACCAATAATGATGCAAGTCCATTAAACGCCCATACTTCTAGAGTATTGATGGGATTAAAACTTATATCAAGATATCGTAGATGGGTTAAATTCCGGAAATCATTGTTACGTAGAATTTCAATATGGTTAAAAGTCAGGTCTAGAGTTGTAGTATTTCTGGGTAGATTACCAGGAACTCTTGAAATTCCAATACTGGAACAATTGCTTTTTGTTCCACCATACTGAGAGTCCAATTTGAAGAGACATGGTTTGGTTCCCTCTTGACTAAGGATTGGACTAAGGTGGACTAAGGTGGCGATTAATCCTATTATTACCACTTGAACTGTTTGAGAAACCATTTCTAAACTTATCTAAAATTTAAAATATTACCACTTGAACTCAAAGGTCTAAAATTTAAAATCATCTGTCAAGATTTTCATTTATACGGTAATATTAGAAATGGGACTACATAATCATTTATGGGTGTCCAATATGACGATTAAAGTAGCCTACAAGATGTTGGCATGCTTTGGTTTTAAATGACAATGATATAACTGATTTTTCCTTTGACACACATCGATCTTTAAATATTTGTAGAACTGGAGATATGACTCTTTAAAAGAATATTCTCAATTTGCTATTAATTATTTATTCTTTACATTATCCATGCTTCAAATTTTAACATTTCAAAGATGTATTGTTACATTTAAAATTTATAAGAACTTTATTTATATACAAACATATTGGCCGATTGGTGTATATCCTTGTCAGCTACGATTTAGTTATGGTTGTCTATGTGTGACTAAGAATATGCGCTAAGTCAGTGTGCCTAGGAAGAATTTAGCTTGATATCTTACCCCACAAAGTTTCACTTTCGTTTTTAATTTCCTTATATAATGGGGTAAAATTGAAATAAACGCTTCACAGGTAAAAGTTTCCGTACAGCTAATAACAAGGAATTTCAATCGAGGTGGCCAAACAATTGAATTGTGTGCTTTCGTTACCTGAATTTGCAAATATGGTAATGAAAGTACATCTAATAATTCAGTGTGTGTTATGACATACATTCTGAAACATATAGATCAATGTTTGATCATACTTAAAGCTGAAATAGCCAAACTACCATATTTCAGAGGCGACCATTTTGAATCCAAAAGGAGGTCAGATCGCATGTGTCCCGCTCGTATTCGAACGAGAACATCAATATGTTCATGGTTTTTATCCTTGAGTGGCGTTTGGCGATTGAACATATGAAAAATCACACTACAATTTATATGGAAAACAATCACTGGTTTATAGACCTATAGCACAACGTTTCGACAAGTATTCTCTTATCGTTATCAAGTACAAATGTTCATGCCTTTATGAAAAAGTGAAATGATTCTGTGAAAAAATCGACTGTACTGTTAATCGTGGTGATTCTTGAAGAAAAATCGTAACAACCTTTTCCGATTCCTGGCATTCGTAGCCCGCGTGAAAGTGTGGCCTAAATGTTTACAATATTGTTTGATTACTGACGATCACGGAAACTGTTCTAGCACATGTTCAAAACATTCGCAGCGGTTGCTGATTGAATCCTAATGTCCGATGTTGTTCAAGGTTCCCTCCAAGAATATCCATAGTTAGCAAGCCTCGGCGATTAGTCACAAACCGTACTTCAGGTGGGACCAAGCCTGGAAATAAGGCACCTGTCACTGACAATGTCAGGCACATATTCAGGCTTTGTCAGGCACAAAACCTCTGGAGCCTGTCATTTTGTCAGGCACTGACTTTTTAATGATATTAATAATACATGTCTGGCACTAACTTAAAAATGTCAGGTACTATTTCATTAGTCAGGTACATCTAAAACAGTTATTTCCAGGACTGGGTGGGACAGGGCTTTAACAAATGGCCCTCACTTATACTTACATTGAATACAAAGATGACCTACCTCTATGCGTTATTCCCGCTTGTTTGTTTATTAAACAGCCCAAATATCAGTGCACTGTCAATCAGAGATTGTAAGATAACTAACGTATGGGTTAAAATTGTTTCCGTGTTATCTAATTACGCGGATTCATTTGCGAAAGATAAAATATGCTTAAAGATACATTATTATGTAAGATTGGCTGGCAGTTCCCGCTATAATAGTTAAAACCCGGATCATGTAATAAATGTATAATATTTAGAAATAGATAACATAAATAGAATATTCAGTCAAATTGCTCCACTCTGAACCGAGATATTAGCTTTTGAATTTCAGGCTAGCCTCGATCATCATTACTAAAGACGGTACGATATAAAACAAAGTCTCGATTATCGATTTTTACGGTTAATTATTTTTCAAAAAATGTATTCCAATCCGCTAAATATCGCAGATTTATGGTTTGAATAAGTTAATAAATGTCTTATTAATAGTTTATATAATATTTCAGGCATAAAGAAAGACCTGCAATAGGCAGATTTAGCTCTTGAAATATGCATGTTTAAAGATATATAGAGGTATGCACAGAATGTTACTTCGATTGAATCGTCTTATCTACGCCCACAAATAGACCTTGCAAAAGCGACCTCAATCGGAAAAGGGATGACAAACCAGGAAATACCATGTTTAGCTTGATTCATCCAGGTAAATTGTACCGTTAAACAAAAACACCTTTTTTCGTTCCTGTAGATTTACATACACTTCCACACCCTTTGAACATTCCTTTTCTTAGCTTCTAAAAGTCGATTTTATTTTTATTTTGATGCACACCTTAGTTGATGTTATCATTTTGATCAATAAATTTTAATACAAAATAATTTGACGGTCATACTGAATGAAATCCACTGCAATCCCCGAGATGTCAATGGCGCTGCAATCTGATTAAAAATAAGGTCCAATTTCGTTTCGTTTTTATATAGTTCAAAATTTCGATTTTAATTGTCATTACTACACTTGGATCTGGAAGCGTTGTTATTTAATTCGTGTTCTGCTTGAAATGAGGGGTCAGACAATCAAATGGTCTGTCGAATCGAGCGTTTGACCTTTTTTGCGCGGAACTGTGGGTAGACATTAGCGGCAACAGAAATCAAAACAAAGCAAAAGTAGGTAAAAAATACATGATTGGTTAATCGAATGGGTGACGTAATCGGGTCAAATGTCGCTTGCTTGGTACCTGACGTCATAGAACGTGAACTCCCACTACAACTTGTTAGATCTACATGTAGTGTAGGCCATCGAAAGTATAAAAAACGAAACGAAATATAGATCTATATTTTAATTAGATTGATGGCGCTGCAACATATGGCGCGTGCTAAAGTAAAGCCGATCCTACCAGTAACCAATTAGGGCTGGGAAGATTTGAATGCACGGGAAAATTGGCTTATTCAGGGAGACAAGCAACGTGTCGTTGATCATCATTAAATTAATTTCAAAAGTAAAATGTTCTGATAATCTCGCCTGTCCAACCTCGTGGGTTTTTCTCCGGGTCCTCCGGTTTGATCCATATGTTAGTCCCGAAATGACCTAGTTTGTGTCGAGTGGACGTTAAACCTCTCTCTCTCTCTCTCTTTCTCTCTATAATAATCGGGCTGAAACCATGTAATCAACAGGAAACTAAAATGAAATAAACACTTGTTAAACATCCTAAAATATGTGGCGGAAACATTACTACGATTAAATGACTGTACATGTGAAAGCAAGTGAACTTTCAATAAATGGTATCACAGTGCTCGTCTAATGTATGAATGTCAGGCCCTGAGTTCACAAAGCATTCTCAGACATAAATAAAGAATTTACTCAAAATTATTCGCCTTATTTGAACTAAAATATAGTCGTTTATAAAACGTTTGCTGTTTTAATGTATCAAATACATCAATAAGAAACTATGTGCAAAGTTTTGTGTTTCTGGATCAAAGATGTTTCTCATAAACAGTGATTGAAAATTGAGTAAATTTTTTACTTAGGTCTGGGAATGCTTTGTGAACTCAGGTCCTGAACAATATGTTTGATCAATTGTAGCATTGTAGTCATGAGCGGACGTACCCTTTTGATATTCAGCGTTCTAAGGCCTCCCGTTCAGGAGTTATCCCCCTTATGAACATCACAACGGCTATAATTTTTAACAGATTGCTTTGTAACTGTAACATTTTATGTGAAGCATTGGGGTCATGAGAGGATAAACCTTATCGATACTCAGAGTTTCCGTGACTTTTCGTTCCGGGGTTATGTCCCCTTTTCCGAAAAACCTTATGAATGCTATAACGGCTATAGTTATTAATGGATCTTTTTCATATTTGGCTTGAAATATTGTATCCATGGCTCTCCATCGATATTCATAATCTGGGTCATCCTACTGTGTGATCGCGATAGATACTATGGATTTCAACGAATTATTGCAAATTTGGTTGGAAGTGAGAGAGAGAGAGAGAGAAACGGGGTTTAACGTCCACTCGACACAAACTAGGTCATTTCGGGACTAAAATATGGTTTAATTTTATTTCAATGATTCGCTTGCGCGTAGGGGTCTTTAGCAGTGGGAGGAAACCGGAGGACCCGGAGAAAACCCACGAGGTTGGACAGGCGACCCTACTCCTTGCCACGTACAACCGGGGATTCGAAACCACTCCAGTTGACTCAATGACAGACTTTATGATACAGCGCGCGCACGCTAACCATTCAGACATCCAACCCCCCTTGGTTGGAAGTAATTATGGGTCATATTATGATGAAACATAGGAAGCAGATGTCTTCGAGGATCAATATCCAAGGTTATTCTTTTGTAAAGCAGCTGTGTGGACGTATTTCAGACTTAGCGTGTCTATCTTTTAAGCAGCTAAGGTATAAAAAGCACGTGTTGAAATGTGTCATCGGGCGAGGTCTACACGATTCATTTTGTTTCGAAAGACTAGGAGGAAGTCGGCTTACTCATCACAGGGCATCATTTCTAAAAGGAGCTTATCACCCCGAAGGAAGTTCGTCTACGCTTAGCCATTTAGTTTAACAATATTGGTATAATTCTTCCCTGTTATATAAATTATGAAATTTATAAACGTTGAATCATAACTGTTTCCTCTATCGCGCTAATATTTATCAAAATTAGGAAATCATCATCCGGAATGGTTGAGAGTCTCTTAATAAGATAAATATTGCATAAAAATGAGAACAAAAATTCAATAGGCTACACATTCCAAAATACTACGTCACAACTGTGACCCACATATTGCTTAAACGGTGGGTTCGTTTTTCCAAAACGCCGAATGCCGAAAGTACATCTTTTTGGAAGGCTTAGTTAAATACAGAAATGTAGCTACGTCACGATTTTCTGGAAAGACACATGGTTGATTCTATTTTAAAGCATGCTCAAATACACCAATGTAAAAAAATGCTGCCCCTAACTTATAACCTCACTATCAGTCTAATTAGAATAGAGATCTATATTTCGTTTCGTTTTTTTTTATACTTTCGATGGCCTACACTACATGAAGATCTGACCAGCTATACTGGGAGGTCGCCTCGGGTGCCATACGAACGGCTTTTGAACCTATGACGCCAGACATTGATTAATCAATCAGCGTTGACGTTTCTAGTGTGTTACCCACAGTTCCGTGGATCGCACGCCAAGAAGTAGCCGTAACAAGTGGTTTCGTTGGCTAATCTCCCACGCCAACCAGAACGCAGGTTATATAACAACTCTTTCAGATCCTAGTTACGAACAGACAAATAAAACGAAATTTTGAACTATAAAAAACGAAACGAAATAGGATATATATTGTAATCAGATTGCCCCACAATAAAATTGATCTCCCATGGATGTTATAAAACTTATCAACCTGTTGTGACGTCATCAGAGGGTGATATCCGATATCGGCCCTAGGTTTACATCACCCTGCGGGGGGTTGGATGGCTGAATGGTTAGCACGTACGCGCTTTACCATAAAGTCTGTCATTGAGTCAACTGGCGTGGTATCGATTCCCCGGTTGTACGTGACAAGGAGTAGGGTCGCCTGTCCAACCTCGTGGGTTTTCTCCGGGTCCTCCGGTTTCCTCCCACTGCTAAAGACCCCTACGCGCAAGCGAATTATTAAAATAAAATTAAACCATATTTTAGTCCCGAAATGACCTAGTTTGTGTCGAGTGGACGTTAAACCCCATTTCTCTCTCTCTCTCTCTCTCTCTCTCTCTCTCTCTCTCTCTACATCACCCTGCAATGAAAAAGGACACAAATTCTGTCATTTAACCAAATCAAAAATATCTGTCATTTAACATTTTATTCACTTTTTTTGCACAATGTTGTCAAACGATTCGGAAGGCGAGCGTTGACAGGGCCATGTTACTTAGCTTCTTCATCTGACCATCAAGAACTTGTCTGAAACTCAAATTCTGGAGTATGTAGTATACCCATATCAGTTTTACTTCTAATCCGTAAATGTGAAACAATGCCCATAACTAAATACGGAATTCGGTGGGTAATAAAATCTTATATCCTCATATCTTTCAGCGCACATAGGATTGTTCGCTAACTATCGTGTTTATTAATCCGTCACATTGACAAACTGTTAAAAAAGTTCACAGCCCACTGATTTCTGCGTAAGGTATTTATGGGCACGGCATTGTTGGCACATTCACCGAAGTCCTGTCACTCGAAATTGAAAATCGTTTATCATTTGTATCTCACAATCCGAAATATCCGAGTACATTAAATCCTTGTTGAATATTTCCGGCATTGGCCGAGAAAGTTCAACGGGATTTTCCGACGTGGTTTCCCCTTGTCAGTGGTGCAGAACGAAGGGGCTGACAAGAACAGCTGTCTAGTCCTTCGGATGATACGAAAAACCGAGGTCCCGCGTATACATTGGAATGCACGTAAAAGATCCCTTGGCAGTTGGAATTCGATATAAGAGTAGGCGATAGTGCCGCTGCCCGGGCAAAATTTCCCTCATAGCACACTGTATGACGTATGCTCATCTTCATTAGGCCAGTATAGGAGCAGAACAGTAGGACGTTAAACCCCATTTCATTTCCTTTCGCTATATCAACCCTCGGTTAGGGTAATAGTTATCTCGTATTATTAAAATTGAATATGGCGATTTTTGTTATTGTGATATCACATGTAAAATAATGTTTTCAGAGGAGAGAAGCACCCCGGACGCAACCGTAGAGTGGTAACGCAAGGCCAGGTTCAGGGACCTGCGATTGTTACAGTAATACCGTTTTTCATCAGCAATAAGCACACTAGACAATACATAAGACAATACATTAGCCTAAGGTTACTATCGGTCTTAATAATACTTGGGACGGACTGATCGTTGCTCGGTGGCCCACTCTGTGAGGGTGGGGGTCTCCAAACAGCCAAGAAATTTCTTTTGAAAAACTGTCAGTGAATGGTGCGTTCTAGAGTATATCGTGGTGTTTCTAGCTTATGCACATATTTAACTTGCGGCAATGGTAAGGGAAAGATAGGATTTTAAAACGTGTTTCAAATTTCTGCATTTATTGATTACTTTAATAACCAGTAGAAATACGCCAAATAAAATTATTATTAATACATTATTTTACAGCTGCAACAAAAATGTTTCCGTTTTATCCAATAAACAATTTATTGTTATTTCGGCAAGAAAGATACGGTGTTAAAACACGATACAAATTTCCATATTACATGGTAGACGCCAAATTATCATATATATTAACATTTGGTATATTGGTCGAGTATTTTGCACCAACAAAAAAGTGTCCGTTTAATCGAAAATTCCAATAAACATTTTAATTTTAGTTCGATAGGAATGTGCTACAGGTGGTAGACAAGATTTAAATGTTGTTTAAATGCGTATTTTCATACACTTATTGTGTTTATGGATTATAATATGGGAGGTCCGCCTAAATATAATATAAGATTTTGTATGAAATATGTGTCCTGGAAGCAAATGGGTTCACTGGCATCAAATATCGGGTTCTACAAATTTGGGCATATAGTGTTATTTGTACCCACAGCGAGAGAATATCTCCCTTCTCAGGTAATTCCTATGCAGAATAAACATTTCCGGTTTATCGTAAATTCCAATAAAAAAATTACTTTTAGTTCTTGGAGAAAGTGCTACAGGTGGTTACTATCGGTTATCGGTCTATATGATACAAGGGACCGTGAAAGGTTCCCACTCTATAGAGATAAGGGTCCGGCGGGGTTATCTCCAACCGGGATCGAATGACACCTGTACATGTTGCTTTCTAGAGTATATTCTGGTGCAGCAATCTTAATTCATCAAAAACAGTGTAAATACATGACTAAAAGGGGCCCCAAACTACGCATACCCATTTGCAGTCGATCCCTGGATTCGATACCAACAAGGGCTGTAAATACAGATCTCATCACCTTTCTGACCTAATATTAGGGCCCAAATTATTAAAACAACTAGATGTATCGAAACAACTTTTACCCCTTAGAAGATGGTGCAAAGACATACCAAATGAAGAAAATTACACTAGGAAAAGAACACAAAACAGATGTTTGGATTTCTTAAATTTATTTTTTTAATCAAAGTAGAAGTGAGTAACACTGAAAACCTTAAGAGATATATTTTAAAATCAATACCCACATGGAAATAATCCCCATGATGGATTATTATTAAAATGTCGGTTAATTAGGTTAGTGCCTGTTCTCAGGCGGAGCTAACTGTAGACAGGCAGCCTAAGTTTGGAATGCTCGAGCAGTCGACTTATTATCTCAAGCTCTCAACCTTTTTTTGCATGTCATCGCAGTAATATGACAAAAGGCAAAAAGACTGGTTTGGACAAATTTACTGACTAAATATTTACAAAAATGTGAATGTGACGTTAGCTGCTGTCCTTATGTTATAAGGTATAAATATGCTAAGTTTCAAAAATATCCATTCAGAATTACAGCCTGTAGACGCAAAATAGAACGAGCGTGCGTATCTCCACCCCTGACGGTTGGGCATGGACCAATATAAACCCCTTTATTGAAATGATTGATCATGCCATATTTGAACAAAATCGGTTAATAACTGCAACCTGTAGGGTATTTACAGACAAACAATTAATCCCCCAAGGGGATTCAGATCATGCACCAAAACAATAGTTGCGGTCCTTATGGTATACGGAATAAGTATATCTTGTTCAAAGATAATCCATTCAGAATAGCAGGTTACATGCGATAAACACACAAATTGGGCGTGAGTCTATCACTAGGGGTCTGGACACGCAGCGAAATCAATATTTGTCGTCCTTAGGCTTTAAGCATGCAAAGTATAACGAATTAATATTTCCTTAAAACGAAATAATTATATAAGAGTTGAATTGTTCAGTATAATTATAATTATTTCAGTATAAAATTATATAAGAGTGAAATCGTGATACATCGAGTTAAGGTCGAGATTATGACTTTCAGACTGTATATCACGACTAACTTTAAAATATCATTAATAAATTATTTTAGCAGAACAAGTCGAAAATATTGTTGAAATATTCAATAAAAAATAGAAATATTAATAACGTGTTTATCCTCATAACGCTATTTACTTCAGCTAAAATAAACCAATTTTCTCACATAAAAGCTGTTGCCATGTATTTTGTTTTAAAATAAACGGCAACCACAATATTCTCAACTTGCTGTTGATTCCAGGTTGAAGATTCATCAAGATGTTTACTTTGTGGTTGATTACAGTTGCTATTGTGCTTGCTTCCATGTTGCCAAGCTGTACTGCATATACAGGTAAGTATTGATATTTCATACTGCCTTATATTTCTTTAAGATCATATTTATAATTGCCATAAAACATAATGGTGGCATTTGGAATTGGATATTGCCTTGTTATGCCTTGTTTGTTTTTATTGTATTTTAAATGTCCACCATATTTTCGTATATGGATGAAGCAGTTGATATTTTTTCATTTACGGTTAACATTTGGAATGTATCCTGTAAGTCTGAAGTTCCTCCATGGATTTCTTTCTTACGTTCTTCTGTTAGATTATTTTCCTACCATACAAGTGAAATTATACATAAAAATAGTTTATTTGAACGAGTACTCTTGTAAAAGTGGAATGATTAAAAAATAGTATGGTACAGATACGGAAACGTAAGCCAAATATAGGGTGTCCAAGAAAAAACGTAAGCCAAATTTAGGGTGTCTCAGAAAAAACGAGTACTGTGCCGATATATCAATATTATTTCACATGCAGTAACATATGGATGTTTAACAACCTCACACCAAATTACAAATCCATATGGTATGGTATGTGTAATGTTAACGATATAGGTACAGTACCATTCGAATACAGATAATAGTGCATTCGTTTTATCTGGGACACCCAATATTTGGCTTAAGTTTCCAATTTTCCATGGCCTTATTATTTCTTAAATTAGGAATACATCATATATATACACAAGTGTTTATTTACGATATTACGTATAATTATTTTACAGTGAAAAGTTGTAACCTAACGGAGTGTATAAAGAAGGGCAAAAGCCGTTGTTTCCTATTCACATGTAAAACCGATGGTAAGATGCCTAATCTTCCACCTATAATTTACTTTTGTCCCCCGGAAAACATTATACTTAGTCAAAAGAGAGAGAGAGAGAGAGAGAGAAATGGGGTTTAACGTCCACTCGACACAAACTAGATCATTATGGGACTAACATATGGTTTAATTTTATTTCAATAATTCGCTTGCGCATAGGGGTCTTTAGCAGTGGGAGGAAACCGGAGGACCCGGAGAAAACCAACGAGGTTGGACAGGCGATACTTAGTCAAGACTCCTCCTATGTGTTTTTTAAATCTAAATCGTATTGTTTATTAAAAGGAAAAACATGTAATTTACCTTATTATCAGCTACATTAAGGCTTTTAAAAGTAGACAGTAAATAGCTGACCTCTTGGTCAAATATGGATCATTGTGGTTCTGTTGTTGTAAAATTTGGTTTATTGGGAATATTGATTTGGGTATGTGTTTTCCAGGGACGAGATCATTAAATAAAAATTGTGGAGGTACACTATGTGACAGAAAAACAGAAGTGTGTATTGGTGGTACCTGTATAAACAGACGTATGTAATTACCTGTCTGTTGATTATTGTATATACAAACAGTAGACTTTATAAACACTTGAAATTGAAAACTCAAGTTCAAACGATCACCATTTACAATATAATTAATGAAACGATCCCGGTGATACATGTACTTTGTATTTAGATGCCGGTAAAATTATGTAAAGTTTTATCAAAACTGTTAGATTAATATTTTCAAATATTGTATTTTTTTCACACATTTTCAAGAGAGAGAGAGAGAGAGAGAGAGAGAGAGAGAGTTTAACGTCCACTCGACACAAACTAGGTCATTTCGGGACTAACATATGGTTCAATTTTTTTCCATAATTCGCTTGCGCGTAGGGATCTTTAGCAGTGGGAAGGAAACGGAGGAAACCCACGAGGTTGGACAGGCGACTCTACTCCTTGTCAATTACAACCGGGGAATCTAAACCACACCAGCTGACTCAATGACAGACTTTATGATACAGCGAGCAGGTGCTAACCATTCAGCCATCCAAACCCCGGTCTGGAAACAAGGTGTGCCCATCTCGAATATGTTGATCACATGTATTTACAGTTTCAACTCAACACAATCCATGTTAACCGACATGTTCCAATATCTTAATATGACGTTATATTTATAAACTTCAATATGTTTATTTTTTATTTTTCAGATAAAAATTGTACGGTTACGAATGAAAAAGGCCAACTCGTCTTGTGTCGTGATCAGGGTATGTGGTTTATTTTACGAGAGACAGAGAGAGAGAGAGAGAGAGAGAGGGAGAGAGAGAGAGAAACAAACTAGGTCGTTTGGGGACTCACCCATATTTCAATGTAATCTTAATAATTCGCTTGTGCGTGTAGGGGTCTTTAGCAGTGGGGGGAAACCGGAGGACCTGGAGAAAACCCACCAGTTTGGACAGGCCATCCTACGCCTTGTCATGTACAACTGGGGAATCGAAACCACGCCAGTTGACTCAATGACAGGCCTTATGATAACGAGCGCACGTGCTAAACATTCGCCCCACCCCCACCTCACTTTGCTAGCCTGGAGGTGCTGTGTTCGTAACTACATTGCCCGAGAAAGTTCGTCGGGATTTTCCGGCGTTCTTCTCCTTGTCAGTGGAGCAAGGAGGGCGGCCTGGCATGGAACAACTTATAATCGTTCTGATGGGACGAAAAAACGATCCTACACATTTGCGTGCATGTATATGATCCTTTGGAAGTTTGAATAAGAGTAGCGCCGCTGTCCGGGCAAAAATTCCCTCACATTGTTGTAGTAATATTGTCTTTGCGATCATATTGTATCATTAACTATTTATTAGATTCGCACACCCAAATGAAATTGACTGATGTGTTTATATATAAAAACAGTGATAATTTGGTAAAAACACTGGTTATGTCCTTTCGTTTAACAAAATATTTATCAACCACCATCTTGTTTATAATGTGATTGGCAGATCAAATAAGGTAATGTTAACCTCCCGGTCTCCTTCCGGTATGGGGGTGTTTATTCCATACTTGGAAGGAAATTAACATCAAGGCCAGTCTATGACGTAAACGAATTGGGCATTATAAAAGAGGGTGTTGAGTGAAATTCAGGAGAGTCACTCGGTTTGTCAGAGCAGCCATCAAAACTATATAGAAATCATAGAAACAACCCAACATGTAGTTATATATATTAACGATCACGAGGAAAACACAAGTCCGATATTACTACAGGGAAGGGTAGGGGTGTATCCGCTCCATCACTACAGAGGGTGGTTGGATGGCTGAATGGTTAGCGTGCGCGCGCATTATCATAAAGTCTGTCATTGAGTCGACTGGCGTGGTTTCGAATCCCCGGTTGTACGTGACAAGGAGTAGGGTCGCCTGTCCAATCTCGTGGGTTTTCTCCGAGTCCTCCGGTTTCCTCTGACTGCTAAAGACCCCTACACACAAGCGAATTATTGAAATAAAATTAAACCATATGTTAGTCCCGAAATGACCTCTCTCCCTCTTCCATCATGGGCTCTCAAAACGGACAAATGCATATCTCATTTTACTAACTTACAAAGTTATCTAGTTGAGCTACGATAGTACAACCAGTTTAAGTTGGCATGTTAGGAATTTTACGATCAAATGAATGATGATATACACTGATTATTTTAATATCTATGTAACAGTCCATAGCTATATTTATATTTTGGCCTAGGTGAGAGAAGCTATAAATAAATCAAGACACCTATTGTAAAAGCGTCCAGCATTATAAAAGTTCAATTGTTTCAGGTGAAGTATGTGGGGAATCATTCTGTATTTTTAATTTGGGTAGTAAATGTGTAAATAACACGTCATGTCGGGGTAAGTATAATATAGATATAATATAATATGTTATTCAAAAGGTCTATTACTATAATAAATGCTGTTCTACTTGATCATGTGTATGCTATACCTGATGCCTTAACAAGAGAAACACCTGGTAACACTATCCTATGTTGGATGATTTGGAAGATTTTGTACCTGGTCAACCTGATCATATTCCTCTTTTATCTTTTGAAAGATAATCTTAAACACAATTCTATATTGTAAAGTATATTTATTGTAGATAAACGTGGCTGCGTTGGGGAGGCTGATGGTACCACTTGTGGCTATGATTCTACTGGTCATTGTTCAGGTGGTGTTTGTCTATGTAAATATGATTATATTATATATACAACTGGCGGTAGTTTTTTCTTTGATGTCCATAGCAGTTATATCTCATAACAACCTGTCATGACGTCATCATAGGTTGATATATTCGTTCATATCAACCGCTGATGACGTCATGACAGGTTGATAAATATATCAACCGGTAATGACGTCATCTCAGGTCGATATATTCAGCTCATATCAACCGCTGATGACATAGATGATCGAAATAAAACAAAAAACACAGAAATAAATTTTTATTCTTTTGACAATTAAAAATTGTTATGGTACAGTTTGTAACATTCCGGGCCGAAATAGACGGCATATTTAAATCGTTTATCCATACTCCATGTCTAAGATAATCTCCAACTTGTAATAAATATCTAGTTGGAATAAAGCGTACAGTGTTAGTCTCGAAATGGCCTAGCTTTAAGGGACTATTATACCCCCCCTCCCCCATATGAACTTTACCTATTTGTTGATAAACATTTTGATTTTGATATATGACTTCTTTGTTTATAGACAATTGATGGATACTGTGACCGTAAATATTCACTATTTTTTTATAATCACCTATCAATATAATCCGATTTGTATATATATTTGAATAAGACAAAAACCTCGAGTACTTCGCGTCAGGACAACAAACAAGAAGTTAGGACTTTAAGCATACTAAGCAGTAAACGAAACACCAGGTTGCTATAATACTGCGAATAGACGCATTGCATAAAACTTGCCAAATGTTTTTATTGTATAATTGTGACCACTTTACCTTACCTGAACAATAAGGCCCCTTTCCAAACACAGAAATGAACCCAGGAAATTTTCTAAAAAACGCAACCTGATGCCACGACTCATGACAGCTCAGAAGAACCAGGCGCTTGGAAGACTCGACGCTGGCCACACTGCCCAAGCCGTTGCCAATCACTTCCAGGTCAATGTTCGGACCATATACAGGCTTCAGCAACTGCAGATGGCAGGACCAGAATATGGCGCCGACGTGGCCAGCGTTATTCTGACCAATGTGTCATGGAACGAGACTCATGGGCAGGTCCAAGCATAATGGTTTGGGTGGAATCGGCCTGAACCAGAGAGTGGGTCCTGTGGTGTTCCAAAATCTTGTTTGTGCGCTACATCGATCAAGCTCCCAGAGCCGACATTATACCACATTTCCCCTGCCCGTGTCTTGGAATTGTGATGAATTAATCACTAATGTGTCAACATACTGTTCGCAAAAAATTGCCTTGATCCATTTAGTAAGTCGTTTTCTAGAATGATTTGATTAAAGTGCCTCTCTGATTTTGAAATCGTACTGACGTTTTGTTTTTTCGCTGTTTAGTATATATTCACCTAATAATGTTATTAATCGTTTGTCATGGTGCACTATAGTTTTATATTGTCTTTTTACAAACATTCATTACTTTAATGTACTTGGTACAAATCATAGTGGGGGCATGATCCACTTCATAAACATTTGGATGGGATTAGATGGCCACGTCAAATACCCAGTTCAATCCACTAAAATAATTCATTTACTCTGTAAAACTAACATATTGCTTTTCCAACGAATCTTATTTTTTTATATTCATTCATTTTCTGGCTCGGTTTTTCGATGGAAGAAGTTTCCGGAAGAACTTATTTATCAATGATGTCTAAACTATATTTTCTACTTTTCAGACGTCAAATGTGAAGAATCAATTTGTTTTTAGTAAACTGGTTGATGTTATGAAATATCCACTGTACAGTGAACAACCATTATTAAATTGAATAAAATAACTTGTGATATTTAAGCATGCTGATATAACTTTAATGAGTAGATGAGTAGATGGAAAAGCAGCTGCCTTGGCAAAATTTCACCTATAGTACAACGCTATATATCGATTAATGCAGAACAGTTTAAAACCCCACTTCATTTTGAATCGTCCCGCGAAGGGGTACTAAAGTGACACGATTTGCCATAATCAACCCAAACCGGCCCTTTAAGATACATAAAGATGGCGTTACTCCTTCTTGAGCCACGGGAATTATCTTCAGCCACCCTAAAAATATTTGTCCACCGCTGACATGACGTCAACATTACACGGAAACAGGTAGAAGTTAGACAGGGCCAAATCTGGCCATAAAATGCCAAATGTCATTTTGGGTTAAAATCAGATTTTCGCCTTGTCGATGATTGGGAAGGAAAGGACATAACTCATGTATGAATTTGTAGGGATCAGACCACTTTGGAGAAACACATTAAGGATTAGTCTATATCATCTACGAATATTAATCTGGATGGGTTGTCAATATTTAGCTAGATTATCCGATCTTCACGTTATGTAAATGTTTTACTGTTTCCTGCAGTCAGAGAGCGTAACAGTGCGATAAATATGTCGACGCCCATTAAATTAATATAAAAACGGCCATTTCAAAAATATCTATTAACATTTCTAGTTTAATATGCAGCACTCCTAAACATTTTATTGTATATATGGTCAAATCTCTCACTTCAAGGATCATATCTATGGATTTTATTAATTCTAATTTATTCATGTCACAATTCATGTTTTGTTTTATAATAATGCATGAATTATGGGATTTATTTCGGGAAGGAGGGTGTGGTTTGGCTGGCAAGAAAAAAAGAGAGAGAGAGGGGGGGGGGGTGTCCCACATAGGCTGGGGGGCAGAATGATGACACACATGAAAGAGACCTCCTTTACAGACTGGACACGTTATGCTAGATTAACCTTGTCCAGGAAATACTACAGACACCGTATATTATGGTATAATAAATTGTTTACCTTGTCCAGGGATATACTGAATGTTGTAGTGCGCCTGACTAGCAGCCCATAGGGCTCTCTGATATTTCTCACGTTTTCATGGATTATAGTTTAGTTATTATAGTATCAAGGATTATTTTGGATTAGATTTATCCCCCATCGGCATTTATGGATTATTCATATCCGAAAATTTTCTGGTTTTGGTCAATGTTATGTGGAAAACCTAAACAGACTGAGAACATACATCAACGTCTCCTGTAGCTTCACCAGAATACATTGGTGCGAAAACATCAAAATTTATGTACCGGAGTTACAATACGCATACCATACACTAAAACACAAGTCTTTTCTCGGTTAGTCAATTTATCTTCGCGAACTAGGTTTTTTTTTTACTACTACCCCGGCACATCCGGTATCTTTCGGTTTTGTCACCGATTATACCTTTAATTACAGGCATTACCTGATAGAGAGAGAGAGAGATAGAGAGAGAAATGGGGTTTAACGTCCACTTGACACAAACTAGGTCATTTCGGGACTATCATATGGTTTAATTTTATTTACATAATTCGCTTGCGCGTAGGGGTCTTTAGCAGTGGGAGGACCCGGAGAAAACCCACGTGGTTGGACAGGCGACCCTACTCATTGTCACGTACAACCGGGGATTCGAAACCACACCAGTCGACTCAGCATTACCTGACTCTCTGGAATAAAGTTCAAACAATTGTTATTATTATCATTAAAGGCTCAATACCACTCTTGTTGTAACTGAATAATATGTCCCAATCTTTATTCTGGTCAACAAATTGTACTATTTTAGAATATTTCAATTAATTGATGATACAAATTTCATCTTAACACACCTTATTTAAAAATTTTTAAAAATTCAACATAATGGTTTGAAACGTCTAACGTAAACCTTTTCAAATGAAACTTTGATTTAAAAATAATTTCGAACCCTCTGGACAAGTAAAATAGGATGTAATGGATAATTTAAACAACAGGTAGGACACTTAAACATCTAGTACTTAGATAGAGATATTATTTATTTTCTGGAGCTTTCAAGCCAGCAAGAGTGTTATTGTCCCTTTAAGTGACGTTCGGCTTTGTTTGTTAAACTTATGTTCATCGTTACGTCCTTCAACGGATGACACAGGATTTCTATTGTTACACTGATGTGATCTATGACCTGGTCTTCTGCATATGTAACATACCAAGTTATTACATCAGGCTGAGATGCCGATAGGAATTGTGCGGTATTCGCCGCTGTGGTTGCTGTTTAGGTCCCTTCCTAACAGATTCGGTATAATTTGTTGGACGCGCATGCATATAATGTTCTCTGAGTTTATTCCGAAGAAAATGGGTTGCTTTACTTCCTCGCGCATCACAAAAAAAACTGGTCTGCTAATTCTGTCATGTTCGAAATCTATGTGCGAGATCGTTCTTTTAAAAACAGGCTTAATTCACATTCACATTTAGATAAAGAGAGAGAATGGGGTTTAACGTCCACTCGACACAGACTAGGTCATTTCGGGACTAACAGAAGCTTTTTAATTTTATTTCAATAATTCGCTTGCGCATAGGGGTCTTTTGCAGTGGGAGGAAACCGGGGGACCAGTAGAAAACCCACGTGGTTGGACAGGCGACCCTACTCCTTGTCACGCCAGTTGACTCAATGACAGGCCTCGTGATACAGCGCGCGCGTGCACATTTAGATACAAATTGATTTCTAATAATTAAATCAAACAAACCCTGGTAGTCTTTATTAATACCAGAAAGCTCAATCCATCGCGTAAAATAATCCGATAATCTAACAGTAAATTGTACGAAAGTTTCTCCGACTTTAGGAGTAGAGTAATGCAATCTGTTCACAAAAACTTCTTCAGTCAACTCAAAAACGTTTTAATAGCGCCCCTTTAAGAACTTCGTGGGTCGCCTGTCCAACCTCGTGGGTTTTCTCCGGGGTCCCCCGGTTTCCTCCCACTGCTAAAGACCCCTACGCGCAAGCGAATTATGTAAATAAAATTAAACCATATGTTAGTCCCGAAATGACCTAGTTTGTGTCGGGTGGACGTTAAACCCCCATTTCTCTCTCTCTCTCTCTCTCTCTCTCTCTCTCTGTCTAAAAGTGTGTCATTTCGGTTTGTTTTGTGTGAAGTGCGGTCCTCCGGCACTTACTATTAGATGCCAAGATGAATTGTATGTATTACAAATACATTAAAAACACAAGAGTGTCCAAAACTGTGAACGCATACAGCTGGCCCCCGGATCCATTCACTTGATTTTATATCAATCTGGGGGATCACGGTGGCTAAGTGGGTAAGGCGCTGGCTCGCTAGCCTGGAGGTCGGGTGTTGGATCCCTGCATTGGCCGAGAAAGTTCATCCAGATTTTCCGGCGTGGTTCCCCCTTGTCAGTGATGCAGGACGGAGGGCCTGACAAGGACAGATGTCTAGTCATTGGGATGAGACGAAAAACCGAGGTCCCGTGTACACATTGGCGTGCACGTAAAAGATCCCTTGACAGTTGGAATTCGATATAAGAGTAGGCCGTAGTGCCGCTGTCCGGGCAAAATTACCCTCATAGCACACTGTATGGCGTATGCCCGTCTTCATTAGCCCAGTTCGGAGCAAAACAGTAGGACGTTAAACCCCATTTCATTTCATTTCATTTCATTTCTTATATCAATCTGATTAGTTCAAAATTTCGATTTTACTTGTCTTTACTACACTTGGATCTGGAAGCGTTGTTATTTAACTCGTGTTCTGCTTGAAATGAGGGGTCAGCCAATCAAATGGTCTGTCGAATCGAGCGTTTGACCTTTTTTGTGCGGAACTGTGGGTAGACATTAGCGGCAATAGAAATCAAAACAAAGCAAAAGTAGATAAAAAATAAATGGCTGTCGCTAATTGGTTAATCGAATGACTGACGTAATCGGGTCAAATTTAGCTTGCTTGGTACCTGACGTCATAGAACGTGAACTCCCACTATAACTTGTTAGATCTACATGTAGTGTAGGCCATCGAAAGTAGAAAAAACGAGACGAAATATAGATCTATATTTTAATTAAATTGATTTTATATCTGTTTGTTTATTTTTACAAGGTCTATATTCTGTCTTGTCCGTAGGTTTATTTTCTAGATTTTGTTTTGCGTGAAGTGCGGTCCTCCTGCACTAACTATTAAATCCCATTAACTTGCTGCAAAACGAAATACAGGCAGAGTTTTAAATCTTTTTAATAAATAGTATTTTATTTAAATAAAAGATTAAGATCAGGCTAAGTCTATATAACCCATCTCCTATATCACAAAGAATCTACACAAACAAAACGGCTATGTACATATTTACAGTTTCGGGTTTGCTTTATTCATAGTCTTAATATGATATTAATTTACCTTCTGGAGATATGAACAAAAAACCACGTGACCGTGTTGAACTATCATCGCAAATGAACTATTATAATGGTCTGTCGGTATTGAAAATGAGTTTGCGGCGTAAAGTAAAAAGGGATTTTACGTGCATCTGGCTGTAAAGAACTATTTAAATTTAATGAATAAAATCGTCACCTGCAGGGCTGTCTGGGATGAACATTTAAAAACACCACAGGAAAGGCGATGTCGACAATGTCACCTTTGATTTGTCTTACATGAGACCGACTTGGGATAGTATTACTGTATATATTAAAGAAACATTGAGTTTTATAAAGAGTTGGCCATTGTTGCTATAATAATTCAAAAATAGATGATAAAAAAAGAAAATGTTAAAACTTTCCGTCAAATTACTTTGAACTGAACGGAATTGTCACTGTTGGAAGTTTGGACTAGAAAGATGCATCAATTGTGTTTGCACCGTCTATGAGAATTAGCGATCGTTTGATTGACAGACGATAACTCCACCCACATATTCTCGATTATCAAGTAACATGATCAATGGTTTGGTAGCATCGTTTGGCAGGCCTTTCATCAGCAGTTTCCGGTTGTGACATCAGCGACTAACGGTAAACGTTAGCCTGGTTCGCCATTTATTGATTTAATTTTAAATGGACGGGTAACTTTGGGGCTTGTCGTGTAAAAAAGGTCTAATTAATAATTTATATAACATTTCAGGTCTAAATAAAGACTTGCTATAAGCAGATTTAGCTCTTGCATAATGTATGTTTAAACGGTGTTTCCACTAGGCTTCTATGGACTTAAAATATAGATTATGATAGGGCAGTAAATATACATATTAATGCTAGGTTCCCACTATCACGAATAAAGTCGTGGTTTTGATCATGGAGTAATCGTGGCAATCTATCATATATTGAGGTCAGGCGTAGCAATCGTGTTTCTCGTATAGAAACGTATCCGAACGTATCTACACGTACCAGATACTGGACTCAACAGAGACTTTTGGCAAGCGGAATTTTTACCATCCGTATCACGTATCCGTATGTATACGTGATACGTTGCGTCAATGCAGTTTTTGAGTTTTGGTAGATTTTCGCGTCGCGTACGTATGCGTCGCTGAGCTGAGCTTACTCGTAGTTCTACATGTACTACAGCATAATGCAGATATCTACCAAGATCATCGTAAGTACTAGCCTACAATTTTCTGGAGGGACTGAAGCCGCTCGACAGTCACTGGGCTATTAAAAAAAATTAATTTCGAATCTTATCAAAAATTCTTCGACTTTTTGGTTTCACTAATGTATTATTTACAGATGTGCAAGGTCCCACCTCCCTAAATTTAGCACGTAGATCAATCAGCATGCAGACAGACAGGAAAAGTATGAACATTCCGAGAAAACCCCATCAAAAATAACGATTAAATTCCGGTCGTTATCATGGCTAAAATCACATCAAATAAACACCTCTGTGTTCTAGGATACACATAGATTCATATAAACGCTATGAAACAACATTTCTGCGTCTAAAAGTTGCAAAAAAGACGAAAATTTTATACAGACCTTTTCCGTATGACAGCTGTTCGATACGTGCTGTCTTATCCGTGTGCCGTATCACGTATGAGAAATGCACACACATTGATGACGTCACACGCAAAATCCATACGGATACGCGATAGGGACCAGGAATTTACGCTTGCCAAAAGTCTCTATTATGGACAATCATATCGTGACGCATCGCACGATAGGGAGAACATACCAAAAGATATAAATAAAGACACTAATTAGTCAATGATGATCAATCAGAGAACTGTTACATACATTTACATCTTTATCGCATTAAGAAAGTAACATTGTTACGTACATTTACATCTTTATGTATTTAAGTATGGGTTTTTACATGTATATATTGTCTGATCATAACTTAAATTTCATCATTGCTGTATATAGGAATACGGAAACGTCGCTCATTAATAAACAGTGATTATAGTCCACGTCATTGTCATCTTCAATAGAAGGCTCGATCTCGCTTTAACTACGCACATCTTATCAAGGCCTTCACTAATTTCCATTGGGTACAAGCCCAGCTTGTGAGCCTATCAGATTCATCGATCGTCGCGAATACCAAGTCTCGCGCTTTCAAGCTAAAATATCTACCTGTGATAATCGAGTTGTAAAGTTCAAGGTTCATTCAATGTCAAGGTTTCCGAGGAGGTCACGATGTCACAACCACTGATTGGACGCTACTGCTCACGTGTCTATAGAAAACATAGCTATAAGTTCGGGAATTGTGAAGTAAACAAGCAACGGCCAGATGTTGTCATTGTGTCCTGTGTAATTCCATTACATTATATTCCACATCATTGTGTGCTGTGTAATTCCAATACAATTACTAAATGTATTGAAATAATTCATCTGATGGATAATCTTTAATTTAAAGGGACACAATTTCACAGCTTTTATATTTCCGTAAGATGGACCATTTATTATAATCATTAAAGTAGATGAGTCTCTAACTCATTAGCATCCAAATTGGGCTTCAGCGCAATTTGTAACAAGGGACTCGAAGAACAAGATTAGACATATTCCACAAGTCATGTCAAACGGTGACATCATATTCTTATCTGGAGAGCATGCGCAATAAATACTATCTGTGTAAACTGGAATAACTAGATGCTAGAGATTGCTATTCGATTGAGACTTCTGGTGTATTTCGCCGAACATAACTGATTAGAAATTACAGTAAAAACAGAAACGATTGAATGTAAATCAGTTTATATACATTCATATTACATTATTATATGCGTTGCGACCAATTAGTGTCAATTTCTAGGGCCCAAATATTAGCGATTTTGCTCCGGGTAAAGGGTTTTACAAAAAAGATATGTTTAAGGCCCAGTAAACGGTCAAAACATAGCCCATGTTTTATAAGATCAGTGACACTATGATCGATAACACTTGTACTAGGCCTAATTTGTGGCCTGAAACACCGAATAGGTCAAGTAAAAGAACAATAGCATAATCCATCAGTCACAGGAAAGAAGACCGTTCAATTTTGTTTCAGCGGCCATACCCCCCCCCCCTCACCCACACACACACACACACACACACACACGCGCGATAAAACATATAAAATGTAATGAATACATTTACTGCCTCCTGCAATGGTCATAAAATGTAATGTAAAACATTTTCAATTGCATTTAGTGGTTTGAAAGGACAATAATAACAACTACCTTTCATTAAAGTGTATTTTTTAATAACTTGTGGTGTATTATTATACATGTCATCTTAGAAAACAAAAATAACAATAAATAAAACAAAATTAAATAAAATGGGGTTTAGCGTCCTATTGTTCTGCTCCAATTGGGGCTATATAAGACGGGCGTATACAGTGTTATAATGGAAATTTTGACCGGGCAGTGGCACTATACCGAATTCAACTGCCAAGGGATATTTTACGTGCACACCAAGGTATACACGGGGACCTCGTTTTTTCGTCCCATCGGAACGACTAGACAACTGTCCTTGTCAGGCCCTCTGCCCTGCACCACGAACTATCTGGTTAAAACACAGATCCTATTTCGTTTCGTTTTTATAGTTCAAAATTTCGTTTTACTTGTTTTTACTTCACTTGGATCTGAAAGAGTTGTTATTTAAATCGTGTTCTGAATGGTGTCAGGGATAAGCCAATGAAACGGTCTGTTACGGCGAGCTTTAGGCGTGTTTTGCACGGAACTGTGGGTAATCCACTAGTAACATCAATGCTGATTGGTTAATCAAATGTCTGACGTCATAGGTCATAAGTCGGTCTTTTGACCCCTGACGTGACCTATGGCTATAACTTGTCAGATCTTCATGTAGTATAGGCCATCGAAAGTATAAAAAAAACGAAACGAAATATAGATCTGTATTTCAATCAGATTGAATGAACATTGTTGGTTAATGCAGTGATCGAACACGCGACCTCCAGGCTAGTGAACCAGCGTCTTACCCACTTAGCCACCGTGGTTCCCTGTGGAATAGTAAACATATATAATCAGGTACGATATTTTGCCTCCATAACTTTTTATCACAATTATAAGTTTCATATTAGAAAACTAAAATAACAATAACATTAAAGGGACAATAACACTCTTGCTGGCTTGACGGCTCCAGAAAATAAATGATAGCCTTATTCTAAGAATTAGATTTTTAAGTATCCTACCTGTTGTGTAAATTATCCATTACATCCTATTTTACTTGTCCAGAGGGTTCGAAAATATTTTTAAATCAAAGTCACATTTGAAAAGGTTTACGTTAGGCTTTTCAAATCATTAAGTTGAATTTTTCCAATTTTTTAAATTAGGTGTGTTAAGATGAAATTTGTATCATCAATTAATTGGAATATTGTAAAATAGTACATTTTGTTGACCAGAATGAAGATTGGGACATATTATTCAGTTACAACAAGAGTGGTATTGAGCCTTTAAACAAACACATATAAGAATACAAATTATCGTTCAATAAAAAATAAATATATTACAATAACCAATAACATGAGCTGCTCAGGTCCTAAAAATGCATTTAAATAGACAAGAAACGAAAAGGGCGGATAACTCGTTCGCAAAATTAATTCATTAAAATTGAATTTAGAAGAGAGAGAGAGAGAGAGAGAGAGAGAGAAATGGGGTTTAACGTCCACTCGACACAAACTAGGTCATTTCGGTACTAACATATGGTTTAATTTTATTTCAATAATTCGCTTGCGAGTAGGGGTCTTTAGCAGTGGGAGGACCCGGAGAAAACCCACGAGGTTGAACAGGCGACCCTACTCCTTGTCACGTACAACCGGGGATTCGAAACCACGCCAGTTGACTCAATGACAGGTCTTATGATACAGCGCGCACGTGCTAACCATTCGGCCATCCAACCCCCCGGAATTTAAAAGAGTCCTGAAAGTCAGTGGCTGACATTCTTTAAAGATACTTAAAGATTTTTATAAAGAGCTGACCAGTCTTACTAAAATAGTTTGAAAATAGATTTTCATTTAAATTACTTTATTCTGAGTCGAGTTATCACTGTTTGTAAATTTAAACAACATGTGTGCATTGTGGTAACCAGAGCACTGGTATATTCGAGATTTAGCCTCGCTTTCCCATTTTTAAATTATTTTTTTAAATGTTGAACCGTTCTAATCTCGTTAAAATATCGAGTATCCGATGGCATCGAGAGTTGATTATGGTCTTGTTTTGTTAATTAATGTCTAATTAATAGTCTCTACTACGGTCCTCTAAGTAATAATAGTTGAGTTGAAACCTGTACTACGTCCTCCAGGTAATAATAGTTGTGTTTAAACCTCTACTACGTCATCCAGGTAATAATAGTTACGTCCTCCAGGTAATAATAGTTGTCTACGTCATCCAGGTAATAATAGTTACGTCCCCCAGGTAATAATAGTTACGTCTTCCAGGTAATAACAGTTACGTCCTCCAGGTAATAATAGTTGTGTCTGTTATCTTGATGTTTAAGTTCTGTATCTGAATTAACTGAAATAATAGTTAATTAATTTATACATTATGAGTGAGAAAGCAATGTAATTGTGCATCATAAATAAAGTTTTTAAAAGTCATTAAGTTATACTGCATAAATAAAGTTTTTAAAAGTCATTAAGTTATACTGCATAAATAAAGTTTAAAAGTTATATAGTTATAAGAAATGCTTAAGATTCGGCCTCCCAATTATTAAAAGTCATTTAGTTATATCATAAATAAAGTTTAAAAGTTATTTAGTTCTGACAAAGCTTAGGATTCGGCCTCCCAATTATTAAAAGTCATTAAGTTATACCATGAATAACGTTAAAAGTTATGACAAAGGTTAAGATTTGGTCTCCCAATTAGTTGTTTAGTAATTGATTGTAATGAAAATGAAATGAAATGGGGTTTAACGTCCTACTGGTCTGCTCCTAAACTGGGCTTATGAAGACGGGCATACGCCATACAATGTGGCATGAGGGAAATTTTGTCCGGGCAGCGGCACTATGGTCCACTCTTATACCGAATTCCAACTGTCAATGGATCTTTTACGTGCATGCCGATGTGTACACGGGACCTCGGTTTTTCGTCCCATCTGAACGACTAGACAGTTGTCCTTGTCAGGCCCACCGTCCTGTACCACCGACAAGGGGAAAGCACGTCGGAAAATTCCGATGAACTTTACTAATTGATTGTATTAGCACCTCTATGATAAATACACTAATTTAGTAACACATCACGGAATTTGATCACCAGGCTCTTATTTGCAAATGTGTGTGTTATTTTCAGAATTTAACAACCATGAAGTTAGGCATACACAAAACCTTCAAAAATTCGTATTAAATTTATTTAGCCCTTCATTAAATAAAACAATGCGTAGAGTTTAAAAACCTTTAAAAATGCGTTTAAAATATATTTTGCCCTCCAGTAAATAAAACAGTTTTAAACAAAAACAACAATGGCAACGAGAATAAAGCAAAAGTAGACAAGTATCAAGAATAAAACAAAAATAGACAAGTGTCAAGGAGATATTGATTGGAGCCTACCTTGTTTAGCATAATTATATTTGGTCTATCCACTGAAGCGTCGTTAACACGGACATCAACAGGTATTTTATTTAAACCATATATTTCTATAGTTTTTATATATAAATAATCAGCGCCAGTATAATTGTTCACCATATATTTAATCACCAATTCACCTGTCTGGAATAGTAAATGAAATAGGGTTTAACGTCCTACTGTTCTGCTCCGACTGGGCTAATGAAGACAGACATACGCCATATAGTGTGCTATGAGGGAAATTTTGCCGGGCAGCGGCACTACGGCCTACTCTTACATCGAATTTCAATTATTTTTTTCTAAACAATATTTATTCACAGAAACTGGATTGGAGAACAGGCAAAAGCCTATATACCCCCTCTCCATAAAAGTACAAACATAAATATATAATGAAAAGTAAAGTAAAGTAAACGATTAAATTATAAGACGGCTATATACACTACATACACGATATGTACAAACCCCAATCAGAATGTTTATATTTCATAAATTTACATACGGAATTTTCAAAATTCCAATTATCAATGGTTCTTTTAAGTGCACGCCAATGTTTAAACGGATCTCGGTTTTCATCCCATCCGAACCGTGGAATCGAAACCACGCCAGTTGACTCAATGACAGACCTTATGATACAGCGCGTACGTGCTACCCATTCGGCCATCCAATCCCCTCTTTACGTAAGAGTAAATGAATTTTGAACCTTAGATTTTCGTTAGTCGACAATATCACCTACGTTAATATGTATAGAAATAAACAAAACACTCACTTTACTCATTGAAAATTGAACAATTGTTGACTTTATATTCTTGTGTGTTTCTAAAATGAAAAAAACGTGAACAATTTTATTTAACTTCCGGTTCTGTACCGTCCGGGGTGATAAAAACGGGAGATGCTAATTGTAGGCCCGTTGGGAAGACCACCAGCGCCACCAACAACAAAAAACAGTCAAATCAACTTTGTATATAAATCTTATGTATTGTATGCATTTTTATAAAACTAGGAAGTATCACAAACTAAATTTTCATCATCCTAGGTCAGTGCTTAACCCTTTCTAGATGACTGAATTTGGATCCAATTTACCTTTCACTCCTCTTAAAGGGTTAGGGTTAGGGTTAGTATTCCCCAAATACTCATTTATATAAAGCGGCCATTGTGGACTCTCGGAAATTCCCGAACCTCCTCAATCGGCCTAGAATTAGCATCTCCCAATAAAGACAAGCATGTAACATACAGTTTAGTATGAGGGTAATGTACCCTGACCACAACCGTTTCCGCTTATTCATCGAATTCCACCGGTCATCGTTTTTTAAAGTACAAGCCAAAGAGTAAAAGGTTGAACCTTGGTTATTCGCCCCACATGAATGAACCTTGGTTATTCGCCGAACACGGGTGAACCTCGGTTATTCGTCTCGCCGGACACGGATAACTACGGATGATATCTATAATAATTATTGCTTTTATCTAAGATCTATACCTACCTAGGCTTTCTCCATCATCCAAGAATAATTCGCCATTAGCAAGATGATTTTCATCCAGCGCAATTATAATTCCCATCGGATTCTGACGACTACAAGGTAGAATATATATAAATATTAAATAGGTAGTACCATATACATTATGAGGTGTACATACCATGACCCAATCATACGAAAACGCCTATGCTTAGCTACTGTACTGTGTATAACTCTAAGAGCATCGCCAAATCAAGTAAAGGGAATTTTCAAATGCTACAAATTACCTTCTTCTATTGCAAAAATAAAATGATATGAAATGGGGTTTAACGTCCCACTGTTCTGCTCCGAACTGTGTGCTATGAGGGAAATTTTGCCCAGACAGCGGCACTACCACCTACTCTTATATACTATTCAAAAAAAGTAGGGGATATTTGATTTTTAAGTGTTATTAAAGTCACCTAATGAAACTGACGAAGAAAAAAATGACAAAATGAAATGAAGTTCACATTCATCGATTTATTCCAAATGATCGTTAGACTAAGTAAGGCACAGACTGACCATTATAAGGGTAAAATGATACCCGGGGTCAAACAGCAAAGTTACCACAGCATCACAACCATGTCAGTAACGGGTAAATCCTCCTCTGTTTGCCAAACAAGCATTGATCCGACGTGGCATACTCCTAATGAGACGTCTAAGGTCATTTTGGTCCAGATTGTCCCATTCCTGTTGCAACGCAGCAGCAAGTTCTTGGACATTGGCAGGACGTTGTTGACGTTGACGTAACCTCTGTCCAAGCATGTCCCAGACATGCTCGATGGGGGAGAGGTCGGGACTCAGTGCTGGCCAAGGTAATGTGGTGATGTTCTGTTGTTGGAGGTAACCTGTAACGATCCTGGCCCTGTGACATCTTGCGTTGTCACCCTGGAAGATGAAACGGCGGCCATGACGTCGTGCGAACGGCACAACATGGGCTGCCAAGATGTTGTCCCGGTAGTACTGGCCTGTAACACGCCCTGCAACAACATGTAAAGCCGTTCTTCCAGCAACAGTGATGCCTCCCCACACCATAACAGAACCACCCCCAAATCGATCATGTCTGATGACGTTAACGTCTTGGAAGCGCTCGTTTCGACGACGCCACACCCTCCTACGTCTGTCCAAAAAATCAACAGTGAACTTTGACTCGTCTGAAAACATCACATTGCTCCAGCGTCGATTATCCCAGTGTTGACGATCCCTATACCAACGACGTCTTGCCTGAATGTGATGATCTCTCAAACAAGGGATCACGCGAGGACGTCGGGCGCGAAGGTGACCCCTATGCAGTCGATTCCGAATCGTCTGGTCACTGACTCTCACACCAGTGTCTGTTTGAAGACAAGCGCTGATCTGATTTGCTGTGATGACACGATTTCTCAAGGCCAAGGTACGGATAAATCGATCCTGGGCTTGAGTTGTCGCCCTTGGTCGACCTGGGCGTGATCTGTCCTGTACAGATTGTGTATCACGGTATCTGGACCATAGCCTGCTTATGACAGACTGAGAAACATTCATCGTCCGCGCCACAACCGCCTGTGTTGTGCCGATCTGTAGCATGCCAAGGGCACGTAACCTTTCATTTTTGGTAAGCCGACGCATATCAAAATTTGTTTTCTGGTCACTAAAACAATTAAACTGATGTTTCCACCCTGGAATTCAATGCCACAATGACTGTAACATTCAAAGTCAGAGTCGTGCAAATCTTGGGTTCGACCCCCATGATGATCCCAAGCATCACCTGCATTCCATGCGGTAGCTATTGGTGCGTTTGGGCGTCACATGTAACTGGAAATGTTTCTTCTGTTAGGTTCTATAGTGACTTTTTTCGTAGTCATTTGCATATTTTAGTATTATGCCCCCAAAATCAAATATCCCCTACTTTTTTTGAATAGTATATGTCAATTCTAACAGTCAAGAGATCTTGTGGTGCACGCCAAAGTGTACACGGGACCTTGGTTTTTTGTCGCATCCGAACGACTAGACAGCTGTCCTTGTCAGGCTCTCCGTCCTGTGCCACTGCGAAGAGGAAACGACGCCGGATTATCCCGATGAACTTTCTCGGCCAACGCAGGGATCGAACACGCGACCTCCAGGCTAGCGAGCTAGCGTCTTACCCACTTAGCCACCGTGACCCCCTTCTTCTATTGCGAAACGAATACATATTATAGCCCGGATTCATCAAAGTGATACGAACCAGTAATACATGTTAAAATTATAGGCAATCTTTAAGTCATCAATGGGAAAGGTTATAGTAATACGCGATAATAGAAGTTGTTGGAAACCTTGATAAACAGTGCCATATAATTCAATTCAAAAAAGACCCAGAAAATCGTAAAAGATTAAAACCAATCTGATTAAAACACAGATCCTATTTTGTTTCGTTTTTAGATCAAAATTTCGTTTAACTAGTCATTAGTTCACTAGGATCTGGAAGAGTTGTTATATAACCCGCGTTCTGGTTGTTGTGATGGATTAACCAATGAAACGGTTTGTTACTGCGAGTTTTTGGCGTGAGGTGCACGGAACTGTGGGTAACCGACTAGAAACATCAACGCTGATTGGTTAATCAAATGCAGTATGTCATAAAGGGTCAAAAGCCGCTCATAAGACCCCTGACGCGATCTTCCACTACAACCGGCCAGATCTTTATATAGTAGAGGACATCGAAGTATAAAAAAACGAAAGGAAACATAGATCAGTATTTTAATCAGATTGAATTAAAACAAACCTTTGATATGTTGTTGTTGATGGCTGTTGTACTGGTATCACGTGACCACCACGTATGTGCAGATTAACCACCTCAAGGGGGGTATATAGTTTATGTGTTCTAGCACTTGGAATAATTTCACTTCCCTATAAATATGGGTGATACTATGTTTATATTAGACATTATCTTTTTCAGGGGAGAATCCAGAGAGGGGGGGGGGGGTCGACCTCCCCCCCTGCTCAGCTACAAATTTTTTTTTTTGTAAATCAACACTTTTTATGAGAAAAGTTTCTCGGCCGTGAGCTTTATCCTTTATCGTCAGATGTGGGACAGGATGGGCACTCAAAGCACGAGATAATGATATAGACATTACGTGATATCACAATTAATGCTTTGCATCCATGAAATTGAATCACAATGTCATTGTATTAATTCATAATAAAAATTGACGTCAAACGAAGTGTTGAATTTCTCTGTTTAAAAAGCTCAATGTGTATGTATATACGCCAAAATGACGATAGAGATCATGCGGGAGGGTGGGGGAGAGATACATTGTCTCAGGAACCTGGCAAACCCCCTCCTGCAAAAATTCCTGGATCCGCCCCTGCTTATTATATTATTACCAAGCCACATCCGCTCACAACAGGGATCGAAACCACAAACCAGAGGTGATCGGCCAGCTGGAGGTCGAAGCGTGCACTCTAGACTACTAGCCCCCCCCCCCCCAATTTACATCTATTACACTTGACCATATATATATGGGTAAGCGTGGTTCGATATTGCCCCAATGAAGACTATTTCCGTCAACGCGTCACTCCGCAAGGTAGGCAAAATCAAGGCGGATTATTAAACCGATACCATATAATTACATTTTATGGCATTTACTATTGTTTATACCTGATAATATTCATACCATCTAGCTTGAGTTAAATAAACTACAGTTTATACCTGATAATATTCATACCATCTAACTTGAGTTAAATAAACTATTGTTATACCTGATTATATTCATACCATCTAGCTTGAGTTAAATAAACTATTGTTATACCTGTTTATATTCATACCATCTAACTTGAGTTAAATAAACTACAGTTTATACCTGATTATATTCATACCATCTAGCTTGAGTTAAATAAACTATTGTTTATACCTGGTTATATTCATACCATCGAGCTTTAGGAAAATAAGCTTCTACAACTGTTTGATTTGGTTCTAGAGCGGGTGATATAAGAAGAGCTGGTCCTAATAAAAACTGTCTATCTATAGACCACGTGTTTCTATCTGCTGGGAATCTGAAATATTTTTTTAATTTCTGTTCTATATAATAAATTCGTATAATTCGTGTGTGAAATTGTATACGTATGTATAAAATCAACAATAACCGAATTCATTATTTATACATTTGGATTTTTTAATAAAAAGAAGCCGTTTATGGGGGGTGTTTCACCTTTCACAGGCGTCCTCTTACCAAAATAAATCTAGAAATATCAGATAAACGTATACATAAAATGGTCCCGTGATCGTTTCATACAGATAAAATTGTATAGAATCCAAAGAAGATATTTTTCTTGCCATTAAAGTTTCAAAAGCTGAAATTTATTTAATGCATTATAGGGATCCATGTTCGAAGTTTGAATACCCATGGGAAAAAAAACACTATGGCTCGATGGCAGCGCAGTAGTTAAATTTATAACGGAGGGTGGGTATTTATGGGTAGAACAAAAGATGGGTGTGGATTTACGTAGCTTACCCATATACACATTACCTACTAAAATGTGAAGAAACAGTCAGAATGACTTGTTTGGAACTTTTAATATTAGATACATCAATATTACCACACTGATCAGGAGTGAATATTCGCTAGGCCGCTACAATCACTGATAGGGATGACATCAATGCGACTTAATGAACCCCAAATATTAACTTTTTTCCTCCGACAAATTAATTTATAAAACATTTGTTTCGTGTATTAGGAAAATAAATAAAGACGTTTGAAGTATTTGTAGGTAAAAACTATTTCCTATTTAGAATAAATGGGTATTAAAACGAGTAAAAGGCCGATTCTGCCCGAACCAGTGACGCCTTAAGTAAACAATGTATGCGCAATTGAGCCAATGACTGACACCGCGTGATGTGACGTCGCGTGTTGACGTCATCTTTTACAGAGATATTAGAATACTTTGGTAATCCTCTGTGAAACAGATTGCAATATTACTTACTCAAACAGCAGAGCTTTCATGACCATGTGACCTTCTTCATGAGCTTTATACATAAGAGTATATAAATATGGTAACAATCTGTATCTAGTCATAAGAACTGGTTTAACTATATCTACAAAACGCTGATCCCACGATGCTGGATCTTGAGGCTATAAATAGTAACACACATACATATATATTAAGATTCTAAAGCTATAAAGATCTTATTATAAAAACAATTTTGACTATAATGCTGTACAACGATATTTATTCATATTGGGACTTGATGTTATAAATATAACAAACGCAGTTTATTCGTGATGTTGGGACCAGGGGCCTGTTTCACAAAATTTTAACTAAGATAAAATCCAAATTTTAGTAATTTGATTGGATAATATTAGATTGATTTTAGTGCTTAGCCAATCAAAATTGAAGTATCTACTAAAATTGGGATTTTATCTTTAGTTAAAATTTCGTGAAACAGGCCCCAGGGCCGTAACTAGCTCAGAGCAACCAGGTAGCCGAGAAGTGTTCTCAGGAGTGCTGTAAAATTGACAAACAATGTATATCAATTTTTTTTATGGTCGAAAAAAATTTCACAGGGGGGCGAAAATTTTTGCCGGCCCCGCCCCCTAGTTACGGGCCTGGTTGGTACTTGATGCTATAAATAGTAACAGGTTTGACTATAAACAAAACCTTTATCCCATTATGTTGGATGATGATGTAAAATAGTAATATCACTTACTTAATAAGTTAATTACTTAACTATATCAAGAATTCGTTTAAACCACGATTTAAAAGTAATAACAGCTAAAACCACATACTCACTGTAGTGTTTCGTTTGATTAGACCTAATCCCACTTAACACTGCCGTTATGAAAGCAAATTTCTGTTCCAAATTATGACTGGTCAACAGTCCGATTAACAACCAATACCTAACTGCGTAAAAATACTATTCGGATTTAAACAGAGCTGCAAATATGTTTACATAACTTTACGTCATGACCCACGACATTTATTACACCCAATTAACCAGTCATAGCAGGATATTGCAGATTAACTAATTGCGTGAAAAACGAGGCTATCAAAAATGTCTACAATACTTTCATTGTTTTTAATACCTTAAATCACTGTCCAAAGTTTTAGGGAAGACCCCAGATTAAACGAAGGGCTGTCATGTTGCTGTACTTGGGATAGATTTGATTGAACGGGAAGAATAGATACATTCCCTCAAAAGCTGAAGTATCAGAAGTCAATCCAGCAATGGCCAGAGAGGGATTGCTTCAGGAATATGCGATAACCATGACCTGGGCATTATTGAATATCTATGAACGGTGGTTAATTACCTCAGTAAATCCATCTATGTCCAAAGTTTATATTTTTTGATAAATAGAAAGTGTCTATATTGGCCCTTTAATGGTGTTTTCTCATCCCTGTGGGTCAAACCAGTTATATTCAACAACTGGGGCGGTCTGATGAGAAAACGAAGCTATGACTCACCTTCCCAACGCCTCACGAAGATGAATTTTATTAATATAACAAAAGACTCAGGACCCTTGAACCGCGTTCGCCCTGTTTAAAGCCCAAATGTATGGCACTACAAACCCAACATTCCTACCAAATATTATGTAAGTATAGATTGTCTGTATAAAGTGTCCCTAAAAAGCCTGATTATGGAGCGAAAATCCCGAATTTGAACAATTGGGCATCCATTTCCTGTTTGTATTATAGGGTGAAAATCCCGAATTTGAACAATTGGTATACATATATACGTACCCTCTTTTTTTTGGTATTATGATTTCTGGAAAATGGATAAAATGCTCCCAGTTGATGCCATCTTAAACACAATTCATATTCAGCAGCGTAGCCAAAACCGCAAATATCAGCCCCATTCTATTAAACAAAAATGTATTACAATTTTAGAGCAGAGTAACTTCATTAGACACCTTTAGCATCGTTACGAAACACGTCATCAATTCATGTGTACTTGTGACGTCATTAGGTACATAAAAATATTAGAATGATAGAGTAGAGTAACTTCATTAGATACTTTTGGCATCGTTACTTAAAGATACATTATGGGAGATTTGATAAAGAGCTAGCAGTTCCCACTATAGTAGTTAAAAACTAGATAATGTAAAGGCGATTTGCTGAAAATTTCACTCAAATTGATCCACTATGAACCGAGATTATAGCGATTGAATTTTGGAGCTAGCATCGATTATCATTACTAAAGTCGGTAGGATAAAAAAAACATAGACTCGATTATCCAGTTTTTGATTTAATTATGAATAGAAGTCGAACAGCAACTCGAAACGTAATCCAATAAACATCGCAGGCTACCGATGCCATCGAGAGTTGATTATGGTCTGGATAAGTTAATTAATATCTAATTAATAATTTATATATAACATTTCAGGCCTAAAGAAAGACCTGCAATAGGCAGATTTAGCTCTTGTATAATGTATGTTTAACCGATCAAACACGTAATCCATTCATGTGTATTTATGACGTCACCAGGTGCATAAGTGTTCGCCGTGCAGAGAACAAACGTGATATACCTTTATTTAATCCTTTATAAAAAGTCAAATTCCTATATAATATGTCTGACTTACCATAGCAAATCCAAACATACTGAACTCTACAATACCTTTAAAAAGAAATTCAAATAAACTAAGTTTGGGTTTTATTAAATGACGGTATAGATAAGGATATTGTGTTTTGATGGTATTAAACAGAAATAGAAATAACTTTGACGAAACGAGTAACAATAATATTGAGTTTAAGGGCCAACTCTACTTTTATTTATGTTATACCCTTTAGAAATAGATGGTCTATTTTCTTTCACAAAACTTTATATTTTTATCTCTTATGGGAATTCAGTTTTGCTGCATTTCTTACATACATCATTTTCGAGATAATCTGATAATGATTTTGTTGGAAATTTGAGTAGGGAGGAGTTCTTTTTTTATCAGAAATGTTTAGTTGGTGCCTAAATCAGTATTTTGGACTTGGGTGAACACTCACGATGTGGTGGGTTTTACTGTCGCAATGACGATATATTGAATGTCAATGCAAGCTATCTGAATTTATTGCTGGGATTTTCTTGGTGAATGTCAATCTGATTGAAATACAGATCTTTATTTCGTTTCATATTTTTTTATACTTTCGAAGCCCTACACTGCATGAAGATCTGATCAGTTGTACTGGGAGGTCGCGTCTGGCGTCATACGAGCGGCTTTTATTTAATCAATCAGCGTTGGCGTTTCTAGGAGTTTACCCACAGTTCCGTGCAGAGCACGCCAAGAACTCGCCGTCACAGACCGTTTCGTCGGCTAATTCCTCAATTCTGGAACGCCTTTTAAATATCAACTCTTCCAGATCCTAGTCTTGTGAAGACAAGTAAAACGAAATTTTGAACTATAAAAAACGAAACGAAATACTTACTTATAACTGACCAGAGTATATCAGCCCAGGTACTTCTGTTATCGCCCATCCATTTAGTGGCATATTTACCTGTACCAACAAATGATGATCTTGTCATCACCCATGGCCTTTTACGTGGAAACTGATGCAACAAACCACTGGAAAATTAATAAAAATGAAAAGTACAAAGGGTGTGTATACGAGTGCCTCTCCTACCATCTCCTCACATGCCACCAAGTAAGCGCCCTTGTGAGACAAAGTCCCGCCAGGCCAGGCGAGGATTCAGTGGGGGCGGTTGGGGGCTTACTCAATCGTTCAGGGTTTACAGTTCGGAATTTGCTTCAATGAAAAATTCCACCAAGAATATGAAACATAGAAATTCGACGACAATTTACAAAATAGATATTTATCTAACATTGATAATTATGCCCCATTGAACAATCCCTGGTTTTGTTTTTTGGGTTTTTGGTTTTTTTTGTAAATCCATCTAGACCTTATGCCCGTATCGTTAAGTTATATGCATTTATAATTAACTTACAAAAAATACGTTAATATGCCCCCATCTTTAAATCTCTAAACCACTGTATTTGAACAAACTAAATCAAGCACTATATTCATACAACTCATTAAGTCGTTTCCGAAAAAAAGGCATTCTGATTAAAACACAGATCCTACTTCGTTTCGTTTTTTATAGTTAATAAATTTGGTTTTACTTGTCTTTACCACAATAAGATCTGGAGCAGTTGTTATGTAACCCGCGTTTTGGATAATGTGACGGATTAGCCAATGAAACGGTCTGTTACGGCGAGATTTTGGCGTGGGGTGCACGGAACTGTGGGTAAACCACTAGAAACATCAACGCTGATTGATTAATCAATGTCTGACGTCATAGGGTCAAAAGACGCTTTAATGACCTCTGACCCGACCTGCTACTACAACTGGTCAAAGCTTCATGTAGTGTGAGTCATCGAAAGTGTAAAAAAATGAAACGAAAAATCTGTATGTTAATCAGATTGGAAAACAAGTTTAAAAGCGGATGACGGACGCGCGGATTGGTCACAGATGACAGATGGGATATCATACGGCCATAAATTGAACCCACATTAGCAAAATAATATATCTTACTTGTAAGTTAGAATTGATTGACCATGACCATATAAAGCACGAGAATCATAATGTCGACCCCAATGCTGCTTTAAATCCATGCAAATCGTATTTTTATTCAATATGGAATCTTCACTACTTCCGCCAACGTCTGAAACATTTATATTATTGAAAACAGTTTATAACAGAGATAGAGAAAATGGGGTTTAACGTCCACTCGACACAAACTGGGTCTTTGTCACGTACAACCGGAGAATGGAAACCACGCCAGTTGACTCAATGACAGACCGTATGATACAACGCGCGCTAACCATTCGGCAATTCCCCCCCCCCCACACACACACACACGCCTCACGTCCGAGGGGGGGGGGTATAAGGAATATGGAATTTGATAAAAAATAAGAGCAAGCAGTAGCTCCGCTGCCCGGGCTAAATTTCCCTCATAGCACACTGTATGGCGTATGCCCGTCTTCATTAGCCCATTCGAAGCAGAACAGTGAGCCGTTAAACCTCATTTCATTTCAAAATATTGTAGTTAGCAAAAATATCAAACGAGGAGCAGCAGCTTTAAGATTACTGTCTAAGCGACGGAATAATTTTTTGAAAATACTTATAGCAATCCCTGTCCCCGCGGCTTATTCCCATATCAACCCATAGAAGGCAGCATGTCATTGGATTGGATTTATACACTGAGCATGACAGGCAATAATGTGTTCAGATCAGCGAAAATTTGGGGCGAGTTCTTGTATTTGGCGCCATTGCTCAAATTCCTGGTATTTTGTTGTGATTTCTAGTTAAAATATAGTTCTTTTACAATTTCAAAGCAAAAAACATACCAGGAACGTAAGGCGGGTTATTCCATTTGTTCCGGCTGCATTTCATCGAATCGCGTGGTGAGACTTCGTTCTTATCCTGAAAAATATATCAAGTTGTGTTTGATTGTAGGTATAGACACCACACCTGTTCCCCTTACAGGAATAGTAAGGGCGTTATGGTCAGTCATTGAGGTGATTTTTTAAATCTGTGGTCTAGATTTCCTATGGGTATTCACAATACTTGCTTGGTTTAGAGGTCGATATTCACACGTTATTTAAGAATTAGTGCTCTCGAACGTGATTGGGCGAGGCAAAAATTCAAAATGGCGCCAAAAAGTTTCCCCAAGGGGTAAAAATGGGTAACTCTAGGGAAGGTTAGTACTGAACCAATAGATCATACTAATGTACTCGTATGGAACTGACGAAATATTTTAAGAGGCACAAATGACATGAGTCATTTTAGGTCGATATTTACAAAATAAAATAATCTGAACAATTTTCCGATAACCCTATATAAATACTGAAATATTACTTACTAGCCATAGGGCATCATATTTAATATTTTCATCATTGTATAAGTATTCCATGTTTTTAAGCCACCAACCTTGTGTTTTAGGATTCGTAAAGTCTGGTGTGGCTGCCATTCCTGGCCAATACTAAAATAGAAATTTCACTTTCATTATTTTTCTTTTTCAGTTTTAATAAAATGTTATCTGAGAATAAAGCACCCTTTTTTTTAAAAGTCCTCGGTCAACTGTGCCCACATCAGATAGTGCGATACCTAATTTGATTAAAATACAGATCTATATTTCGTTTCATTTTTTTATACTTTGGATGACCTACACTATATGAAGTGAAAGGTCGCTTCAGAGGTCATACGAGCGGCGGCTTTTGACCTATGACGTCAGCCAATTAAATATTGGTAACCAATCAGAGTTGATTTTCTAGTGGGCTACCCACAGTTCCTTCCGTGACCCTCACGCCAAAACCTCACCGTAACAGACCATTTCATTGGCTAATCCCTCACATCACCCAGAACGCGCGTTATAAAACAACTCTTCCAGATCCTAGTGTAGTAAAGACAAGTAAAACGAAATTTTGAACTGTAAAGAAAAACGAAACGAAATAAGATCTGTGTTTTAATCAGATTGGTGTGGTACCTAATCTTTCAACAACAAAAAAACGATTTGAAGTAATTTGGGCCTTTAAATACATCTTTTAACCATAGTTGACTTAGTTATTTAAAAACTGAAGTTTGTTGAATTCTCGATAACATCCGCCATAAGAACAAAATGCCGCTATTCTATCTAAGTTACCTTTGCCAGTACAATTTGGTTGGATTCATTTTTTATAAATACATCTTGTAGAACGCCATCATCATACACATTATAACCTGGGCTGTTTAATTTCACTTTTTTTATTTTCTTTCTGTTGGCTAAACTTCCTGGGTCCTATAAAATTGCGATACGGTGGTTAACGATTATGATTATGTATAATTCAATCGCTCGCATTAATCAAAATGTTAATCTCATTTGTTACTGTGGTAAATACAGTACAATAATATTTAATCAGTCGATGTTTTTTAGGCGAGCGATCGCTTTCGAGCGCCAGCTGCTCACCTGAATGTCGACCGAGGGGAGTTTTTTTTCCCTCCCCTTAAAACTGAAAATCGCTCTCATTTACATAGTCATTGGGGGTTTATTATCGTTTATGAAACCAGGAATGACCCTATTACATGCAGTTATTGATCTTCAGAACCATTTCCTATACACACAACTAATCATTCTCCTTAATATCAGATCACTCTCCTTAATTTCTAAATCACTCTTCTTATCGAAACTGGGAGAGCTTTTTGAGGGGAGCGATGTTTTTCAGTTCGTTGATTGAGGGGAGCTTTTTTTGGCTCTCCTGTGAAATACAAACAACAACGACTGATTTAATTATTTCGAAAATGGATGGGTGGGGACGTTGGGTTCTAATAAATTTTTTTTACAGTTTACGCGTTTAATGTCGGGTAGAGAATTTACATATGGTGGGAAATGGAATTGACTTAGAATGGGTCTTGCCTATGTTTACGATCACACAAAAGCTTATATTAGTTTACCGGATATGAACCTGGATGGGTGGAGTCGTGGGGTTCTAATAATTATTTTTTTTTTTACAGTTACGCGTTTAATGTCCGGTAGAGAATTTACATATGGTGGGAAATGGAATTGGACTTAGAATGGGTCTTGCCTATGTTTACGATCACACCGGATATGAACTTAACATGACGTCAGTTCTGGTAATTAATTGGTTACCAATGTAAATACCATAATTTCCTCTTGTTGCAGCCTAATCTTAGACGATCGCCACCCTAGGTTCCAATTTTGTATATAATAGCTCCAAGGCAAAGACTGTGCACCGACTCGTCTCCATTATATACTGCTTCGTGTTTGTCATAAGCTAGAAATAGTATAAAGCCGGACAGATCCAGAAGGTCATGTGAGTACAGCGTAGTGGACAATTTACTTTTGAGTGTCTGTTAAAGCTGAACTCCAATAACAAAACTACAGAAATAGTTAAATAAACAAAGGTAACGCCCAAAACAACCGCCATACTTGTTTTCAATTTCTAGAACTTTGGGCAGGCCACGCCCACTTCCAGTGTATACCGTGTCAAGCGAAGTGTCCACATCTGGTTACCTAGTATGTAATCGGAGTTCAGCTTTAATGAAAATATTTTAAACACCGTCACTCTAATGGAAACAAACATAGCATATACTTACAATAGTTAGAATAAATTTCTGATTGTGGCCATGTAAGTCTTCAATTACTTTAGGTAGATCTCCCCATAATTTCTTATTGAGCGTAAAATCAACAAATTCATATTTATATTCAATATCAACCCATTGTGCATCCTGAAACATTGATTTATAAACGTCAAAACTGTATGAAAAATAACGTATTTAATATTGTTTGCATGGACAGGAGATAAAAGAAAAGATACGGAAATGGATGACGTTTTACGCAATTTACAATATGCAATACGCGTAATTAAACATACATTATGCAAGAGCTAAATCTGCCTATTGCAGGTCTTTCTTTGGGCCCGAAATTTTACCAAAATTATTAATTAGACATTAGTTAACTTATCCAGACGATAATCACCTCTCAATCATCGTTAGCCTGCGATATTTAGCGAATTGGAATACATTTTTTGAAAAATGATTAAATCATAAAGTGAATAACCGAGGCTATGTTTTTTTATTGTACCCACTTTAGTAATGATGATTGAGGCCAGGCCTAAAATCAGAGTGGGGCAATTTTACTGAAATTTTCAGAATATTCTATTTAAGTTATCTATTTTTTAACAACTATAGCCCATAATGCCCTTTTAATGCAGCGGTATTGTTGTCTCAGGTGGTGACTTTGTTACATTCTATACTATATTCAGAGAGACAGAGGATGGTTCAATTTTATTTCAATAATTCGCTTGCGCGTAGGGGTCTTTAGCAGTGGGAGGAAACCGAAGGATCCGGAGAAAACCCACCTGGTTGGACAGGCGACATTACTCCTTGTCACGTACAGGCCTTATGATACAGCGTGCACGTGCTAACCATTCGGTCTTCCAACCCCCCTACTATATTCAACTAATATTGCTCCGCTGGATTTTATTATGATTATGAAAACATTTCATGAGACATTTAAAAATCTAATAACTTGCTCATTTGTAACAGTAGATATTTAAAAATTTATGAAAACATTTCATTTAAAAATCTAATAACTTGTTCATTTGTAACAATAAATACTTAAAATGCTCTTACATATGGTAGACCTGCTGCCCTAGTTCTTTTAATTACCGCCTCCACGTCGTTGACATCGTTATAACCAAATCTACATACATGAAATCCTAATGCCCAGTATGGTGGCATTACAGGTTCACCTATTGCCTAAAAAACAACAAACATACATAAAAATCCAGATTACCACTAATAATGTGATTATGTTATAGCCGGATTAGTACTTGGTTGTAACACAATGAAATTTACTAGTGACTGTCTAAGGCCTAGTTTATGTCGCCCTACGGCGTGAAAAAACTGACGGTGACTCGAAATCAGTCGCCTCCAGTTTCTCGGAGTGGCACATGTTCTACTCCTACGACTGGAGTCATCTAGTTGTCCCTAGTCGCAAGCGACATAAGCGAGACGACGGCTCCCTTGAGTCGGCGCCTCGCTGAGGTAACCAATAAGATTCGGTTATATAGTCACGTGGTACCCAGGGGGTGGTAACAAACAAGGCGGACAATTGGAATGAGGCCATTTTGAAGGTTATCACGTGGCAGTCCTGTGATCAGTCGTTGCTCTGATTCTGCAACTGACAGCGGGAAACATGAGCGCACTCACCACTATGGTTGCTCCTCGGCTCCTTGTTGCGTCCAATCGTGGATAAATTCAGTGGTAGTGACATCAGCTTTCGGTTGCCGTCGCCAGTTTTATCGCGTCGTAGAGCGACATTTAAGACAAGAGGTGGTTGGCTATAAATATGGTACCTGTATATATTGTTGTACAGCTTGTTCAGGACTTGGTCCCATAAATATATAGAAATCCAGAATACCACCAATAACACGATATGTTATAGCAGGATTAGGGCTTGGTTGTAGTACTACCTCTGAAATAAAATCACGAGGAATTAACATAAATCAAGCACAGACTGACTTTATAAAAGGCAAATTAAATCCTGTGAACTATTAGTTCAAAATCAAGTCACAACTTCTATCAAATACAATTAAAGAGAGAGAGAAAGAAAGAAATGGAGTTTAACGTCCACTCGACACAAACTAGGTCATTTCGGGACTAAAATATGGTTTAATTTTATTTCAAAAATTCGCTTGCTCGTAGGGGTCTTTAGCAGTGGGAGGAAACCGGACGACCCGGAGAAAACCCACGAGGTTGGACAGGTGACCCTACTCCTTGTCACGTACAAACCGGGGATTCGAAACCATGCTAGCTGACTCAATGACAGACTTTATGATACATCGTGCACACGCTAACCACTCAGCCATCCAACCCCCCTAAATTCAATTAAACTCAGGAATATAAATACCCAATCTGATTAAAACACAGATCCTATTTCGTTTCGTTTTTTTATAGTTCAAAATTTTATTTTACTTGTCTTTACTACACCAGGAGTTGTTATATAACCTGCGTTCTGGATGATATGAGGGATTGGCAAATCGAACGCTCTGTCACAGCGACGTGGGGTGCCCGGAACTGTAGTTAACCCACTAGAAATATCAATGCTGATTGGTTAATCAAATGTCTGACGTCATAGGTCCAAAAGCCGCTCTATCACCCCTGACGCGACCTTGTAGTGTAGGCCATAGAAAACATTTTAAAAAAACGAAACGAAATATAGATCTGTATTGTAATCAGGTTGGTGACTACCCATTGCGTTGGTGTTCTTTAACAAAACAACAGAACCTCTTCCGTCATTTTCGAGGTTCATGTAAACTGGGTGTGCGCTGTATAAGTTGACAGACTTTTCACGTCCCTGGAATTATACGATTTAAATTATTCAGTTGCATCGTCATTGGTTCAAGAAAAAAAGAAACATCTTTCAGCACAGGCAGTGGCGTAGCTAGACTATGTGCTACCCCACCTCTTCCGGCGTCTTGAAATGAAATGAAATGAAATGGGGTTTAACGTCCTACTGTTCTGCTCCTATACTGGGCTAATGAAGACGGGCATACGCCATACAGTGTGCTATGAGGGAAATTATGCCCGGGCAGCGGCACTATCGCCTACTCTTATATCGAATTCCAACTGCCAGGGGATCTTTTACGTGCATTCTAATGTATACACGGGACCTTGGTTTTTCGTCTCTTCCGAAGGACTAGACAGCTGTCCTTGTCAGGCCCTCCGTTCTGCACCACTGACAAGGAGAAACCACATCGGAAAATCAGGATGAACTTTCTCGGCCAATGCAGGGGTCGAACAACGGCGTCTTGTAAGAATCCTCTGTCAATACAGAAGTGCTTAGTTACCCTATTGTATATAAGAAAAATAGGTTCTTGAAGAGGAATTAATAATAAATTTAATTCATTTGATATTATTATAGACCTAAAATCTAATTACGCGTAAAGGTTGGTTTTTCTTGGCATCTAATAGTATGTGCAGGAGGACCGCGCTACACAAAAGACAATCTACCAATTACACCTACGGACAAGACAGATTATAGACATGGCAAAAAATAAACAAACAAATGTCAAATCAAATGAATAGATCCAGGGGCCAGACGTATGCGTCAATAGCTTTGGACAATCTTGAATTTAAAATGTAATTGTAATACATACAATTCGTCTTGGAAATATACTCCAGGTTTTCCAGTTCATGTCATGTCGGAATCGACTGTGATTATGTTCACCAAACCCATAGAGATTATCAGAGGGTAGACGAGTTGTTATTTGTAAAAACTGATCAGAGTAGGTCATTCCAGGTAGATCTGTAGAAAATCTGTTAAATTTAAAAGTCGTGTTAATTTAATGATTCTAGTTGTGATGTAAAATAATCATTTTGATTTTTGTGCATCGATTCTCTTGAAAAGTAGAACTGTACAGTTTTGAAATGGACAGTTAATTAAAGGCTCAATACCACTCTTGTTGTAACTGAATAATATGTCCCAATCTTTATTCTGGTCACCAATTTGTACTTTTTTACAATATTCCAATTAATTGATGATACAAATTTCATCTTAACACACCTAATTCAAAAAATTGGAAAAATTCAACTAAATGATTTGAAAAGCCTGACGTAAAGCTTTTGAAATGTGACTTGGATTTAAAAATATTTTTGAACCCTCTGGACAAGTAAAATAGGATTTAATGGATAATTTTCACAACAGGTAGGACACTAAAACATCTAGTGCTTAGAATAAGGCTATTTTTTATTTTCTGGAGCTGTCAAGCCAGCAAGAGTGTTATTGTCCCTTTAATTAAGACGAGCATTCGCCATGAGGAACATTTTGCCCAAAGCGTGTCCGCCCATCAACCAAGGGTTGTTTAGTTACACGTCAACGTTTACATGGACCTTGATTTTTCGTTGCATCCGAAGGACTACACGATGCTCCTTGTCAGACCATTCGCCCTACAACACTGGCAATGAGAAACCATAGGCTACTGGTAAATCTCGAGGAACTTTCTCGACCAATACCGGGTTGGACACCGAGACTTCATGCTTAGTGAGCCAGGGGCCCCCACCCCCACCCACTGAGCCACCATGGCTCCAAGTTATAAGTAATTTTCGGTTAATAGAATACTAAAATGAAATGAAATGGGGGTTTAACGTCCTACTGTTCTGCTCCTATACTGGGCTAATGAAGACGGGCATACGCCATACAGTGTGCTATAAGGGAAATTTTGCCGGAACAGCGGCGCTACGGCCTACTTTCATATCGAGTTCCAACTGCCAAGGGATCTTTCACGTGAACGCCAATGTTTATACGGGACCTCAGTTTTTCGTCCCATCCGAACGAATATACGTTGCACCGCTGACAAGGTGGTACCACGCCGGCAAATCCCGATACACTTTCTCGGCCAACGCAGAGATTGAACACCGGACCTCCAGTTTAGCAAGCCACCGTGGTTTGAATATAATACCAAGTAAATTGACTTAAGGGGATCACGGTGGCTAAGTGGGTAAGACGCTGGCTCGCTAGCCTGGAGGTCGGGAGTTCGATCCCTGCATTGGCCGAGAAAGTTCATCCAGATTTCCGGCGTGGTTCCCCCTTGTCAGTGATGCAGGACGGAGGGGCTGACAAGGACAGCTGTCTAGTCATTCGGATGAGACAAAAAAACCGAGGTCCCGTGTACACATTGGCGTGCACGTAAAAGATCCCTTGACAGTTGGAATTCGATATAAGAGTAGACCGTAGTGCCGCTGTCCGGACAAAATTTCCCTCATGGCACACTGTATGGCGTATGCATATCTCCATTATAGCCCAGTTCGGAGCAAAACAGTAGGATGTTAAACCCTATTTCATTTCGTTTCATTTCAAATTGACTTAAAAGTAATCTTACACTGCCGTAGAGTCACCCTTTCTCGTAACAATTATACCAAACTGTGGCGTTCCTTTTACCAATGTTACTTCATATAAACGACTGCTGGCAGGTGGAGGTTTCCCAGGTAAACGTATATTTAATGCTTCATCTGGAACTACATATCTATCCACATCTTTTGGCACAATCTAAATCAGAAATACTTTCATATTTAAACAATCTGATTAAAACACAGATCCTATTTCGTTTCGTTTTTTATAGTTCAAAATTTCGTTTTACTTGCCTTTACTACAATGAGAGAGTTGTTATATAATCCGCGTTCTGAATAACGTGGGGGATTAGCCAATGAAATTGTCTGTTGCAGCGAATTCTTGAGTGCGATGCACGAAACTGTGGGTATTCCACTAGAAACATCAACGCTGGTTGGTTAATCAAATGTCATAGGGTTAAAAGCCGCTCGTATGACCTCTGCGCGACTATCCCACTACAACTGGTCAGATCTTCAGTGTGGGCCGTCGAAAGTATAAAAAAAACGAAACGAAATATAGATCTGTATGTTAATCAGATTGATGTTTAAAAGGCCCCTATTGATCTATTGATGTAGGAAGGTGGGGCTTTTTCGGGGGCGATAATTTATGGAGATAGGAACTTGCCGGTGGAGGGGGGGGGGGGGTAAGTTTTGGAAGGCTATACTTATTGGAGTGCGGCACTTTCTGGGAGTTGCATGTCTGATCTACAGCATATAGGAAAAATAACGGTGTTTTCTGTATTGGACAGTAGAATGATACAAGACGACTGGCACAATTTTATTTTTCCACGAACACACTGATTGTTATTTAACAACAGTTAGAGAGAGAGAGAGAGAGAGAGAGAGAGAGAAAGAGAGAGTTTAGCGTCAGCTCGAAGACACGAACTAGGTCATTTCAAGACTAACATATGGTTCAATTTTTTTATTTCAATAATTCGCTTGCGCGTACGGGTCTTTAGCAGTCAGGTTGGGGGGGGGGGGGGGCAGGAGAACCCGGAGAAAACACACGAGGTTGGACAGGCGATCCTATTCCTTGTCACGTACAAAAGGGGAATCAAAACCCTTATGATACAAGGTGCACGCGCTAACCATTCGGCCATCCACCCCCTTTGCTGTGTGGGATGTTGTATCCAATTTTTCTTTATAAAACTAATAATCCCAATGTTACCTTTATTCTTAACCTTGATTCTGTTTGATATTCCACAGTAACAACAAGTCTATCATAGATTTCACTATCATATATCTTAGGTGTCTTTATTCTTTCTACTTCCGCTTGTAGTCCATTACTAGTTTTAGTTATCTCCCCTCTTACTAAGTAGCCATGGCCTATTGAGTAAACACATTGTGGGGAATTGTCATCGTTTGATTTTCTCCATACACATCTAAATAAAAATATACGACATAACTGAAATTTATGTATTTCGTCCGCTTCTAACTAGGCGATATCACAGACAATGTCTTTGTTTAGTGATTTGGGGGATCACGTGGCTAAGTGGGTAAGACGCTGGCTTAGAGGTCGGGTGTTCGATCCCTGCATTGGCCGAGAAAGTTCATTCAAATTTTCCGGCGTGGTTTCCCCTTGTCAGTGATGCAGGATGGAGGGCCTGACAAGGACAGCTGTCTAGTCGTTCGGATGGTAGGAAAAACCGAGGTCCCGTGTACACATTGGCGTGTACGTAAAAGATCCCTTGGCAGTTGGAATTCGATATAAGAGTAGGCCGTAGCGGCGCTGCCCGGGCAAAATTTCCCTCATAGCACACTGTATGGCGTATGCCCGTCTTCATTAGTCCAGGTTAGGTGCAGAACAGTAGGACGTTAAACCCCATTTCATTTCGTTTTGTGATTTGTTTTACTTATTTTAGTAATAGTTGACTTATATGTTCAGTGTCCAGGATTTGATAGTCACATTTAAAATTTATAAAAAAAATTGGTAGATTCATTGTCTGAAATATTGTTTATACTCAATATGGTCCAATTACATAAATCAGGTTTTCCTAAGTGATCAACAGGGGGTTTGGATGGCTGAATGGTTAGCACGTGCGCGCTGTATCATAAAGTCTGTCATAGAATCAACTGGCGGGGTTTCGATTCCACGGTTGTACGTGACAAGGAGTAGGGTCGCCTGTCCAACCTCGTGGTTTTCCCCGGTTCCCCCCACTGCTAAAGACCTACGCGCAAGCAAATTATGGAAATAAAATTGAACCATATTGTCAATCAATTTCATTAATGCAAAGCGGTAATTGTGATATCACATATGTCACTATCATTATCTCGCGCTTTGAATGTCCAACCCATCTCATCATCTGATGATAAAGGACAAAGTACATGACCGTGACATTTTTGTCATAAAAAATGTTGTTTTACAATTTTTTATGTGGGGGGAGGGGCTGGATCAGCCCTTGATAATAGTAATTTATATTCCTCCATATACATTGGTAAACAATCTGATTAACACACAGATTCTATTTCGTTTCGTTTTATAGTTCAAAATTTCGTATTACTTGTCTTTACTACACTAGGATCTGGAAGAGTTGTTATCATTGACGTTTTCTGAATGGTGTGAGGAATTAGCCAATGAAAAGGTCTGTTACGGCGAGCTTTAGGCGTGTTTTGCACGGAACTATGGGTAATCCACTACTAACATCAATGCTGATTGGTTAAGCAAATGTCTGACGTCATAGGGTCAAAACTCGCGACCTATCGCCATAACCTGTCAAATCTTCATGTAGTGTAGGTCATCGAAAGTATAAAAAAACAAAACGAAATATAGATCTGTATTTTAATCAGCTTGATTGGTTAACAAATAAAAAAGAAACTAATTTACCCTCTAAGGTCACAGGTAGTTTTATCAGGATACTTTTCTGGATGACAATCAATAAATGGTCCAATGTTTACAGGTTGTCCGCCGTCTACTGCTATTCTATAAGAAATAAAAACGCGTTGTACTATGAAAGTGAAATGAAATGAAATGAAATGGAGTTTAACGTCCTACTGTTCTGCTCCGAACTGGACTAATGAAGACGGACCTACGCCATACAGTGTGTTATGAGGGACATTTTGCCTGGACAGCGGCACTACGTCTTACTCTTATATCTTATTCCAACTGTCAAGGGATCTTTTACGTGCACGCCAATGTGTACACGGGACGTCGGTTTTTCGTCTCATCCTCCGTCCTGCATCACTGACAAGGAGGAACCACGCCGGAGAATCTGGATGAACTTTCTCGGTTAATGCAGGGATCGAACACCCGAACTCCAGGCTAGCGAGCCAGCGTTTTACCCACTTAGCCACCGTGACCCCGCGTTATATTATGAGTCCACGGTCGTCGTAGCGAGTAACATTACCAAAGTTGGCATAGACGGATGCTAATCGCCTAACCCCTGTAGTATTATCATTAAATCCATTTGCCCCACTGGCCTTCCATACAGGGAGAATTCATTTATCTTGAAGACGTATTTAACAGAATGAACGAGATATCGACTATAGCTCATTCAACTAGTCGATACATTGTTATTCAACAATAACACGAATACAAACTACCCCCTTTCATTGAAATCTACCTGAATAAAAATTTATGTCCAAACGCATATCTGGTAAGCTCTCGAGTACCCAGTGTGGACACGTAATGCTTTATTCTATATATATATATAGCTCACCTTTTCGGGCTATCGGCTAAAAATACGAAGTATACTTGCACACAAATAAATACTGCGATCACCGCGATGATAATAAAAATAATTTTACTTTTCATACTCTCTCCTTTGAAATGACTACGGAAATAAACCGAATGCATCGATCCACGAATTCTCGCTTGTATTTTACGTACGCTCACAAGAAGACATCCGCCTCTGGTGTATCATTATTATGTCATACTGGCAAGTCACTTGTGCGCAAATCCAAATGTACCGTACATTGTCAAATAAGAGCGCTTCCTGCTCTACACTAATTAGGGTTTAATCAAGGTTTCATACGTGATTAGTGTGAAAAACCATAATTTTTGTAAGGATTATTAAGGTTTCACAGTTTGCGGATAAACATATTTTTAAAAATATTCACAAAATGCCACATTATATTATTTTCACTTGAAAGCCTAGAAATTTGATATTTTCAAAAATAACAACTTTGGAAATTTAAGTTTGAAAAGTTGACTTCCATTATTAACTATGTTCTATAGCATAAAATTGGAAGCACTGCATGCAACCTGTTAGTAGGCGAAAATATGGTATAGCCCCCCCCCACCCCTCCTCCTCCTAAAACAACAAGCGGGGTTGCCATGCAAGATAAACCCACGTTTTGCAAGAGACGGACAGAGGAAAAGTTAAAAAAAAACAGCGATTTTCGTACAATAAGTTATAATTATCCAGGATGTTACGGTTCGACGTGCGTCAATAGCAAAAAAAACTGAAATTTTGGAATATAAACATATATATATTCGAATAAACAATTGTAACCTCTTGAAGGCCATAATCCAGGAAGTTGCGCTCCAATATGCGCTAATATCAAAAGTAACCGAGATCTTCGGGATATTAACATATCTTTTTACGTTTACAATAGCTGTGACCTCCAGGGGTTTCACAACCTTGGTATAACATACTTTTACTCTGTTTTATGAGAGAAGGGAGGGGGGGGGCAAATCGTTCGGTTATAAACATGTATTTCAAGTGTCACCAAAATCGGATAAAAACTGTTTGACCTCTAGAGGGTTCACAATTTTGGTATAACATTCTTTCACACTACGTGTATTAGCGTACGGCGAGTGGTCATTTTGTCGGACAGTGTCGGTCAGATTTACACGCAATTCGCGCTCAACCGCCATTATAGTGTTATGGTGATATTTTTGAACTGATTCTCTAGAATTATAAACATGCATTTCAAGTTTCGTCAATATCGGATAAAAATTGTGACCTGTAGTCGAGTGTCCACAAACAAAATCTGACGTTCAGGCGGACAGTAGCCATGACAATATACGTACATATGAGAAGAATTAAATGTGGGTGTCTTACACTGAATACGGTAAATAACTAGGATACGTTCTAAAAATAAATCCGCTAGGCTCACCTGCCTATTAAATCAATATTTTATTCAAAAAATTGAACAACAGGCAATGGTAGGGTGCACTTCTCTACACATCTATCAATTATTACAGCCGTAAAAAATCTATTGTTGACGATTCTGAATAGCAGTAACATTTAGCTTATTGGTTATTACAGCAGCTTTAGAAATTACGTTCGTTTTATTGTTTAAATTGCTTTATCATTAACTGTACCGTTAAGAGCCACATCTTTTGGTTAAGTACAAATAATATCTCTGAATCACTTTCGTTAGCGGGAACATGATACTAGCAGTACATTTTACTTTTACAAGTTTCTTAAAGCAATTGTTGAGCTGGCTAACGTGCGTGTTTCTAAATTCAATTTCTTGTTCCAGTTTTCGGTCATGTTTCGTAAAAAGGTAGTCTTGATTATCCCAACCTGTCAATCATACGTAGAATGGTCGGTACACTGGTTAAGCGAGACTTATTTCAAAACAAGGGCACGTAACCTATCTTTTACTCAAAAGTGTCTGGATGTTATGGACGAGACTTGGAACCAGTTTCAGTCTATTATTTATAGATGATTAAATGGTCATAGCTTATTAAGTACAACATGATCGTTTATTTAGTGACTATAATTGTATGAAACTGATTTAAGGCTTTGTATATATATAAATATTGTGGCGTAATTGTCGAGATATTTGGAGATATTTATTTATGGTGGGTCACCAATGGCCTATATAAGTTCTCTCCAAACATATAAAATAGTTAAAACTTATGTTTACAATACAATGGTGGACATATGTACAGGCAGTGAGTTACAAACATATATACATTTTTTGGAGTGTAATTTTAAGTTTTAAATGTTAAAGTGTTAAAATCTCTTGCTGTCTTTTACGTATTTTTGCACTCTTTCAAATATGTTGAAATTGGTATTATCTGAAAGAGCGAGGTTGCCATATAAGATCAGGTCAATTGTAACATTTTGATTAAGGTGGTGTAGATTATTTTTGAAGATTGTTCTTGGGGCAGAGTATGCTGGACATATGAAAAAATAATGGTAATTATCTTCGTCTGTAGAATTACACCTAGGGCACACTTTTGTTTCACTAATAAAATGGTAGAATAAGTGATTATCTAAGTTACTAGCTTTATTTCTTAATTGACAGGGGATAATATTCTCTTTCCTCTATAAAAATATAGTAGTGGTCTAATTAAAGGATACACACGTGAAAAGCCCAATTTGAATGTACTTAACGTTTGTGAGGTTTTAATATTTTCAGGTAAGCGGCTCCAAAGTTTAATTGTGCAGGGAAAGAAACTATTAGAATATGAACTGGTTTTACAAAATGGTAGATTGGGGTTCAGATTTTCATTACTGAAGCTTATAATTTGATACAGACGGTTCAATTTTTTTAAAGGCTTCAGATAGATAAGTGGGACTTAGGTTATTCAATATTTTGTATAAATAAATTAATTTCTGTTTTATTCTGCTATTAGACAATGATTTTCCAACCAAGCCCTTTGTATAAATTGTTTTATTATTCTACCTGCTTCAGTTTGAACACTTTGAAAAGTTATCCCATACAATATCGGCATATTCTAAAATTGGGCGAATAAAAAGCCACCTGCCTGTTAAATCAATATTTGTTTTTATTCAGGAGACTTTATTTCATTTAGTTAACGCCTATAAGGGCTAACCCGGGTGTTGCTCCGAGTGATAACTAGTACTTGCTTTTAAAGCAGTGTAGTATATGCGGGGAAGCCATCAACCATATCGTCGCCATTGCTTATGATATCAATTTATGTTGAACGCGGATTTCACATCGCGGCAAGATTATCCCCCGTGATAACACCGATAGACCCCATTTTTCAGGCAACCGATAGCTTTCAAAGAACTCTTTTATTGACTCCCCTTGGCAGTTGGAATTCGATATAAGAGTCTTCATTAGTCCAGTCGAAGCGGAACAGTAGTGTAATATACAGAACAGTAGTATAATATACAGAACAGTAGTGTAATAGGGTATATGCCTGTTTTGTCGATTACCGTAAAGTGTGCGATTTTGTGATTTTGACAAATCCTATGGTATAAGCTCAGTCAAGAAGAAATAAGGTGTAAAATACTAACTATAATTAGGTCATTGTATGATAAGGTTATATGTAATGCAAAACTTAATGTTGATATTTCTGATTATTTTGAATGTAAGACTGGCCTATTTCAAGGTGAGGTGTTGTCACCCTTGCTACATCAACGCTTGTGAGAGGCGCAATGAAATGAAATGGGGTTTAACGTCCTACTGTTCTGCTATGAGGGAAATTTTGCTCGGACAGCGGCACTACGGCCTACTCTTATATCGAATTCCAACTGTCCAGGGATCTTTTACGTGCACGCTAATGTGTACACGGGACCTCGGTTTTTCGTCCCATCCGAACGACTAGATAGCTGTCCTTGCCATGCCATCCATCCTGCATCACAACTCATTAATAGATTTAGTGAATAAATTTACACTCCTATCTACAGACGATTGCTGAACATAATATATGAAGAGCCCCGTGGAAGAGCGATCTAAGTCACTTTTTCAATGAACCCCAGTTAATGGAAGCCATGTGGTAGCAAATTGTATCAACTTTCTGTGGAACAATCAATTGCAGGTAAAAAAGATCGGAGTCACATCGAACCAAGGCCCTTCTGAAATGGCCTTCCGGACAAATACAAGTTCATCGTATTTATTTGACCTTAATTTGGCTTTAAAGTGGAAGTCAGTTGTTTGACTTGTAATTATGATTCGTATTAAACATCATTTTGAAGTTGTAATTAAACCCACTCGTTGTTCTGTTCGCGTCAAGCATTCTCGTCCAAAAGTAATTGAATGTCATCAGATAAGAGAAAAATAGAAATAGTCTTTACATTCCCTTGTTTTTATTCATTCTATATTTAATAAAACATGGTAATGCACGGACGTTTTCTATTTTTCTTTCGTGTTCTCTTATCTAGTGGCAGTCAATTCTTTTTATGAATTGTCAGATATCCTCTCACAGTCTCGCACAACAACTTTTGTTCTTCGAAGGAATTATTAGTGAGCAGAAATTCGCCCATGTATCTGTTATCACTCGTCAATTAGTCACAGAGGGATAACTCATGTTTTCTTTTTGCGTTCGTCGCTTCCGATTGTTAACAGCTTTATTACGCATCTATCGTAGCAATGATCCCTGTGTTAAAATTATATTTGGAACGTGTTTAACCAGTTCTATCACATATGTGATACTGGCTGACACCACTATTGTCCTTTAATACAATAAAAGTATTATGAACATTTTTTACAATAGAACACAATTTAGCTATACCAGTTTTTACATAAATTACTAGCCCACCATCTCTACCGGTTTCTCTGAAGAATTTAAAGAGCTTGTAACCAGAAACAGCAAAATTATTAGTTTCACGAATCCAACACTCGTAGAGCACAATGATGTCATACCGTGTTAATTTAATAAAATCAATATCCATCAGTTTCCGAGAGAGAGAGAAAGAGAGAGAGAGATAGAGAGAGAGAGATGGGTTTAACGTCCACTCGAAACAAACTAGGTCATTTCGGGACTAACATGTTTCAATTTTATTTCAATAATTCGCTTACGCGAAGGGGTCTTTAGCAGGCGCCCCTACTCCATGTCACGTACAACCGTGGAAAGGAAACCCCGCCAGTTGATTCGGATCCCTCCTCCCCAGTTTCCTAGAAAGTCCTTTCCCCACATTCCACGACACGACGAAGCCCTCCTATGCGATATCAATTGGCTTCCCATTAGATGAAGTCGCGCTATAGTTTCGTTTCTTTCCTGGTTGGTAGAATCGGGTTGTGTCTTCCCACGGGCGATACTGATTTGCCTCCAAAGGTACAGCGGTGTTAGAAGCAGTTTGATGTTGTCCTCTATCCCCCAGGCTGTACTCTCTGCCGTCAATAAAAAAAATTGTCACATCCGTACTTACACTGCAGTATCTCCAAATTAGGACTTAGAATCTCCTAATTAGGACTTGGTATCTCCTAAAATAGGACTTAATATCTCCTAATTAGGACTTCGTATCCTACAGGATAAGCAACGCTGACGACCAGAGCGGCTGTTTATAAACGGGATTTTATCCCGACGTTTCAGTTCTGAGCTCCCCCCACCCCCACCCCGCATTGGCCTTTCTCGGCCAATGCGGGGGGGGGGGGGGGCTCAGAACTTTCTCCTTCATCGGACTTTTCTGACGTGGTTCGCCCTTGTCACTGGCTCAGCATCGGGGGCCTGGCACGATGGGACGAAACACTAAGGTCCTGTGTACACATTGGTGTGCACGTAAAATATCCATTGGCTGTTGGAATTCGATATAAAAGTAGGCCGTAGTGCCGCTGTCCGGGCAAAATATCCCTCATAGCACACTGTATGCAGGGCTGCCGACAACCAGTATCGCAGCGCAATTTGCGATACATATTTTGTCCGTTGCTAACCAAAAATTAAAATCTAACGTTGAATAAAATTTTATAAACAAAACTGAATTCTCCGTGTGACATTTTCTTCTCGAACTACCCAGACACAATACTATATAACACATAACTCTATGAAAAGGGACTATTAAACCGGAAATAGGGAATCAAGTAGTACCACTCACGTTGCGAGACATCAAGTAATTATATCATATTCATTTTGAAAGAAATAAATCCAATGTATCCCCGACGTATTGTAAATAAAATATAAAAAACTAAATACATGTTAACGTATTGTAAAATGATAAATCAAAGTAAAAATTCCCGTAAAACATTATTGTTTATATCGTGTGTGTCTAGTTAATCGAGGTGTGTCCGATTGAAGAAAAATAGTAATACTCGATAAAAAGCGAGTCTCGTATAATATCTCTGTCATAGATGACTGCCTTAACACGTGCTGTCACAGCACGCGGTGTGAATCATTGGCTGAATGGCGCGTGCATTGTTTACATAAGACATAACTGCTTCGGAGAGAATGCTGCATTTTAGTCATTTTAATACCCATTTACACTAAATCGGAAATAATTTTTAACTACAAATACGTCAAACGCCTTTATTTATTTTTCCAATATATACAAAAAATGTTTTAGAATTTAATTTGTCGCAGGAAAAAAGTTAATATTTCTAGCTCATTAAGCCGCATCAATGTCATCCTTATCAGTGATTGTCGCGGCCAAGCAAATATTCACTCCGCATCAATGTCATCCTTATCAGTGATTGTCGCGGCCAAGCAAATATTCACTGCGGATCAGTGTGGATAAAAAGCAGACGAAATTGTTTTCTAACGAAGATTTCTTACGTAACAAAAAAATAACAATTAAAATGAGTGGGGCTTCGGAAGTCACTGTCAAGAATTGGCTTCAGACATAAGACCTAACTAAATTTCTACATCACATTCACAAACTGTCACAAGTACTTGTGGCAGTGCTAAAAAATCTAAGAATAGTCAGAATGGAATCTAATCATATTTGTTATGAATTAAAGTAATATCTTGTTATTTAGGTGTTTTACATTGAAACTGAAAAACTGCTAATCAATTTTTAAATTTGCTAATCAAATTTGGCGAAATTGGACTTTTTGATTAGCAGTCTGTGAAAAATTACCGAAAGCCCTGACTCTATGGCGTATACCCATCTTCCTTAACCCAGTTGTATTAGAACAGCAATACATTAAACCGCATTTCATTTTATCTAGTTTATTCAGGTGATTACGTATGTAGGTCACGTTAAGCAATATTATGTGCCTACCGTAGACATTAACATAAATGTACCGTACATGCTACCCATGAACCTGAATAGAAATTATAATCCTAAATCAAATTTAAAAAATCTAAATTTATTACTAAATCAGCACTGCATTCATATTGGAATGATTCGCCAGAAGTAATAAATTTACTAGGTTCCAGATTAAACATTGACAAGAAATGTTAAACATACATTATGCAAGAGCTTGATCTGCCTATTGCAGACCTTTCTTTAGCCCTGAAATTTTATCTAAATTATTAATTAGACATTAATTAACTTATCCAGACCAACTCTCGATGTCACCGCTCGCCTGCGATGTTTATTTACTAGATTAGGATCCGATTTGCTGCTCAACTTTCATTCATGATTAAATCATGAAATGGATAATCGAGACTATGGTTTTTTTTTATTGTATTGTACCAACTTTAGTGATGATGATCGAGGATAGGCTGAAAATTCAATCGCTAAATTCTCGGTTCAGAGTGAAATTTTCAGCAAATTTCCCCTTACATTATGTAGTTTTTAACTATTATAGTGAGAACTGCCAGCTCTTTTTCTAATCTCCCATAATATATCTTTTTAACTGCCCCGCATTTAGTTATATTTTTTTAGGAAAAGTAAGGTAAAGAGATATGACTATCAACATATACTACAACTCGTTTGGGACGTAGAACATATATTTTAACAACTTTTCATATTAACTCGATATGAATGTATCAAATCTACTTCTGTTGTTAATAATATTTAGTCTTCAGGCCAATTTTGTATATTTATCTGTGAGTCATGATAGGTAAGTAGACCATGTTTATAGATAATTACATAGATTACATGAATTAATCGACAAAATTGGATTTACTTGCCTGTGAACATATTCGGTTTGCAAGTACCGAAACTTGTGCCTGCCACCCCTACCTTAACCCATCCTAAAGGGCATAAACGGATAGCTTATAATGCCATTGATTTTATGGGTCGTGTACTATTCATTAGTTTGCAGTATTTGTTTAAAAGCATCCAATAAGGTTAACAAGTAAATTTGCATAACTTTGCTTTCGTATCTATTAAAGCTGCAATTTCATATTTTTAAGCTATATTTTTAAAATTTATTAAAATAAAGCCTTAAAATAGATGGTATCCATGTTAAAGAATACCTTGTTAAAGAATAATCCTATTAATCCTATAATTCACTATTGCCAGCTGAGAAATTGGCAAAAATATCATTCTCAACTTCAAATTCAAACGTTTGAAGATAGCTACTCCATGGTGGAGAATAGAAAACAAGGGAGGTAATTGTGTTATTATTTCCGGTGTAAATAAGCTTTAAGTGTGAGAATGACACCTATGATCGTATAATAGTGAGTTGACAACCTATTGTGCAAAAGATATAGAAATAATTATGTTTTGACTTTCTTAGAAAATATGAAATTGTTACTTTAAAGTGGGGTTTTCATGTATGTTAGATTGATTTGGACATCAAATACACCCAGTTTATGGCTACAAATATATATGACATCCAGTCAAACGGATAATGTCGATTTTAGCCCGATATATTTCATTTCAGAGACGCACGTGACTATGATTGTGGTGAGGATGACGAAAGTGATAGTCAAACTTGTCAAATGAGAAGGTAACTCTATTCGTATGCCTGGCCTCAAACTATAGTATCCCCCCCACCAATCCCCTTCACCCCCTACCCCCCCCCCCCCATTGACGTGTATGTTAATCCCCTGGCTTATAACATGGCTTTGAACATCTTAATCTTTATAACCACAAACAGGGAGCTACGGTGGCTAAGTGGGTAAGACGCTGGCTCGCTAGCCTGGATGTCGCGGGTTCGATCCCTGCAGGGGTTCAGCGAGGAGGGCCTGACAAGGGCAGCTGTCTAGTCGTTCGGATGGAACGCAAAACCGAGGTCCCGTATATACATTGGCGTGCACGTAAAAGATCCCTTGGCAGTTGAAATTCGATATAAAAGTACGTCGTAGCGCCGCTGTCCGGGCATGATTTCTCTCATAAAACACAGTATGGCGTAAGCCCGTCTTCTTTGGCCCATTCGGAGCAGAACTGTAGAACGTTAAATCCCATTTCATTTCATTTATAACCACAAACAATCAATCATCTGATAAAATTGTTATGGGAGGGGGGGGGGGGCGTTTCGACAGTTTGCTATAGGCTCTGGTATCATTTTTGTATGTGATTTCCCTAATTCCTGTATGTCTACTTTCTGGTAATTACGCATCAAATCATGACTATTCAAAAAAAAACCTGGCATAAATGGTCTACTTCCATTCTAGAACCAGAGGTCATAAAGCATGCCTTGAAAAACGGGGAGAAAGTGGGGGCCAATAACACCTGAGAACTGCTATAAACAGAGGGGGGGGCGAATAGTTAGCGCGTGTCCATTGTGTCATAAGGTCTATCATTGAGTCAACTGGTATGGTTTCGATTTCCCGGTTCTACGTGGCAAGGAGTAGGGTCACCTGTCCAACCTCGTGGGTCTTCTCCAGGTCATCTGGTTTCCTCCCGCTGCTACAGACCCCTACCTAGTTTGTGTTGAGTGGACGTTAAACCGCCTTTCTCGCTATAAATAGAGGCATTACATTCAAATGTGTCAATTATAAAAACATCAAGAATTTAAAATATTATTCTTTTCAGTCGTCCAAACGAAGATCATAAATCGCCGCTTCCACAAGATCCACTAATTGACTGTCACCCAGATAAGAAGGCCAACAAAGATTCCTGTCTAGCTAGAGGGTAAGTGTTAACTTATCATAAGGTCGGTCATTGGGTCAACTGTCGTGGTTTCGATTCCACAGTTGTACGTGACAAGGAGTAGGGTTGCTTATCTAACCTCGTGGGTTTTCTCCGGGTCCTCCGGTGGTTTCCTCTCACCGGTAAAGACCCCTACGCACAAGCGAATTATTGAAATAAAATTGAACCATGTGTTAGTCCAGAAATGACCTAGTTTGTATCGGATGGACGTTAAACCTCTCGCTCTCTCTTTAATCCCAAAAGTTGTTAATGTGGTCGTATATTATAACAACCCGGTCCGTCCACACGTACTTGCTTGTCATCACTCTAGAAGACTTCTTAAACTTTCAGGGAGCTTGTATTATGACAAGAACAGTAGGACGTTATACCCCATTCATTTCATTTTCATTTGTATTATAACAAGACCTGGATCCCTATTTCTTTTCGTCAAAATTTGATTAATATTTATTTTCGTCCAACCTTTCCGCCAATCTTGTAAAGGTCCTTTTTTTCTTCAAATTTATACGAAGCATTGATGTCATGCGAGGTTGAATCCTTACAGGTTGTGGATGTGATAGAAGCTAAAATCTATTTTGGGAGACACAGCTATGCGTGGCTAGCTTTTATGGGTTTTTTTATACAAAATCGAATTGAGGTAACATAATATCAGTGGTTTAACAGCTTCGTTGCTCATATTCTAGGTGTTTGTGGAACGAGGACAATGATGCGACAAATGCACCGCCTTGCATCTACGCAGAAGGTCATGGCTACTTAGTAACAGGGGAGACAACTCACACTAGCAATGGACTACAAGCGGAAGTAGAAAGAATAAAGACACCTAAGATATATGATAGTGAAATCTATGACAGACTTGATGTTACTGTGGAATATCAAACAGAATCAAGATTAAGAATAAAGGTCAGAAATTGACTTTTGGATTGACAAACATCCTAATTGAACGCTTTCCAAAATCATTCTGCAGGAAGTTGGCGTAGGGGGGCTGACGAAGACAGCTGTTTAGTCGTCCGGATGGGACGAAAGACCGAGATCCCATGTATACATTGGCTTGCACGTAAAAGTTCCCTTGGCAGGTAAATTTCAACTTTAGTCCCGCTGCTCATAGAATTATAGACTAGAATATGAAGGACTAAAATGACGTCACGGATTGTTTATTGGCGGAAAGCTACGACTGCTCACGAAGTACAGTGGAAATCTGTTACGTTGAAATTTACCTGTGGCAGGTAACACTGACATTCGGAATCGTCTTATACTTATGAAAAGAATATCTTACATAATTACTTGCATTATTTAAAAAAATTATGAAACTTTTCCGGTGACCTTTAAATTATTGTTTCGTTCATATATATTTTCAGGTTGCACCAGTGGGAGTGAAGAGGTATGAAGTTCCCAAAGAGGCAGTCGATATACGTTCGCCTGAAATCCCTCCACCTGGCGACAGACAGTTATACGATGTAACATTGGTTGAAGGGAAACCCCAGTTTGGTATTATCGTAAAAAGAAAAGGCGAATCTGTAGCAGTGTAGGTTAATTTGTATGGTTTAATGGTCAAGAGCGAGACATTAAGTAATATATTGATACTGCACGAGGCGTTAGCCGAGTGTTGTTTAAATATATTACACAATGTCTTTAGCTAGAGACCATTAAACAATTTAAAATACAGACACTATCCCGCACGTGCTTTTCAATGAAATACGTCACACGAGTCCAATATTTCGTCTTGTATAGATAATATACGATTGCCCGTACATTATTGAAAATAATGGTACGCCAATATCAAAGGATGACGTCACATCTGTATTTTAAACTATTTTAACATCTATGTATAATATAAACGGCGGATAATGAATAGTGCACCGCGCATGTATACTGTCAGTCATTGAAATCTAAAATCCGAATCGCTCAGTAGCTCAGTGACATCCGTTTATAGTATTGATAAATGAAATGAAATGGGGTTTAACGTCCTATGTTATAGCATTTATTAATTATTAACTTGTATTTCAGATTTTCCACAGATCTTCCTGGAATGACCTACTCTGATCAGTTTTTACAAATAACAACTCGTCTACCCTCTGATAATCTGTATGGGTTTGGTGAACATAATCATCGTAGATTTCGTCATGATATGAACTGGAAAACCTGGAGTATATTTACAAGAAGTATTGGTCCAATTGTGAGTTATTTAATACAATTAACACGCGAGTCCAACATAGTGTACCAATGACACAGTGTCCGGTGGACGGACGTTTCGGCCAGTGGACATTGCGGCCTAGGACGTTTCGGTCAATTTTACAAAAATGATTTTAAAGCATTTAAAGAAACACCACGTCCAGAAACTTGCAGAGGCCGAAATGTCCACTGGCCGAAACGTCCAACATTCCACTGTCCGTACCATTTATCGAAATAATGATAGGCTAAATCAGTACTAATCAGAACCTAGTTCCGTACTTTCAGTTGGGTCATTCGCGTGAAATATGATTAAAACACAGATCCTATTTCGTTTGGTTTTTTTGTTTTTTTTTGACAGTTCAAAATTTCGTTTTATTTGTCTGTACTACACTAGGATCTGGAAGAGTTGTTATATAACCTGCGGTTTGGATAGCGTGATGGATTAGCCAATGAAACCATCTGTTACGGCTACTTCTTGGCGTGCGATGCGCGGAACTTTGGGTAAACCACTAGAAACGTCAACGCTGATTGATTAATCAATGTCTGGCGTCATAGGGTCAGAAGCCGCTCGTACGACCCCTGACGCCACCTCCCAATACAACTGGTCAGATCTTGATGTAGTTTAGGCCATCGAAAGTATAAAAAACGAAACGAAATATAGACCTGTATTTTAATTGATTCGCGTGGTAATTATGTTATGTTCTGGTGCGTGCTTGTGTATTATTATGTAAGAATTAGACAAATTGCTAAAATAACTCAAAAATAGAAAATAAAAGATGAATGTATTGAAAAAATTACTCTATTATGTGCGTAATTTTCCAATCTACTTACATTCGGAGAGTTGATTATGGGCTTACCATGTCAAAAATGTTTAAATAATAATTTATGTAACATTTGAAGCCAGATAAAAGATCTGAAAAGGCGTAGATTTAGGCCTAAATCTATTTGTTAAGGCCAGCTAAATTTTTTTATCAAGGTCGCTGAGATGTAAATAAGGTTAGCTCACGTGATTGTTGGCGAGATTGTAGGTTAGGGTCAGGGTAAGCATTGGGGCTAGTTCCAGGTTTAGTCTAGGGTTGGGATTAGCGCTAGCCCTGCTTACATCTCGTGACCTATGACGGAAAATTGAGGTGACCTTATCATTTAGCGCTAATCGTAGATTTAGCTCTTACATAATGCATCTTTAATTTTGTTTTAATCTAGGGGCCTGATAACCTATACGGGGCTCATCCAGTTTATATGAACATAGAAGATGACGGAAGGGCGTCTGTTGTGTTACTAAAAAACAGCAATGCTATGGGTAAAACATGTTTTAGTATCTAATAGTTAGCACGTGAGCGCTGTATCATAAGGTCTGTCATTGAGTCAACTGGCATGGTTTCGATTCCCCGGTTGTACGTGACAAGGAGTGGGATCACCTGTGCAATCTCGTGGTTTTCTCTGGGTTGCCCGGTTTCCTCCAACTGCTAAAGACAGTATTTTTGAAATACAGTTGAACCATATGTTATTCTCTCTAATAGGAAATCTCGTAAGGCTGGCTTAACATTCTTTATGCACCAACTACTTCTTCAAGACATTTCAGTTATAGAATTCTATAAGGCATTCTCTCTTTCACTTATAAATGTCTCAATCAACTAGCACCATCTTGTCTGTCTGATCTTTTAATCAGAGGTGGACCCGCTCTTCACCTGGGGTCCTTCTTATTGAGCCAGCGCGACCGTTCCTCCAGGTGACGAACGGCAACCGTGCCTTCGCTAATGCTGCCACTCGATTATGGAACTATCTCCCTCTTTCTATTTGCAATGCCTCATCCCTGGACTCCTTCAAAAAACACCTCAAAACACGTCTTTTCCAAAAGCACTACACTGAATGATCCACTTACACTACTGTTGCTGTTATATTTACTTTGTTTTTATGTCGTATTATATGTTTTATGTCGTTTTTATGTCGTATTATATGTGTTATGTCGTCGTATTATATGTTTTTATATCATAGTATATGTTAGTATATGTTTTCATCTCATATTATATGTTTTCATGTTATATTATATGTTTTCATGTCATGGGGGGTTGGATGGCTGAATGGTTAGCACGTGCGTGCTGTATCATAAAGTCCGTCATTGAGTCAACTGGCGGGGTTTCGATTTCCCGGTTGTACGTGACAAGGAGTAGGGTCGCCTGTCCAACCTCGTGGGTTTTCTCCGGGTCCTCCGGTTTCCTCCCACTGCTAAAGACCCGTACGCGCAAGCGAATTATGGAAATAAAATTGAACCATATGTTAGTCCCGAAATGACCTAGTTTGTGTCGAGTGGACGTTTAACCCCATTTCTCTCTCTCTCTCATATTATATGTTTTCATCTCATATTATATGTTAGTATATGTTTTTATATCATATTATATGTTAGTATATGTTTTCATTTCATATTATATGTTAGTATATGTTTTTATATCATATTATATGTTTTTATATGTTTTATGTCATATTATATGTTTTTATATCATATTATATGAGATTGTTTATATGATGTAATGCGTATAATAAGAAATAATTATTACATATATTATTATTATATTAAGTATTTTCAATATGGCGATTTCAGATATTGCGTTACAACCAAGTCCTAATCCTGCTATAACATATCGTGTTATTGGTGGTATTCTGGATTTCTATATATTTATGGGACCAAGTCCTGAACAGGCTGTACAACAATATATACAGGTGGGCTCATACTTTAACTTTAGACTTTACATTTCGGTAAACGGCGTTATTTTGTAAACACGTTTAACATTCTGTACCTTTCAGTATTTTGTTAGGTTATAAATGATTCTCTGCCTATTTGCATATAACCCTTATTTTATATTTTGACATTCGATAAAACAGCATTATGTTTTAAATACCTTTGACATTCTGTGCCATTCTGTATTTTGTTATTAATGATTCCCTGTCTATTTGCATATAACCCGTATTTTCTATTAACATATTACTATAGGCTATAGGACGACCTGTAATGCCACCACATTGGTCTTTAGGATATCATCTATGTAGATGGGGATATAAAGATTTAGAAGATATGAAGATGGTGATCAACAGAACCAGAGCTGCTGGTATACCTTATGTAAGTTTATTATCTTTCTCCGAAAGTAGTCAAGGAAAGGACAAAAAGGGCTTCGTCCGTCCTTCCGGGGCGTATGGCCTACTCTTACATCGAATTCCAATGTATACACGGGACCTCGGTTTTCCATACAATCCGAACGACTAGTCAGTTGTCCTTGTCAGGCCCTCCGTCCTGCACACCCGAAAGGAGAAACCATGCCGGAAAATTCGCATGAACTTTCAAGGCCAGTGTTGTCAACCATGAAATTGTATTGTGATATGTAACGGTTGTGTAATATCTTAAAACCGAACTTTTTAATCAAATATACAACTGATTGAATACAGTTCTAGCTGTGTTTCAGTGAAGATTTTTACCATGAGTACTAAATAATGTTCTCTGTTTTTGTTTATGGATTAATGTGTTGTGAATGTTGTAATTGTATATTAGTTGTACTTATGTAAAGCGCCCGAAAGTAGCGGCGCTATATAAATTAATTATCATTATTATTATTATTATTACTATTATTAATATCATTATTATTATTATTATTATTATTTCAGGATGGTCAATGGGTAGATATAGAATATATGTATAAGCATTATGATTTTACTTATGACAGAAAAGATTGGGTCGCTCTACCAGAAGTTGTTGAAGATTTACATGAAAATAACCAACGATTTATTGTTATCATTGTAAGTTATACTTTTTTACATTTTTCATGAACGCCCAAGATATTTTATGATATGTTCGTTTTCTTTCAATAAAACTAGGTGTATATAATTAAAACACGGTTGACCACCGGTTTCTAGCTTTTTATGGTGGCTGATAGAGAAAGAGAGAGAAATGGGGTTTAACGTCCACTCGACACAAACTAGGTCATTTCGGGACTAACACATGGTTCAATTTTATTTCAATAATTCGCTTGCGCGTAGGGGTCTTTAGCAGTGGGAGGAAACCGGAGGACCCGGAGAAAACCCACGAGGTTGGACAGGCATGGTGGCTGATTGGTATCATGTCGTGATGTCGTGATGTCGCCCTTCTTAAAAGGGAATATGTTGAAAAGTTCAGTCAACTTACTTCACTTACTGTGTAGCCTCGATTGTCATTGCTACCGTCGTTACGGTAATAAACGAAGTCTCGTTTTATCCGTTTTTACGTTAAATTATCAACCGCAAAACGTGTTTGAATCTACTTAAAATCGGAGCCATACGTTGGCATCGGGAGTTGATTATGGTTTTGGTAAGTTAATTAACGTCTAATTAATAATATATTTAAGATTTAAGGGTAAAGAAAGGCCTGCAATAGGCAGATTTAGCTCTTACATAAAGTATGTTTAAATTAAATTCACATCCTGGTATTAACAAGGATTCATATGAAACTTTCGTTCTGGATTAACCAGGATACCGATTAACCAGAATACCGATGTTGGTACTAACAGAACTATAATTTAGAACCTGAAGTAAATAGTCTGTTTGGAATGTACCCTAATGAAAATGTGTATTGTTTGTATTTAATGTGCCATAATGAAGATGTGTATTGTTTATATGTGTATTGTTTGTATTTAATGTGCCATAATGAATATGTGTATTGTTTGTATTTGTATTGTTTGTAATTAATGTACCCTAATGAAAATGTGTATTGTTTATATTTAATGTGCCAAAATAAATATGAATTGTTTGTATTTGTATTGTTTGTAATTAATGTACCATAATGAAAATGTTTTTTGTTTGTATTTGTATTGTTTGTATTTAATGTACCATAATGAAGATGTGTATTATTTGTATTTGTTTTGTTTGTAATTAATGTACCATAATTGAAGATGTGTATTGTCTGTATTTGTATTGTTTGTATTTAATGTGCCATAATGAAGATGTGTATTGTTTATATGTGTATTGTTTGTATTTAATGTACCATAATGAAGATGTGTATTGTTTATATGTGTATTGTTTGTATTTAATGTACCATAATGAAGATGTGTATTGTTTGTATTTGTATTGTTTGTATTTAATGTGCCTTGATGAAGATGTCTATTGTTTGTATTTAATGTAGTATAATGAATATGATTTAACATACTATAATGTTTATGTTTTTTTATTAGGATCCAGGAATTGGTGCCGATAGAACTATAATAGAAGAAGCTGTTATAAATAGTCCAGGTTATAATATGTTTGATGATGGTGTACAGCAAGATATATTTATTAAGAATGAATCTGATCAAGTATTAATAGGAGAGGTAACGAATGGTAGAAATTTTCAGTTCACAAAAAGAAATTATTTATGTTTTTAAAGACACTTTTTTAGGGGAGTGGAGGGGGTGCGGGGGATTTCCAAAGATTCAAGCAGTTCCGTGGTCCCTGTACTTGCTATGACTGAAACTAATAAAACATAGTTAAGTTAGGAGCTGAACAATGTTATGTAAAAAGTAATTCAAATGATTTAGCCGATATATGATTGGATTCCAACCAGAGGCATAAAGATGGCAGTTTGACATCAACAGAAAATAACATAATATTTAATTGGCCTACCACTTCCGGTTTTGGTGTAATGCTACTTCCGGTTCATAACAAAACCCATGCTACGCTAAGTCAACCGCTAGTAACATAATATTTAAATGGTCATACCTCTGATCGATATGAATAATATTTATACTAATATAATTTTATTAAGAGCAGGTCTCCTTTTAATTGTATATCTTCATACTCACCCTTTCATTCTATAGCTTATTGCCATTTAATTGATGTCCCGTAGATATACGAACACCGCCACCACATAAACAAGTTAACATAAGTTTACCTTAAATTTACTTACTGAAATCAGTTTTCTATGTCCACACGACACAAACTATGTCATTTCGGGACCAACATATGGTTCAATTCTATTTCAATAATTCGCTTGTGGGTAGGGGTCTTTAGCAGTGGGAGGAAACCAGAAGACATGGAGAAACCCTACGAGGTTGAACAGACGACCCTACTCCTTGTCACGTACAAGCGGGGAATCAAAACCACGCCAGTTGAATCAATGACAAAAAGCTTGTGATACAGCGCGCACGCGCTAACCATTCGCCCCACCCTTCACGAATAAGACCCCCCCCCCCCCATACTTTATTTAAATTAACTATTTGTTTTACACAAACCAATCTGTTATTAAAACCTACAGGTGTGGCCAGGTGTGACAGCTTTTCCAGATTTCACAAATCCTAAAACACAAGATTGGTGGTTGAAATGGATGAATTTTTTATACCACGAAGAAAATATTAAATATGACGCATTATGGATTGTAAGTAATGGTTTCAACAGTTATTTAATTAGTGAAACAATTAAAGTCCACATTTTTTAAAACCTGTACCGTATTACCTGAATGTATAATATCATATATAAATAAAGTGAAAGTAGGTAAATTTCTATTCATCATTATCCATTATTTCACACTGTGGTTTCCCCTTGTCAGGACCTGGCACGGACAGGCGTCTCGGTTGTCAGTTGTCGAGAAAAAAACGGGGTCTACCCCATAGTTAGCGAGCCAGCGCCCTACCGACTGAGCCACCACGAACACGGTTCCCGGTTTGGTGAAGACAAATGAAAATGAAAAATGGGGTTTAACGTCCTACTGTTCTGCTCGGACTGGGTTAATGAAGACGGGCATACATAGGCGTACGCCCCCCCCCCACCCCATTTTGGGCAACAAATGTTGGGAAAATTTGGGCACACAATTGTACTTTGTAAAAGTTGTATAAAATAATATTGCGCTCTTGAATGTGTCCAATTTAACAGCGAATTTATTATTATGTAACATACTAAGAACCTAACTACATTTTTTGGGCACCAACCAACACCGCCCCTCCCCCCAGTCAAAAATTTCCCCGTACGCCTATGCGGGCATACGCCATAAAGTGTGCTATGAGGTAAATTTTGCCCGGGCAGTGACACCATGGCCTACTCTTATATTGAATTCCAAGGGATCTTTTACGTGTATGTCAATGTATACACCGGACCTCGGTTTTTCGTCCTATCTGAACGACTAGACAACTGCCCTGGTCCTACATCACTGACAAGGGGAAACCACGTCGGAAAATCCAGATAAACTTTCTCGGCCAATGCAGGGATCGAACACTCGACCTCCGGGCTAGCGAGCCAACGTATTACCCACTTAGCCACCGTGGCTCCACCATTATTTTACACTGTGGTTTCCCTGGTTAGGACTTGGCACGGAAAAGCGTCTCGTTTTCAGTTGTCTAGGAAAACCGGGGTCCATTCCATAGTTAGCGAGCCAGTGCCTTACGTACTGAGTCGCCACGAACACGTTTCCCGGTTTGGTGAAAACAATAGGGTTAGGGGGAGAGGTCAAGTCTCCACATAAGCACTGACCTAGAATGATGTAAATTTGGTTCGTGATATTTCCTAGTTTTATTAAAAATACATGCAATACATTAGAATAATATACAAAGTTGGTTACGCGGTTTTTTAGTGTTGGTGGCACTGGTGGTCTTCCTTCAGTGCCGCTTGTGGTATTCTGGTATTTTGGTTTCTAAAGAAAAAAGAATAAATTTGAGGCTCTCAATTTGAGCGCTAGTCCTGTTTACATTTCGTGACCTGTGGCGAAAAATTGAGCTGGCCTTATCATTTAGTACTAAACTTGATGTATATATAAACTAAATCATAATATTTAATTAGGATATGAACGAACCGGCTAGCTTTGTTCATGGTTCAACAGAAGGATGTAAACGCACCAGATGGAATTATCCGCCATATACGCCACGTAAGTTCTGTCAAACATCATTTTGTATTTTTCGAATAATTTCTAATTTTAAACGGCTTGGTCCGTGATAAAATATACCTAAATGGATTTTCTACTAATTATTATGACCGGTGGATAATCTTTCCAGTCGAATACAATCCGATTAAAACATTTATAGGTGGGTTCTCTCCGGGTCCCCCGGTTTCCTTTCACTGCTAAAGACCCCTACGCGCAAACGAATTATCAAAATAAAAATTCAACCATGTTAGTCCCGAAATGACCTAGTCTGTGTCGATAACAGTGGGGAAACCGAAGGACCGCAGTAAACCCACTGCTGGACAGGCAACCCTACTCCCTGTCGCGTACAATTTGGGAATTGAAACCACGCCATTTGACCCACGGCCACACCTTATGATACAGCGCGCCCGTGCTAACCATGGGCAGTAGATAATCTCCCGGTTCGAATAAAATCGGATTAGGGTGGCTGGGTGGCCGAAACCACGCCAGTTGACCCAATGCCAGACCTTATGATACAGCGCGCACGTCCTAACCGTGGGCAGTAGATCATCTCTTGGCTCGAATAAAATCGGATTGGGGGGGGGGGGTGGCGAAACCATACCAGTAGACCCAATACCAGACTTTATGACCTAAAACGCGCGGTTCACATGTTCGGCCATCCATCCCTACCCCAACCCCTCTCCCTCATACAATGTGATGTGAATAATATCAATGTTTCAGATGTAGCCGGTTCTGAAGTTGACGGTAAAATATATGAAAGAACTATCTGTATGGACAATATACAACACTGGGGTCGTCATTATGATGTTCACAATTTATATGGCCATAGTGAAGCCATACAAACATACAAGTAAGTTTACATTTTAGATTACCATACTGAAACCATCCAAACATACAAGTAAGTTCACAGTTTAGATGGCCAATCTGAAGTCATCTATAGTGAAACCATCCAAACATACAAGTAAGTTCATAGTTAGATTGTCATACTGAAGCCATCCATAGTGAAACCATCCAAACATACAAGTAAGTTCACATTTTAGATGGCCATACTGAAGCCATCCATTGTATACTGAAGCCATCCATTGTGAAGCCATCCAAACATACAAGTAAGTTCACAGTTTAGATGGCCATACTGAAGCCATCCATTGTGAAGCCATTCAAACATACACGTAAGTTCACATTTTAGATGGCCATACTCCTTGTCACATACAACCTGGGAATCGATACCACGCCAGTTGAACCATGTGTTAGCCCCGAAATGACCTAGCCTGTGTCGAGTGGACGTTAAACCATTGCGCGTAGGGGTCTTTAGCAGTGGGAGGAAACCGGAGGACCCGGAGAAAACCCACGAGGTTGGACAGGCGATCCTATTCCTTGTCACGTACAACCGGGGAATCGAAACCACGCCAGTTGACTAAATGACAGACATTGTGATGCAGCGCGCACATGCTAACCATTCGACCACACACATCCACTAAAATTGGAAGCAAGCAGTCCCAGCCGTTGCATGAAGTTACAATATTATACAATACACTAAATGTTCTGGTCGTCTAGAAACATTTTAAGTCTTACAAGCCCCCACATTCCTTAAATGCAATCTGGGAGTATAAATTAATTGGTAAACTGGATAACGTATGTTTATCGTAAGGTACGTTATTGGGAGAGAGGCCATGTGAATGATGCGAATAATGCTTAAACATACATTATGCAAGAGCTAAATCTTCCTAATGCAGGTCTTTCTTTAGGCCTGACATTATGTTATATAAACTATTAATTAGACATTAATTAACTTATCGAAACCATAATCAACTCTTGATGTTATCTTATGTGCCGGATTTTCACTGGATTTGAATCCGATCTGCAGCTCAACGCTCATTGATGATTAAATCCAAAAATGAATAATCGAGACTATGTTTTTTATCGTACCGACTTAAGTAATGATGATCGAGGCTAGGCTTAAAATTCAAAGGCTAATATCTCGGTTCAGAGTGGAGAAATTTGACATTTTCAGCATATTCCCTTTACATTTTCTAGCTTTTAACTATCATAGTGAAAACAGTCGACTCTTTATGTAATATCTCATAATGTATCTTTAAGCTGTTAGAATTTCTAAATCAAAAATGAAATGAAATGAAATGGGGTTTAACGTCCTACTGTTCTGCTCCTATGCTGGGCTAATGAAGACGGGCATACGCCATACAGTGTACTATGAGGGAAATTTTGCCCGGACAGCGGCACTATCGCCTACTCTTATATCGAATTCCAACTGCCAAGGGATCTTTTACGTGCATTCCAATGTATACACGGGACCTCGGTTTTTCGTCTCATCCGAAGGACTAGACAGCTGTCCTTGTCAGGCCCTCCGTCCTGCATCATTGACAAGGGGGAACCCCGCCGGAAAATCTGGATGAATGTTCTCGGCCAATGCAGGTATCGAAAACCCGACCTCCAGGTTAGTGAGCTAGCGTTTTACCCACTTAGCCAATTTCTAAATCAATATGTGTACATAACCCTTTTTATAATTAATGGCTGACTGATGTCAACAGATGTTTCTGGTTTGCTTAGACGGGCTCGTTGTCGCCTTAAAGATGTATTATGTAAGAGCTAAATCTGTCTATTGCAGGCCTTTCATTAGGCTTCAAATATTATATAAACTATTATATAGACATTTATTCACATCATAAGTCTATAAGCAATTCTCTAGATCATCGGATGGCTGGGATGTAAACGGACTGGAACACGGCCGTCATTTAATGACTTAATTTAAAAATGGAGAATCGAAGCTAAGTCTCGAATAATAAGTACCATCGTTACGACAATAATTAATCTGTGCCACATCTGATCAAAATTTCAAACAATGATAACTTCGTTCAGAATAAAGTAATTTGAATGTAATTTTCAATAGATTAATTTTGAACTTTTATAGCAAGAACACGTCCAGCTCTTTATCTAAATCTTATATAATGTATCTTTTATATAACCATTATAGCATTAACAACCAGCTCTTTATCTAAATCTTACATAATGCATCTTTATCTGTTTATTTTCTAGTTCTTTGTTGATGCAATCGCCGTATCAACGACCATGGTAAATATGCCACTAAATGGATGGGTGATAATCATTGAATTTTTTTTTTTTAGTATCTCGATCTTGATAATTATATAGGTGCTCTTTTGGCAGTTTATTTTGTCATTGGTTATTTGCTTGCAGTGCCCTGATACGACAAAAGCCAGGAATGAGACCATGGACGATGACTAGATCATCATTTGTTGGTACTGGTAAATATGCTACTAAATGGATGGGTGATAATGAAAGTAGATGGTCCAATCTACACTGGTGTATTGTCAGTAAGTGTGTGGGAGAGAAATAGGGTTTAATGTCCACCCAACACAAGTTTCGGGACTAATATATGCCACAGTGTTATTTCAATAATTCGCTTGTCTATAGAACACGCTAAGATCAAAATCATTTAAACCATTTGACTGAATGGCAGACTTTAATATTTAGACCATTCGGCCACGAAACCCCCTTAACGGTATCTCCCTTGTCAGTGGTGCAGGATGCAATGGACAGCATATAGTAGTTCGAATGGGGCAAAAAACCGAGGTCATGTGTACACATTGGCGTGCACGTAAAAGAACCCATGTTAGCTGGAATTCGAAATAAGAGTAGACCCTGTGCCCCTGTCCTTGAAAAAGTTCCCATATAGCACACTGTATGGCGTATGCCCAGCTTCATTAGCCCAGTCGTGCAGGAAAGTGGGACGTTAAACCCCGTTTCATATTTCATTAAACTTAAAGGTAACTACTGGATCGGCTTACAGACCATGATATATTTTCTCCATTGTTCTAACGTTGTCCCATATTTTAATCCGACTGAGCGAGTTCCAATCTGATTAAAACACAGATCCTATTTCGTTTCGTTTTTTTATAGTTCAAAATTTTGTCTTACTTGTCTTTACTACACTAGGATCCGGAAGAGTTTTTATCATTGGCGTGTTCTGGATAATGTGAGGGATTAGCCAATGAGACAGTCTGTTACGTTGAGATTTCGGCGTGTTTTGCACGGAACTGTGGGTAATCCACTAGAAACAGCAATGCTTATTGGTTAATCAAATGTCTGACGTCATAGGGATAAAAGCTCGTATGACCTATGACGCGACCTAAGTATAAAAAAACGAAACGAAATATAGATCTGTATTTTAATCAGATTGAGCTAGTTCTACCACAGATGGAATAGTTTGTAGTGTTTTGCCAAAACGCTGTATGCGGTGATTCATGAACAATTTGACAGAAACTGACACATACACATATTAAAAAAACTTCAAAACTTGTTTATACTAACGCCTTAAAATCGTGAAGATCCCCTAATCCCGACAGTATATGTAAATTCAATATTTTTACCTTCATTAGGAGCCTAAAGGCTTAACAGCAGTTGTTATGAACAGTAGTGTCTAGTACCAGCCGAATTGATTTAACGCGTGCGCGACAAGTAGTAGGGTCGCCTGTCCAACCCCTTGGCTTTTGTCCGAGTCAACGGTTTCCTCTCACTGCTAAAAACCCCTACTCGCAAGCGAATTATTGAAATAAAATTGGACCATAAATTAGTTCCGAAATGGCATAGTTTATGTCGTGTGGACGTTAAACCCCATCTCGATCCCAATGTCATAAGTGTGGGACAGTGGACGTGGCAAGGGACAACGTATAGTCGTTCGGCTGGGATTAAAAAACCGAAGTCCCTCGTACACATTGGTGTGCACGTAAAATAACCCTTGACAGTTGGAATTTGAAATAAGAATAGGTCGAAGCGCCGCTATTTGGGCAAAGTTTGCTTCATAGCATCCTGTATGTCGTATGCCCGTATTTAGTAGCCCAGGCAGTGCCAAAACGTAGGACGTTGAACCCGTTGCATTTTTAAATGAATAAAGGGCCATAATTCAGTGAAACAAAATGTAGATTTCTAGTCCGTCTGTATATGGGAATAACCCCCTCTTTCCCATACTCCTCGTAGTGTTTCGTTTGATTATACCTAACCCCACTAAACACTGCTTTAACGAAAGCAAATTTCTGTACCAAATTATGACTGGTCAATAGTCCGATTAACAACCTATATCTAACTGCGTTACAAAAGCATTACGGTTAAAACAGAGCTCTAAATTGGACCAAATATGTTTACATAACGTTTCGTAATGACTCACGATTTTATTATGCCCAATTAAGTAGTGCCTTGCACAATATTGCAGAAAAACTAATTGCGTGACAAACGAGGCTATCAAATCGAAAACAATGTAAACAATACTGTTTGGAGACGAACATACTTTCACCGTTTTTAATACCTTAAATCACTGTCCAGAGTTTTGGGGAAGACCCAGATTGTACAAAGGACTGTCATGTTGCTGAACATGGGATAGATTTGATTGAACGGGAAGAATAGACAAACTCCCTCAAAAGCTCAAGTATCAGAAGCCAATCCAGCAATGGCCAGAGGGGGATTTCTCGGGCTATTGCTTCAGGAATATGCTCTTTCCCTTTTCACCAATTTTGCATGCCTAGTTTTTGTTCATATTCATGCCTAATTAGAATTAGAGACAGAAGGATAACAGAGGTTGGTCACGGTGATATGTACAGTGTATGTATTTAGCATGCCACTTCAAATTTGTGTATCTCAAAATTTCAGTGATCAACCTCATACAAAATTTGGAGCAAAACAACATGACTATTCTTTGCTCTGTCAGTAGTGAAAAGCTTTCAGCCCAACGAAAATTTGGGGAATAGTTGAGGCCGGACAAAGAAACCAGAATTAACATCGATATCAATGGTGGTCTGCATCCAACATAAAGAAATTCCATGAAACGCGAAGATGGTCTGTTATTCCCATACATACAGCAGTGTATCATCTAACTATCAACCTTGGCTAATCAGTTGAAGACGTTTGTAGGGTATGCATTACAAATTCCCGCATAGCAATTATATTTCTGAGATTTTTTATACGTTTTCAGGCATAATGGAATTTAGTATGTTTGGGTTTTCTATGGTAAGTACATAATTATCAAACTATGGTAAACATTAGTCTCGGTCATCCAGAACCGTTGTAAATATTTGACGAAAAATCCATTGCCCATGCGTAACCGGGAGTTTAATATTCATAGAATATTTTTCTGGATGATAGAGACTTGGTAAACATAAAAAATATGATTAATACTTCTAACTGAAGAAATACACCAACTCTACGTTAGAGTACTTTTGTGATGCTCAAGCCAAATGATATGAAATGAAATGGGCTTTAACTTCCCACCGTTCTGCATCAAACGAGCATGCGCAATGCAGTGGCTTTGAGGGAAATTTTTCGTTCACACCCAATGTCAGGTCCTTCATCCTTCACCACTGACCAAACGACACTTGGAAATCCCGGGCATCGTTCTCGTCGACAAACGCCGGGGTCGAACCCAGGACCACCTGGTTAGTTATTTAGCGCCTTACGCACTGCGCCACCATAGCTCCATGTTCAAACCAAATGGAAGTATGCAGTAATACAGAACATAACATTTGAAATGGCCAAGTCCTTTAAAACAAGGGCAGGGAGTGGCCTAATTGTCGATCGTAAGATCCGTCATCGACCTCTCACTTGTACTTGAAATGGAGTAGGATGGCCTGACTAACCTCGTGGATATTCTCTGGGTCCTCTAGTTTCTTCTTACTGCTAAAGACCCGTACACCATCTAGGATAGCCGTTCCCTCTCTCCCGCCTCCAACCTCGTGGGTTTTCCCCGGGTCCTTCGGTTTCGTCCCACTGCGAAAGCGAATTATTGAAATAAAATTGAACCATATGTTAGTCCCGAAATGACCTAGTTTGTGTCGAGTGGACGTTACCCCCTCCCCCCTCTCTCCCACCCTTCCCCTCTCCTCACCAAGAGACGATTTTAGCAACAAGTGATATGAGGTGTTCCGTCATTTGTTGCTTCTAAAGATTTTACAATTTTCAGTCGGAATTTGCCGATGGTGTAAATGCAACATCCTGGCAATTCTCTTTTATGTTTCAATTCAAAGAACGGTGTGGATATTTGTGGATTTTGGTATGAAGCAGAATATGAAATGTGTTTAAGATGGCACCAGTTAGGCGCGTTTTACCCATTTGCCAGAAATCATAATGGTAGATGGAAGGAACAGATATTTAGGGTATGTTTCATGGCAACTCTTATTTATGTGTGTGTATGGGTGTGTGTGTGTGGGGGGGGGTGTGTGTAGAGGGTGGGGGAATGCGTTTGGTATGTTGCGTTTGTTTTTTTGGTTGTTCGTGTTTAGCGTAATTAATTATGATTATTATTAACAGTAGTTTCAATAGTGAGCATTTATTGTTCCTTTTTCCTTGTGTTTCAACGATTCGGTTTCATGTTGTTGGTGGTGATGGGTGGGGGTTGGGGGCTGTGTGGTTAGTATATTGCGCTTGTTTGTTTTTCGGTTGTTTTTGTTCATCGTAATTATGATTATTATTAGCAGTATAGTGGCAATAGTGAGTATTTATTGTTCCTATTCTCCTTGTGTCTTAACGATTCCGTTTCATGATGGTGGGGGGGGCAATGATTAGCGCGTGCGCGCTATATCACAAGGTCTGCCATTGAGGGGGGCGAATTGTTAGCGCATGCGCGCTGTATCACAAAGTCTGTCATTGATTCAACTGGCGTGGTTTCGATTCCCCGGTTGTACGCGACAAGGAGTAGGGTCGTCTGTCCAACCCCGTTGGTTTTCTCCGGGTCCTCCGGTTTCTTCCCACTGCTAAAGACCCCGCCACACAAGCGAGTTATTGAAATAAAACTGAACCATATGTTAGTCCCGAAATGACCTAGTTTGTGTCGAGTGGACGTTAAACCCCATTTCTCTCTCTTTCTCTGTCCGTGGAAAAGCAGCCACTAGTACTGCCAGAAGATCCCCAAGCTCCGGCTCCTCCTCAGTTTGTCTCTGGATCCTGTTGATCTCCACGCTTTGCCTCAGTAAGTGACAGAGAGCAACAGAAGAGCCTGGGGAAAACCAAGACTCACCCCTGAGCACGAAGAGGACATGGTGGAATGGCTCAAAGCCAATGAAGTCCTCTGTAGCAAAAAAAAAATAAAGCCTATAAGGAAAAACAAGCAAACGGACCTGGGCGAGCTACAGACTGACCACGTCACGTCGTAACACGTCCCTAGTATGATTGAAGTACGATAATACTGTTTATAGTACGACAATTCCGTTCGCAGTACCTCCATCTCGTTTTAAGAACGTTGACACTCCGTCTAATTGCAGGACGGGAAAAAATTATGAACAGGCACAAAGTCCTAGAACACGGCCAATGCAGTCAAGCAGTTCGTAAACAGATCGTAAACTGTTGCTACTACGTGCCATTCGCACATAGTTTGAGCCCGTTTGGCAACATTTTCCAAAACATAATGAGAACTAACCTGTTCTTATATTAAACGTACATGCTACTATTTATTGTATCAAGGTCCGGGATCATGGGACCAGCGTTTTGTAGATATAGTTAAATCTGTTGTTATACACATGTGTTACTATTTATAGCATCAAGATCCAGCATCGTGGGATCAGCGTTTTGTAGATATAGTTAAACCAGTTCTTATGACTAGATACAGATTGTTACCATATTTATATACTCTTATGTATAAAGCTCATGAAGAAGGTCACATGGTCATGAAAGCTCTGCTGTTTGAGTAAGTTGATTTTTTAAAAACTACTAATGAATTGAGTCATTGACAGTGTTGGCAAGAAGCTGGAAATAACTAAGCCTTAAAATCATACAAAGAACTCCGAACAACAACAGAAAATACCAACCTTTTATCAAAACTGTTAAACTGGTTTATTCTGTGTGAAAGACCGTTGGCACTTGTATCCTCTGATACTTTTTCAAGGACATAATGGTTTAGTTTCAACCATCTTCAATAGAAGGCTTGATCTCGCTTTAACTACGTACATCTTACCAAGGCCTTCACAATTTTGGTATATATGGAAAGTAGAGACATCTAATCTTACTCGAGAAATACTGGATTCCCCGAAAAACATTCATGGAGCGTATACAGGACAAAAATGTAAGGGTACCCCAAATCGACAGCCCGACGATTAGGAATTTCTGCACGCGTGATGTCAAAGGTCACACGCGAACATTGAGCGCTTGATGTACAAGTTGATAAACTTTATGAAGAGTTAAACGTACAACACTTTCTGAGATAAAAATGACGGAAAAAGACGCGGGTAGTGGATAATACAAGAATTTAATTAGGATTGACATTTGTAATAAATAGTAAGCGATTACAGACAACATCGTCTTATGTATGCAATGAATTCTCATCTGGCTTCCAAGGGAGGTAAGTCACGTGACGTAAACATGACCTGGTTTGATCGAATTTTTATAGAAGGGCATTCCTTAGCAATTACAATGTTTGAGAAGGATTTGAAGCAAAATTATGACAAATTAATTAGTTTGAATATGTTTTTAGTCCATATATACCATTAAATCACCCAGTTTGTACGCGGGAATGTATCTTTAAGTCTACAAATTGAAAGTGCTTGGATAACCATTTATACTTGCTGAAGTTATGAGTAGTCTAATTATAGAAGGCTTGATCTCGCTTTAACTTCGTACATCTCATCTTGATGTTGTAAACCCGCGGCCGTTGCTTCCGGAACACGCAGTGGTCTATGATCTTCATAATTACTAGAGAGAGAGAGAAATGGGGTTTAACGTCCACTCGACACAAACTAGGTCATTTCGGGACTAACATATGGTTTAATTTTATTTCAATAATTCGCTTGCGCGTAGGGGTCTTTAGCAGTGGGAGGAAACCGGAGGACCCAGAGAAAACCCACGAGGCTGGACAGGCGACCCTACTCCTTGTCACGTACAACCGGGGATTCGAAACCACGCCAGTTGACTCAATGACAGGTCTTATGATACAGCACTCAGTTCAAAGTATGTGAGAGATGGTGGGAATGGGTAGAAACAGTAACTAACTTGGTACTATTTTATTTCAATAAGTTGCTAGCGCGCAAAGTTTTTTTTAGCAGTGGGGGAAACTCGGGGTTGGGCAAACGACCCTACTTCTTGTTATGTTGTATGTGAGTGAGTGAAGCGGATTAATATTAACAGTGGGACGTTAAACCCCATTTCATGTCACTTCGTTTCATTTGGTTATCTTTTATGAATAAACCGTTTTCACTATCCGTACTATACTTGACAACTGTACAGAATATAACGTGCCTTTATAAGGTCCATTGCGTATATCCTATATTGCGTTTATCCTATTGGCCTTGGGCTAACTGGATAGTATGTACATCTTCCACACTAAAGTCGAATCCATGCAGATGATATACCTTTCAGGTACCTTGTTGTACATGTACGTTAAAGCGATAATTTCATATTTTCTAAGAAAGTCAAAACATAATTATGTCTATGTCTTTTGAACTCACTATTATACGACCATGGGCATTATTTCCCACCCTTAAAAATCATTGACACAGGATATAATACAATTACCTCCCCTGTTTTCCTATTGCCTCCATGCATTAGCTATGTTCAAACGTTGGAATTTGAAGTTGAAAATGATATTTTGCCAATTTCTCAGCTGGCAATGGTGACATAGGATTAATAGGATTATTCTTTAACAAGGCAGGACGGTCTATGGATGCCATCTATTTTAAGGCTTCATTTTAATAAATTTTAAAAGTATAACTTAAAAATATGAAATTGCAGCTTTAATTAAAATTGAATCCGGTAAAATATAAAATATGGTATATAAAAAATGTACGAAAACGGAAAACGAATTGAGATTGTTTAAATGATGTCTTGTGGTTCAGAACAGGCATTCTTAGAAAACCAATCCCAAATATTAGCATAATGTGTTGGCACCAGTGGTTCATGAAGACGTTTACAGATTTCACAAAATGGTTCTGGTGCGTCAGATCGGGCCTTAAAATCTAGTTTATTGGATAAATATTCTAAATAAGCCGTGTCATTTTTATCTAGATACTGGATGTAGTCAGCCAAATCTTTTGTTGTTTTGAAATCACGGGTATCAATATATGATTGTTTTGGATAAAACTGAGAATAATTTCCACTTCCTCGTGCGATGACGATCCAATTTAGATTTTGTCTACCGAAAAACTTTTCTGTTATATAATCCTTGCATAAAGAGTTTTCAAAGGCAAGATAAAATTTATATTTGACACTAATAGTTTTAAACCAGTCATATCCCTGACCAGCCATAAGTGTTCCACACTTTCCATAAACATCGATCGGTTGTTTAAGATGTCTTTGAAGAAACTGGATATATATCAGTCTCTTACTTGGCGCTAGATAACAATTACTCACAACAGCTGCGACAAGTCTCGATTTTTTGGACAAAATCCCTTTTAAATTTGGTAGATCTTGAATCGGCCTGGAAGACAGGTAATAGGGAAAAAAAATTGTGGAATCTAAGCGGTATGTCATCGTCCAATTGATCTGTGATTGCCATGCAGGATTTGACCAGACGTTTGTTGACACTAAATGAGGTGGTTCTAATCCGAAAACAGCCCAAATTTGACCTAAAGGTCGATGAAACGGGGATTGGAGATGGTAGTTAACCATATAAATAATCACAACATCGGCTTCTTCCTTTCGGGCAGTAAAAGCACAAGATTTGACTGCACAGTTCTTGAAGCTTATATCTTGTATCCAAGGCCAATCGGGTTTATTTTCCCAAGCAATTAACTTTGTACCGTTTGGCAGCGAGCTTCTGTTTAGCAATGCAGTAGAACTCCAGTTTAGCTTCCCGCTAAATTCTGCTATAAGATATATACCACAGCCGATGAATATTAGTACCATAAATAATATTTGGATACGTCCCATCTGAAAGCAGAAGGATTGAAAGTACAGCATTCTCTAAAAGTAAGAAAGGGCAAGCTATTATACGCTATGACATTTTCCGGCCCAAGCACAACTTCCCAAAATCCATGCAGACCAGCATAGGAGAAGTATTCGCCAGCTTGAATGGTTTATCTATTTTCCCCTAGAAGCCTCATCCCATGTCAGTAAACTTTTGATTTGAATGTGTGTTCGCCGCGCTCCGCCCCAATCTGATTATAATACAGTTCTATATTTCGTTTCGTTTTTTTTTTATACTTTCGATGGTCTACACTACATGAAGATCTGACCGGTTGTGGGGATAGGTCGCGTCAGAGTCATACGAGCGGCTTTTGACCCTATGACGTCAGACATTCGATTAACTAATCAGCATTGATGTTATTACTAATGGATTACCCACAGTTCCGTGCAAAACACCCCCAAAGCTCGCCGTAACAGACCGTTTCATTTGCTAATAGCTCACATCATTCAGAACACGTCAATGATAACAACTCTTCCAGATCCTATTGTAGTAAAGACAAGTAAAACGAAATTTTGAACTATAAAAACGAAACGAAATAGCATCTGTATTTTAACCAGACTGCGCTCAACCCTTACATATGTGGTATCAAATTAATCAGCATGACCCAGTGAATATTTTAGACCATCCAATTTGGGCCCCGGGGGCGAATTGGATCACGGGCGAATTTAAACCCCGTGTGTATTGATGTTGGGTATCCCGCTAGTATTTCTGTAGAGAGGGAGAGTGAGAGAAAAAAGGGGTTTAACGTCCACTCGACACAAACTAGATCTTTTCGGGACTAACATGGTTTAATTTTAGTTCAATAATCCGCTTGCGCGTAGGGGTCTTTAGCAGTGGGAGGAAACCGGAGGATCCGGAAAAAACTCACGAGGTTGGACAGCCGAGCATACTCCTTGTCACGTACAACCGTGGATTCGAAACCACATCAGTTGACTCAATGACAGGCCTTATGATACAGCGTGCACGTGCTAACCATTCGGCCATCCAACCCCCCACGAATATTAAGACACAACTTGACAGAACATGTAAAAATAGCCTATTATTGTATGCGATACAAGGCCAGCAGTCAACAGAATTGTATGTATAAGAATTATGAATAACGGGCGACCTCTCGCCAGAATTCGAACCGTCCGGTTGTCAACGGTGATTTAAAAAGCGTTTAGTAACTTACACTCTCCACCAGATTCCAGAATTGTACGTAAGATAATTAGGATTGTAGCCCAAAATGATAATTTCTTGGATTCTGATTGATCGAAAAGTGGCGTCGAATGAGTATAACAGTCCTCTAAATTTCCTGGGCGACACACTGCGAATGAATATTTTCTGGGTGCTATACTCTGTTTGCAGTGGCCAAAAGTTCTACACCTCAAAACTTTATTCTAGGAAATCTTCATGATTTTGTTTCCTTTTATGTCATCAACAATGAAATTCAACCATTGACTTATTGAAACACACACAAAAAAAACAAAGTTAGTGAGTGTATTTGAAAGATGATAAGTAAATTTCACTTCAAGGCTGGCCTGACAATGATGGTTGCCATGGTCATTCTATCCTAATCAGACTGGTTTCTTTATTAAGCATCAAAGCATGCATATTAATGAGAGGAGTCACCAGCGGATGTGCCTCGTGAAGACGGTGAGAATTAACAAACTGCAGTCACAACTTCGTAGTCGGGTGTTAAACCAGAAATTAAAAAGAAAAGACGAGATAATAAAAAAAAATTATCGCAAATAATCCCGATTCACAGAATCTGAAGAAAGCCCAAATTAAATTACTCAAACTGAAACGGA